AGCAGGGTTGTGACATTGCTTAATGTCACAACTCAGACTGCGTTTTTTGGTCTAAATATGTGTTTCGGCATCGTCATCCGCTGAGCTGCCTCCGTAAGTTACGGTTATTGGCTCTACGAGTGTTGTGCGGGAAATGCTATGATGCATTGCATGTCAATAACGAATATACATATTCGACTGAAGAAGGATCTGCCTGCACAGAAACGTTTCCGTGATTTTGAAGAATCGTCCGAGGAAGTAATTTGGAACCCGTTCAGGTTCCAACTGGAAAAATAATTCCAATTGGTGAGACCCATTGGCCAGTGTGCTTCCAGTTGGAACCCACTAAAACCAATTGGTTCCAGTTAAAACCAGTAGGAATTCCAATAGGATTTAATGGGAATTGTTAGCTGGAAAGCTTTCTCTTTGAGATACAAATACATATCAGAACAGATTATCTCGCGGTATAAAAAAAGGGGCGATCAATATTAAAAATCAAAGGAAGATCCATTGGTGGATCTTTAAGAAATCTGTTAGCATGACCCTTGGAAACGCCAGACACGCCCCACTTTGGAAAACGCTAACCCTGACCCTTTCACTTTTCTGTTTTGGCTTTCTCTTTTGCTTCCTCTATTTTTGCTGCCTCTTTTTGGCTTCGTTACAAGGTCAGTGTTAGCGTTTACCAAGGGTCATGCTAGCGCATTCCCTAAGTATACACTCCGTGCGGGAACTATAGGGGGCGCTTTGAAAAACGCGCGCAGCGCCGCTAGCGGAGGAGCTGGCGTTCGACTGTGAGGCGCGTCCAGCAGCCTGCGGCGCCTTTTCGCATGCCAAGCTGTGGCGGCGGAAGCGCGCACGGACGAAACTTGCTTTTTGAGCCGATAAGTTGAGGGTGACGTTGCATGAGTGCTGGGGCAGAAGGGCATTTAGCTGTTCTCCACTTCTTATATATTGAGTTTGAGTCGTAATTAGGGGTAATTTCTCTGGTTGCGGCCGAAAAAGGAGTTGGAGTAATTTTTCGAAAAACAAGACGGCCGCCACCTTCATTGCTCTGAGTGGGAAATTTATTTCGCTCGACGCTGTAAATTTAGGACTGCTGGAACGATGATATTTGGAGGCGAGTGAGAGGTTCACTAAATTTGTGCACGAAGAGAGCCAAGTTTCTTTAAGACAGCAGGTGTGAAAGTTATGTTTCTAACGAATAAAGAAATAAAGCTGTACGGGGTATCCAATATTGGACCCAAAATGTTGTGTTATAGCGGGCTGTGCAAAGTGCAGATTTGGGCACACAGGTGCTTGGACTTGACAGTAACATGACACAGCACTTATTATACAAAAAAAAAAAAAAGTGGCATAGGGAAACCAGGTGAAAATTTGGTTTGGGCGGCGTAACTCAATGGGAACCGGTTTTGATCATGAAAAGGCTGTCAAGAGAATACCACTGCTCGGGGGAGGTGGAGACTTTAGAGGTAGGAAGGGACTAGTGGACTGTACTTCCAATTGAAACAACTTTACGAAAGGTGGTTCCAAAGCCGAGAAAACAAAGTTGTCGGCCAACACACGGTTTGGCCGCCAAGGGCTTTTGCGGTCAGCTGTTGTGTAATAACCTGGTGTGCGAGGTGCTGATTTTCGGCGCACAGGTACTTTGACATGACCGTCACTTGGCACAACACTTATTATAACAAAAAGAGTTGGCATAGCGAAACCAGGTGGAAATTTAGTTTGGGCGGCGTAACTAAATGGGAACTGGCTTTGACCATCAAAGGCTGTCAGATAATACCACTCATCGTGGGAGGTGCACACTTTACAGGTAGGAAGGGACCAGTGGACGGTACTTCCAGTTGGAACAACTTTGCAATAAGTAGCTCTAAAGCCGAGAAAAAAAAAATTGTTGTCTACGAGACTCGGGGTGTCAGCGTTTCCACATCCAAAAGGAGGCTGGTCAAGAAAGAAAGCACACCACATAAACTTCCATACTCAAACGTCGATTCTCCAGTGATTCCGAGTTTCATTGTTGTTTTCTTTAGATTTATATTTGTCACTTTTTTTACCTTTCGAATCTTTCTTCATGAAGTACAGATTGCGTGCCATACTTGTCCGGAAATATCATCGACCCGTACGATGGGGACGAAACTTCTGTGGAAGGCATTCCTCCAACGAAATTGGCACTGCATACCTGCGAGTGTGGGTTTGTCCCATCGGCGCTGACACATGTAGGCGTTACTGGTACGAAAACAAACGCAGAGCGCAAAGCGGCAGTGTAGAATATGTCAGCCGTGCCGACACAGTGGCAGACATGATCGGGAGACCAAATTTCTCACGTCGTACGGCACGGCTCCATCGTTGTCGCTGTCCTACAAAACATCGGCGAGGTGAAAAACTGTGAAACTTTGTCTCCACGAGATACGACGCATAACTATTGAAGCACTTAATGACACAGCACAGGCAGCACTTCATGCTGTGAACCCAGCGCAACCGCACCACTCCGACTTCAATGCGTACCAACGTACGCGGCGTGGTTTCGGTTTCGTTTTCTCCGGGCTTCTCGCTGCCTACCTTCGGTACCGGCCGCGCGGCGGCGCGCCAGTCGCGTCGCACGGAGTGTATATATCCACCGATAAATCTTCCTTTTTTTTTTTCTTTTTTTTTTTTCAAACGTTTCTCCATTCGTAGTTTAAACACAGACCCGGGCGTCAGCGGGTCTGCGTTTAAACTACGAATGGAAGGGAAAACGTAAAGCAGTAACGAGCAAGTATATGCACCAAAATACTGGGAATAAAGCGATCCTATTATCATCGGTTTATAAAACCCGGATATAAAATCCGGTTTCTTGGCCTTATTTCTTACAGAAAGAGAGCTACGCTTTGTAATTTTACAAGAAAAAAACCGACCTGTAAAATACACCTTTGACGAAAAGTTTAGATTGCTACGTGCAAGTGTCAATTTTTACGGTCCATTTTAGATCGAGCCTGGTGACTTGGACCACCCTATATATACAGGGTGTCACAAAAGAAAATTTTCACTGTTTGTTTTTAACCACAAAAATAAACTAGGCATCCCCGAACGCTCATTCTCCGCCCAAAGGTAGCGCTAGATGTCACAACCAGATGCCAAAGTTTCAGCCCGATCCGACACCTTATTCAAAATTTATTAGTGATTTTCTGAAAATTTCAATGGGAAAATGGCAGTCGATGGAGTTTTCGAATGGGCTCCATTTTGATTAAAGGGGCCATGAAATGAATTTTGGGCTGGGATAAATGATTTTAAATTGGGACTTTACTAATCGCATACCGTTTAGTTGGCCAAAGGAAAGATCGAGGGTAGAAAGTCAAAAGCCAGCTTTTCGGTACGAACATTTGAAAATATAACGGACTATTTTCTACCTTCTTTTCTTCGAAAGAAGAAAAGAAGGTACATAATCAGGCGTCCAATGCGTCAGCCGAGCCCAGCTCACGCATTGGACACGAGAACTGCGTCAGTCGGACATATGCGCTCGTCAACAATCAATCCGTCGACGAATATTTGGATCCGCGCTCGTGGCCAATGAGTGCCCTGACGAAACTTATCGTCACTGGCGAATAACAAGTTCTATGGTGCATTTCTATAAAAAGCACGGTGGAAGCTAGGAGTCATCGCACCGGTGCCGAAGAATGTCACGACGACGTGATTTCACAATTCGCATTTGAGTTGAGGATTAAAGCTAAGGAGGAAGTAGGAAAATCGTTTCATGGACCCCTTTAAGTTTTCGGATCGGGCTGAAACTTTGGCATTTGGTTGTGACCTCTAGCGCTACCTTCCGGCGGAGAATTAGAGTTCCTGTATAGGAGGTAGCTAGCTATACAGGAACTCTACGGAGAATGAGCGCTCAGCGACTCCTTGCTTTTTTTTTTTCGGTAAAAAAGACCGTGTACTTTTTTTTTTCTTTTTCGTGACACCCTGTATATTACAAGGGTTTGTTTACAGCTACTCTTCTCAAAGTGACAAAGAGAACAAACGTGAGCCTCAATGGTCTACAGCAACATTTTGTAACTTTCATGTGATCTCAATAGCTTAACCTTTTGTGAAACGATTCAGTTTGCTTGTTACTTTTGATGCTCAAGCCGCGACATCGATTTTGTATGAATAACCACAACTGTATCGGGCACATTTTCGAAGAAATCGCAAAATATCGAGGCTGCCACTAGTTAGGGCGAGAAGAAAAAAAAAAAAACTAAAACAAAGGAAACGCCTGTTTTATGAGGATATTTGATGTTAAAACGTTTCTTGCCACATAACACATAGAAAAAGTTCTTACTAAAATGTAAATAATGCAAAGGTGCAGGCGAGCTGTGCAAAATAAACGATAATAATCCATGGAGAAGGGGAACAAGGGGGACAATTGTTCCCCTTCTCACGGAATTATTATCGTCTCCCTGTTCCCCTTCTCCATGGATTATTATGGTTTATTCTGTACAGCTCGCCTGTACCTTTAAAGTAATTACATTATAACATTAAAAATGAACGCCGTTCACCCTTGTTGGTGTTCGACTGGTGGCAGCTGTTAAAACCCGTTTGCTCTACTGACGTCTAACTTCTGGTTAGCTCGGTTGGTAGAGCGCTCCACTGTAAATGGAGAGTACCAGTCACCTAGCTGTGTTTGGAGATTTCTGTTGGTTCTTTGTCCCCCTTGTTTCCTTATTCAATGAAATGTACTGATCTAAATAAAGAAATCCAAGTATCTCAAATAATTTTGCACCAGTATTTGTGCCTTTTTGTCCATTTTTAAACTCGAGTTAATTTTAACTGCTTTGCGAGGCAAAATGAGAGTCCAGCAGTAGCAGACGACGCCGCCTGCGCGGAACGATCGCTTGATTAGCCAGTTTGTACTAGCCTGGGCGCAGTGCCGTACTTAAAAAGAAAAGTTAATTAAAAACACTATGGATAAAATATTTCTATTGCAACTGTATCAATGTTTATATTAAATACAACAACATATTTGACTCGGGAGTGCGACGTAAACACTGATATAAACGTGAAAAGTCGATAGGTCTGGACACAATGTGCCAACATGGACGCGCGCAAGCGTTGGCTGCTTAATGTGGTTGCGCGTTGTTTATTTTGAGCTTCAGTTTTCTGTATTCTCTACTGCAGTGGGCTTGTAAATGCCTAGAAATTAAAGTATCATGGACGATGCGCAACCTGATCATGTGTTCCTTGGAACACCATTGGAGGAGTTAGACCAAGGCACGTTGATTCGTATTGCTGGAAGGAATTCGAACCTCCTTAGGAACGCAGCGGCATTATCCTTGCTGTAGCTTGATGTCCTTTTCTTTTCAGTCCACACGTCAGTGCTCTCACAGGCGGTTAACATTAAACTGGTGTTGGTCTTCCGCAGATGAAATTCCCAGGAAAAAATTCCAGCCTGACCTCACAGTCAGGGACGCTCAAGGGAGGCGGCGTTTCCATGGGGCCTTCACGGGTGGCTTTTCCGCAGGTTTCTACAACACCGTCGGCACGAAAGAAGGTAATGCGACGGTAAAGGCAGGCCGTGTCTGTATCTGTGTTACATGACTTACTTTCATCTTCGTATGGGGGTGTCGTGAAGGCTGCGTCTGCGATCTCGCGCCTTTAGAAATCGCTCCCACCACACGAGTTCTTGCCTCGCTGTGGCACATCCCAACGTAGAGTCCTGTTGGGATGGGGAATTTCCAAGTTCGGTCCAGCGCTAGACTGTCGCAGAAACACGACCGGTCAAAAAGACTGCCTGTTTTGTTTTATACACGAAGTCCGAGCTCAATCCGAACTCGAGTAGCCAGGTCCAAACCTGGCTCGAGTGCGATTAACATTTGGAGAAATGGGGTCGAGTCCTGCCCAACCCTAAAAATTGTGACCTTTTCTTGACTGATGCGAGTCATATTTCCAAGAAAGATAGTTGGCGAGAGGGGGGGGGGGGGGGGGGGGGGGGGGGGGGGGGGAAGAAGACATGGTGCGGTTTCTGTTCCTTCAAGGGACCCACAGGTGGGTTTGTGAGATCAAAATTGCAAACTTTGAGTCTAGCAAAACACGTAAGATTCCCGATTCCTATAGTCTTGAGGATGGAGACAGTCATTTTATTTCTTTCCGACGAGTCGGCTTGTGTCGATGCCGCCTGTCGTGTAGAATACGGTGCCACTTGAACTTTAAGCTGTTGCTACGTGCTCACTCTAAAATGCAAAAAATTATAGGGCGGGGCAGCACATTCTATGAAAATTGCCATTGGTGTACCAATCGGTGTCAGTGCATTGCATTGTGTTTGGCTGTGTGGAAGTGACAAACATGAAAGATCCCCGTGTTTTGTTTATCCATGCATTCTTAGGATGGACGCCAGCCACATTTAAATCTTCCAAGTCCAACAAATCCGATAATGTACCATTGCAACCGGAAGATTTTATGGATGAAGAGGTAAGCATCGTGAGCACTATCTGCTTGCCATTGGAAACACCGCAAAGTCTGCCGTGTGGAGATTGACTGTGAATCCACTTCTTATGTTTAAAGGACCTGGGCGAGTTTGGGATTGCACCAAGGAAGATACAAGTCAAGGAGGACTTTGTTGACTTTGCGGAGCAGAAGAAACGCGTCCGTGAGCCACCTAGAATGAATGTGGGCCCAATCCCAGGATCACCTCCCTTGAAAAACCTTTTCAAACCAGTCAGGTAATACTCTTTTCTTTGTTAACAGTGTAGGTTGGTTCGGGTGTTGTTTTCAAAGCTGGTACTGCGGTTACTAATTTTTTACCACTAAAAGCCAAAGTGATGACGCAGAGGCTTTGTGGTGTGTACATTGTGGGAACCTGACACTGCAGTGCAGTAGGGATGAAAAATATAAAGTAAATATAAACATGTGCATAGGGAGTATTTACATGCTTTCTTGATTTGCTCACAAAACACTTGGGTAAGATCTGTGCAAAGTATGAAGTCTCAGTACAATTGTTACTAAGTTTCACATTAAAATCTTCTGAACATATTACTCTTACTTACCATTTAAATGACATGTTTATTGCATGTGATATTCATAGTATGAGCTTACACATCCACTAAGGGAAAGTATAGTCTATTTCAATGTTTGTATTTTACTCTAAATGTCTTCCAGACAAAGCCTACATTAAACACCCGTTCCTTATTTCTAAAATTGGCGTTTTACAGCCAGAGCATCGGTGTAAAGCTCCTCAATTGCATGGGCTGGCGACAGGGCCAGGGAATCGGACCACGTCTCACAAGGAAAGACAAGAAACAGAGAGAACAAAACAGTGCTAGGGTCTACGGCTGTGCGCTGCCACCTAGTGCAGAATCGTCCGATGAAGAAGATGAACGTGCAGAGCTCCACTTGTTTGCACCCAGTGACATAGATAATATTATTTATGCACCCAAGAACAACCTCCACGGCATTGGCTATGTAGCTTTGGACAAGCATTCGGTACTTGCGGCCCCAATCGACCTGGATCAGCCCACCACAACAAAGGGGCACTTGGAAAAAGGAAAACGCAAGCTAGCTATTTCTGGACAGGTGGGTGCCTTTTTTCATGTTGCACATTTTGAGCATAATAGACTTTCCTTCAGTCTGCCCGTCATTGTGCAAATACCCCAATGGATGTCGAGCTTTTATGTCATGGTACACAGGCAACTGCACCCGTTGTGACAGACTGCAGTTTTTATGTATGAACAGTGCTTGTCTGACTTTTGGTGTGAGGAATGCGTGCCACGAAGGTGAAATGTATTGAATCCTCTTGTTTTCTCAATGCTTGTAACATTATACAGGGGGATTAAATTTAAATCGCTCATACTGTAAGAAAAAGAATGCGGTGAGGGTTACCGTATTTACTCGCATATTGGTCGATACGTCGTATAGGTCGACCCCCTAACTTCGGGACCCCCGAAAAAAAAAAAAAGTTGAAAAATATAATACCGGGATTCGCGTATTGGTCGACCCCCCAGTTTTGATGAGGCGATTTTTGAAAAACAGGTCGACCTATACGCGAGTAAATACGGTAGATGAGTGCTGTCTTCATCATGCACAAGGTGTCCCCCTAAATTTTGAATGGGGTAACAGATAGTTCTCAAACTCTGGCATCTGGTTCGGACCGCTGGTGCCACATTCGGGCGGAAAATGAGCATTCGGTGATGCATAGTTTATTTTTGCGGTGAAAGAAACCCTGTAAATATTTTTGTGGGGGACACACTGTATATATCAGGCTCAGCAGACATTAAATGGGTGGATAATCGTCATGCTATCCCTGCCTAGGAACATCCCATCAAGTGATGGGGCTGCTGGATGGGCAAGTGCCAAATAGCTAGAGTCCGACCTGACCTATTCTGTGCAATGATCTCAGTGCCATTATTTGCTCGTAGGCATTTGGGGTTGGAGCATTTGAAGAAGAAGATGGTGACATCTATGCTCGTGAAGATATGTCGCAGTATGACTTTACACTGGGAGATGAATTGGAAGACAAGCCCCGCAAAACAACTCTGTCTATTCATGGTACGACTACCCCGACTTCTGTCTTGTCAGTTCTGAAATACTGTTCTTGGTTTTCATTTTGTGCCAAAGCAAAATGCAGAAACCAAGATGTAAAAGACTTGTTGAAAAATCAAATAGTCTGCAAAACTTTGAATAGATTCTGTTTAAAGTCTATATTTTACTGTGTCTACAAACACTAACTTCATTTCAGAGGGAAGAGGAAAGAGCCTTCATCACATCACAAAGACACTGGAAGGCTTCCATCTGGCCAAGGACCCACCCACAGTCAGGAAGCACTATCCACCTCCACAGATTCCTGCAGACTTTGAACCATTTCATCATGGTCCTAAGAAGGAGCGCCGACGTTTCGAGGAGCCCAAAGCTAACCTCTACAAAGAAGACAGAAAAGAGCATTCAGGTGCAAGTTTCTGCAGTCTATCAGTTTCCTTCAGTGCACATTTTGACAGACTAGTGTATAAAACTGAAAGTACTATTTCTCCATGTGATCTTGCCAGGTTCCATATTTGACTTGATATCACCAGCTGACAAAGCAAGGCTTGAAAACATCAAGCAAGGAGGCAGTAGTGGGCAAGCTAAAGAAGCTGCCAAAGATGAGAGTGCAACGCACACAGAGCTTTCCGATTCCCCAGCAGGACCCACCAAACCTTTTGCTAGGGATGAAGCCAAGCAGAAGCGATTTGAGCAATACCTATCCCTTCTCAGCTCCAAAAGAATTGGTAAGCCTGTCCTCACGGTTCTATCTTTCGTTAAACTGTTTGCCCACATCTGTCTACCTAGCACATAGCTGAGCGTTAGTGCCGCTTGGTCCTGTCACAGATCTGTCAGTTTCAGGCCCTTTGGGATGCAGACCGGGAATCGGCAGATCTCTCAGTTCATAAAAGCAATTTCATCCTTTTGCAGAGCTCTTCCCTGCAATGCAGCCTCTTCACATGACTGAATGGGAGAAAGAGAGGGAGTGCAAGGAGTTCCAGCGGGCAGCAATGATCTGTCAGCCCACTCAGAGTCTGGGTTCTCGGTTCGTCTCCACCAGGACACTAAAAGACGACGACAGTGTGGATGTCACCGTCGACAAGGCAGTGCGTCTACCGACTACTTTCCTGCTCTCTTGGCAAGCTTGCCTTGCGCTTTCACACGGTTCTTTTTCCATTTCCAGGAAGAAACAGAGGATGCTGCCAAAGCAGCGCATCTGGGGATGTTTGGGAAACTAACACACGAGGAGTTCGAGTGGCACCCAGCCGATCTTCTCTGCCGACGATTTAACGTGCCTAATCCTTATCCCAAGTAAGTCTAAAGACTATTGAAATACCTCGCTGCTCAAATTTTTGCAAAGCTGCAGTATCTGACTGATTAAGCACTGCAGTTGTCCCTTGCCAAAGGTCTCCGTATTCTTTGCAGTTGTGAAAAAGTAGGCCTTGCCACGGTCAAAATGGACAAATACTCAGTTTTCAATTTCCTGAATGTGCCCCATACAGAGGGTAGTGCTGAGGAAGCTTCGGAATCTACTGTAGAAGTTGACAAGTCCTATGGTATGAAACTTTTATTTGCAGTCTTCGGTCGTTTTCAAATACATGCCTTCTTGGCACCACCAATATAAATAGCCGAATGCAGCACATCCCTTATTTTAATCGTGCTGTTAATTTGGGCTCCAGATTACAGTTTAAGGCCAAAGATGAAAGTGAGACAACACTTCTTCCTTTTTTTATCATTATTGTTTCACTGTTGTATACATGTTAATATACTATGAGTTTTTTTGTTTTTTTCTATGGTGCTCATGTACTGCAGTTCTCCAAATAATTTGTTCTTAAGGCTGTTAACCTGTTCTCCAGGTGATCATCAGTCAGAAAAACCATCCTTGTCTAGGGTACAACCAGCTGGTGAAAACAGAGATGCTGCAATGGAAGAGGCAAGTGGGAAAAAGGAGCTTCATTATCATTTGGGGGCGTGTTGCAAATTTACACATTACTCTAATCTCTAGGATGATGGTGAGGAGGATGGCACAGAGCCAACAGAGGAACGTCCTCCACTGTCTGTTTTCAAGTCAATATTCTCAGAATCATCATCGGAAGGCGAAGATGAGGAAAACACGACGGAATCCAATGCTCAAAAAGTGTCGGAAGAAACCAAAACGAGCAGACCAAATATGCAGAGCAGTGCAATCAGTATGGAGCAGGCAGTGAAAAGGCCCCTGCGTCCTGCAATGGGGGTGTTTGCGAACTTGGACTTTGAGCGGCTTAACCAAAGGCCACCTGCTGTGCCGGTAGAAGAACTGCACCCCAAGTCTCTGCTGGAGGAACACAAGGCTGCCGGAGCAAAAATGGGAGGCGAGCCCAGTCAGTGCGGCTCGGATGTAAGCAACCTCTATGGTCCTCGCTTGCCGCCTACTGGAGTGTCCTCCGCAGCTCAGACACAGTCAGGTGAATGTCATTTGCCTGTAATTTAAGTGTTTTCAGTATATAGGCATGTTTTCCCCCAAGCTAAATGTACTTGACTCAAAAGATGTGCACCTATCTTGACCAAAGCCCTTGGTGAGTTGGGAAGTAAACCAACTTCTGGGCTCTTGTATGGATTGTGTCTGTCAGGTAGAACTGAATTCAAGGATATCTTTCTCAACTTTTTCAGGTGTCCTCTATACACCAGTAATTTGGTAATGGCTGAAAAGCGGCCGTTTGCCCGATTGGTATAGTGAAAGTTATTATCAACTCAGACCCTGTAAATGGTTGCTCTTCCTGTTTGCTGCCAAAATCTAGATTTCCAGTTTCTTGACCACACATGACAGCTTGTTTTCAACAACCTGTACTTGTGCCATGTGGCTTGGCACTGCAACTCTACTGCTTTCGATCTAATAGATCAATGGCTGTGTCACTTCGTAGATGCAGACATAAAGATTTAACTGTTGGGCTTGGCTACTGCAACTAGCCGAACTCAACATGTATCGGGGTACTCCTGGAGTATCTCTGAGACCCTGTGCTATAGCATTCATCTGATGAATGCTATAGCACTGAGCAGCACAGTATTATTTGTGCAAGAAAATTTCAACACAAAGTTATTATAAAAATCTGTTTTTAGCATCTGTACTTTCCGGCTCTGTTTATCAGTCACTGTGTGCTGCTACCCAAATGCATAAAGACCATATAGCACTTCACACGCTTGCTCTTCTTTCACCATGTGGTACATTTCACTTATTGTGGACCATGCATTTTCATGTTCTTTTAAAGAACCACCTAAGGGCCATCATTCTAAAAAGCAGAAGAAAAAGAGCCATACCTCTAAGGCAGACAAGAAGCATAAGAAACACAAGGTAAGTAAGGCCCATATTTTGCAACACACCTTTTGACCATAGTATGGTATATTGCCAAAAATGTGACTGTGGTTGGCATTAGCGATTGGCCAAACGCCCACTATGACATTTATTTGGATTCATTTTTTCTTCCATCGACGGAAATAAGAAAAATAACAGACTGTCATCTTTGGCTGTGGATTGGTTTAAGAATGTGATGACTCCAAGCTTCCATTCTGCTTTTTAAACACACCATCGAACTTGTAGTTCATAACTAATGTTAAGTAGCGAGGATTAGAGCTGGTGACATCACGGCGAGACATCCTGGTCGCGATGTCACAAATGGAAACCATAAGAGGGCACCACCGAAACATCTTGGCACTAATAATAGGGGTTGTCCTGAGTAGAGCACTTATTATGCATCTTCCTTCTGCACTCAGTCGAAGCAAAAAAAGCACAAGAAACATAGCAAGAAGCATTCAAAGAACAAGGCATCTAAATCTGACAGCAGCAGTGATGACAGTAGTGATTACACAGATGAAGAGTGCCACACCCAACCGTCGTGCAAAGACATTATTTCGAGGTATGTTTCTGCCATACTTTTAATGTTAGGAAAGCTTAAAATACCTGTGCATAGCATGTGCATGCAGCATGTGAAAATATTCCTGCATTTTTATTCTTCAGCAGTTTAAGGGTCGACATACAAAATCATCTTTTGCCGGGAAGAAAACCGGTTCCCAGTTTCCTTCTCTCCATTCCCTCTCGTGCTCTTCCCCCTCCTCTCCCGATAGGAGGGAGCCTTTAAGCCACTCTCCACAGGATGGAGGGGGGTCTCACTATTTCTCGAATGGAAAGGAGCCATTGCGGGAGGGTTCTCTCGTTTCTGGTTGTTTGTCAGCCTTTAACCACAGTGCATTTCTTTTTCTAGATTGAACAAACTCAGAAAGCACCTCTGATTCTGAAAGGATGTCCCACCTGCTGATGAAACTTCCATTTGTAAATAATGATGTCAATACAGATCACCTCTTAATTGAGGACGTCTTTGCACATGTGTTGTACTACTAAATACTTTCTTGGGGAAGTTTGTATGGGAGTAGTCTCCCATTGGTTGGCCTGACTGCTTTATAATCAGTCACCTGCTTAGTTGGAAGAGTAGATTAGGAGGTGAAGATGGACACCTATTCGAGAGTCGAAAGCAACTGTCATTTCGATCAGTGCAAGGCTACACTTCCTTACTTATATCAGTCTCCCATTGATTGGCCTGACCACTTTATAATCAGTCACCTGCTCAGTTGGGAGAGTAGACCAGGAGGTGAAGATGGACACCTATTCAAGAGTGAGCAGCAACTGTCATCTTGATCAGTGTAGGGCTACACTTCCTTATTTATATGAAAGCACAATTTTGGCTTTACGAGATCTTCAGTAGGGTGTTTCCCCATCTTTAATTTTTTTATGTGTAGGGCTGTTCATCTGCACCTGGGATATGTAGAACATCTCTCTAGTAGAATAATAATAGTGAAGATATGAATATAGTGCAGTAAAGTTTATTTGTAAACACTAGTATAGGCATGTAAGGTACTGATATAATGAAACTCTCCTGAAAAATTCTGCTGTACTTGCTTCTCTGTCACATAGTTAGATTGTTTGTTCCTGTGATCACTAGCACTATGTCAGTCGGAGGACTCTATAAATAATGCCAAACAGCACAAGCGTGAACATTCTATCTGGGTTGCACTGCTCAAACTACAGTGTAATCTTTCTGCTCAAGATGTAATCTTTCTAACTGGGATGCACCCAAGCTGCTTCAGGGCTTGGCTTGCTGTGCACAGAAGCTTGACTGTCTGTTCATGCCCATATTCTTCACAGCTGTACATGAAGGCAGCAGGATGGCTAGGTTGGGGACATTTACATCTTTTAAAAGGTCACAAAAGTGATGTAATGGTGTTCGATTGATGGAGGCAATTGGCTCCACCAATCAGACACCATTACGCCACTTCCGTGAACTATTAAAATGTACATGTAAATGTCCAACCTGGCCATCCAGTATGACCATCTTATGTCGCTCCTGTAGTGTTTCAGGAAACCAGGTTACTTTTGACATAAAATGTTTCAGAGCTGGAAAGCATATGCAAGATTTGCATCCCACCGAGCAAGGTCTCACTCTGTATTCATACAGGTGATGCATAAAAGTGACAAATCTTGGCACACATGTTACTAGCCATCCATGGCCTAACGAGTGGCCCCTTTTCAGCTTTGGCAGCTAACAAATGAAGTAGTCATTGAGATGTTTAGAGATTTTATGACATGGGCACTTGCTAACCCAGTTTATGGCAGATAATTTATTTATTTATTTATTTATTTATAAATACCCTCAAGGCATGAAGCATTATAGAGGGGAGTGGTACAGGAAATACAATAAGTAAAATGGAATAATAATTGGGAAAGCATACACGAAAGAAAATAAAAAAAACAATGGTTACAAATGATTAATACACTTTGATACTATATAGTCCACTAGCCTGAAACCGGCAAACACAACGTCTTCTACTAATACAGTTAAATAATCAATCAGATATATTTTTTAAGGCAGATTGAAACAAATCATAATTAGTAATAGTGGCTATCAGAGAGGGAAGGTGGTTCCAGTCACTAGACGTACGTGGGATGAAGGAATAAAAAAAGGAATTAGTGTTGCATGAAATGACTCCTACTTTATGTGGGTGATCCATCCGTGACGACATGTATGAAGGTGATGTTAACAGTTCACCGCGTAAAGTGGTGTGGTGGAAAATTTTATGAAACAAACAAAGTCGTGCGTTTTTGCGTCGTGACGCTAGGGAAGAAAGACCTAGGTTAGATTTCATGGAGGATACGCTAGCAGCTCGTTGGTAGTTAGAATATATAAATCGAACCGAGTTATTTTGAATCATTTCCAACTGATTAACGAGAGTTCCGATGCCAGGATCCCATATCGCTGAAGCATATTCTAGTTGTGAGCGCACATTTGTTTTGTAGAACAGTAATTTAATAGAAGTAGGGGCCGAGTAAAAGTTGCGTTTTAGGTACCCAAGCATACGGTTAGCCTTGTTAGTAATGGAGTCGATGTGAATTTGCCAGCTAAGATTAGAAGTAATATGGACGCCTAGATACTTGTATGATTCGACAATTTCGAGTAGACTACTATCAAGGTGATATGAAGGTAAGTTAGCGGAACAACGAGAGATTCGCATGAATTTGCACTTGTTAACATTTAGTGTCATATGCCACGTTTTGCACCAAGAAGTGATAGCGTCAATATCAGATTGAAGTGCATGCACGTCATTGATAGAGGTTATTTCCCGGTAAAGAACACAATCATCTGCGAATAGATGAATCGAAGATGATACACAGTTTGGTAGATTGTTAATATAGACAAGGAAAAGTAATGGCCCAAGTACAGTACCTTGGGGTACGCCAGATATTACAGGGTGAAGGAGAGAGCTGACTTCATTCGCGGTTACAAATTGCTGACGATGTGTGAGAAAGCATTCAAGCCATTTTAGTATGTTAATATCAATACCTATTTTTTTTTAGTTTTAGTAGCAGGAGCTGGTGAGATACCTTATCAAATGCTTTCGCGAAATCCAGATATATACAGTCGGCGGATGATCGGTTATCGAGTATAGATTGCAACTTATGGGTGAATAAAGCCAGTTGTGTCTCGCACGAAAAAGATTTGCGAAAGCCGTGCTGTGCGCGGTGAAAAAAAGAATTTGATTCCAGATAGTTCGCGATATGGGAGAAAAGTATGTGTTCTAGAATTTTGCAAGGAACGCTAGTGATTGATATGGGTCTGTAGTTGTAGGGTGAGTGCTTGTCGCCAGATTTGTGCACGGGAACCACCCTCCCTATTTTCCAGTCCTGCGGGAGCTCACCAGAATTGAGGGATTGCTGAAAAATTTTAGCGAGGGCAACAGAGGTATAGGCTTTCGTGTTTTTTAGGAACATGGGAGTAATACAGTCAACACCAGAGGAGGAGAAAGGTTTGAGAGAGTCAATAATTTTGGCAACACCATCAGTCTCAATCTGCACAGGATACATGGGTAAATACTCAGGGTTACTAAATGAAGGCAAAACGTCAGAAAAAACACACGAAAAAGCGCTGGAAAACACGTTGTTAAGCGTATCTGAACACTGTTTGTCATCAATTGGTTCACCGTCCAAATTCGTTAGTACAATTCGCGAACTATCAGCCGGGTTCACTACATTCCAAAATTTTCTTGGATTGTTCAGCAACATATTTGGTAATGTGTTGGTTAGAAAATTTTCCTTCGCCGATTTGACTGCAGAATTATAATCATCAGCCGAGGTACGATATAGAGACCATCGATGTTGGTCACTAGACGTTTTTGCACTTCTATACATGCATTTTTTTTTATTGGAAAGGCGCCTGATAAATGAATTATACCATGGTGCTTGCGGATTATAACAGATTACACGAACTGGAATAAAACGGTTAGCAAGCTCTGTCATCTTCGTTTTTAGAAGCTTCCAATTATATTCAACTGAGCGTGCTTCGAACCCGTTTAGAAACGCTTGTAGAAATAAAAACAGTTCATCATTGATTTGGTTAAAGTCAGCATTAGGATAATTACGTATCACTTTAGTTCTATTAGAAAACTTTTTTACAGGAATAGTCACAGAAAAATTTAGTAGAGAGTGATCACTTATTTTCGGCATGTATGTTACTTCTGAGCATAACTCGGGACAAGTAGTTAATACCAAATCTAACAGGTTCGCACTTGTCGGTGTAACTCTGGTTGGTTCGGAAATAATCTGTGTAAAGTGAAAGTTTGAACATAACTCGATAAATTCCTGGCAAACAGACGAGGACGAATTTAGTGAAGGGGGGGACGTTGACCATTTGATTCCTGGATAATTAAAATCACCCAGCAAGAATACAGGGGATGTTGGGTACCGTGTGATAACGATGTTTATGGCATCATAGAGCTCAGTAACAAAGGTAGAGGAATCATTCGGGGGGCGATAGCAAACCCCGACAACCATTCTACAATGAGCTAGTTTTACAGACACCCATATAATCTCTAAGCATGACGCAATATGAAGTGCGAATGACTCAAATTCCTTTTTAATCGCTATTAGTACACCACCACCTTGCCTCGTTTCCCTATCTCGTCTGTAGAAATGAAATTGATTGGACAAATCGAATATTTCATTTTCACGAATGTTACTGTTAAGCCATGTCTCTGTTAACACGACAATATCGGCAGAGCAAGAATCAATAGCAGAAGAAATTTCGGTGCGGTTTCTGACAACGCTTCTGATATTAGTAAATAAAATAGAGACTTGTGATAAAGATGCACGATAACCACAGCCCCTCGGTAACCCCTACGTGTCTGACGTATCACGTTGCCTGGATGACGCAGCGTGTTGTCCCGAGGCCACAGTTGTTGGTTTTGTATATTTTATTATAGGAGAAAAGGGCTGGAAACGAATTTCTATTGTTTTATTTTTACTTACTGTTTATTAAAAAATCAAATATTATTTGCATGAAGTTCCTTACTTAGCATGTGCAATCACCTTTCCTTCCTGCTTTATAACAACAGTAGGGAGTTTTAGTGGCTCGTATGCAATACAATCTCAGGTCAGAAATGCACACACACTTTCCGACCCTCAAAGCTTTTACGTACGATCCACTAAAACTCTAATATCGCGAAAACACTTGTGCATAATGCTTCAGACAACTTTCAAAATCCTTACAAGGATACACAGCATTGCAAAATTGAGTTTGCGGAGAATCGCATTTATTATTCTTCCAGTGTTCATCCAAAAAGAAATGAACGAGTAAGCCAAGATAATTACATATATACAATGACATCTTAATACATATTTTGAAGCGTGATGAAGGAAACAGATCCATATATAGGCCCCAAATCCATGTGTGTTGATCGTCTCGAGGAAGACCAAAGGTCGACGTTCGCTCAGCAGTCCTGGAGACAAATTCCTTGATGATGTCGTCCAGGTTGAGCTTGACGGTTCTTCCTTTTTGAATGTGTAAAATAAGGAGGTGTGTTAGCCTCCCCTGACTCATGCGGCTGCATAGATATGTTTTAATTCGGCATAAGGCACTAAACGAGCGCTCCCCCGAAGCGACGGATGCAGGCATGCACAGAATGAAGACGTTTCGTATATTTTACGACTTTGTCCAGAAGGTCACGAATTTCGTCGGATTTTGCCTGTAGTGCCCTCAATATGGCGTCAATTGTGAGGGAATCAAGGTTGCATAAAAGAGCCGGAAAAAGTAAAAACTGCAACGAGTGGGGCCAGATCATCACATTCCTAGGGCCTCTTTCAGGTCATCTGTTGTGAACTGTCTTCCCCCGGCAGCGTTAATCAAGGTGCTCTCTACATTTACTAGCCCCTGCTTCATACCAGGCTATTCAAACCGCCATTGAGTTTCACTCAGAATGAAGTCTACAGCCGCAAAATACTCCTTCCGTAACGCTGCCTTGCAATCAAGTACAACTGGCGGAGAAGGTGTGTTGCTCATTTCAAGCGTTCTTGGCGGCCTTGCGCTACGAGGGTCCTTCAAACCTAGCCACATTGCAGTTGAGCTCATGCAGGCCCACAACTCTTCAAACTCGACTTCAGACCGCAGACGGGACATTGCCTCGCAGAGAGTCTCTGCAGCCTTTTCGATAGCTGCGGCGCTCAACGTTGCAGTACCCTTGCAAGTTCTTCGCATGGACCGAACAAAGCTATAGAAATGTCTATTCCTAGCAGCGTTTTAAACATTTTCAAAAGCCTCTCATAACCCTTCAAAACTGGCCCTGCTGTTGTCTGTAATCGAATATTCTCCTTGTAGCAGCTCATTCAGTGTCTCCTGAACTCGTAGTTTTCAGCCAACCTTTTCATCGACTTCATTCTGGCAGTCCACCTTGTTGGGCAAAGCGGAAGGAGGTTATTTGGCGTTGATCCGGCCTCTTCCGCTGCCTCGCTGACTGGAGGAATTACAATAGATGAATAAACAGCTTTGCGTTTCTTCGAAGTCTGAGTAGTGGGGGGGGCTGGCCTCTGGCCCCCCCGGTTCCGGAGTCCTTGCTCTGGAGTCATCAATGAAGCTATAGGTATTCAAAATATTTTATTGAAGGTATTAATTCTACTTTGATGCTGTGTGCGTACAAGCGAGGTGCTCCTTTGATCTTGACACCAACGAGACAGTCGAGGCAATAATGACGGGCAAGCCATAAATAAAAGGTGGTCGTCTAGGGTCATACACTGACCACGACATCCTCCTTGAAGCAGAGCAGCTGCAGCCGCATTTGATTCCTGAACCTCTTCAGGAGCTCATCTACGAGCCTGGCAGACAAAAATCGTGCAACGAGTGAGGACCACACCCAGAGCACAGGAGAAAAAGTTGACCACTCACTCCTTGTCTTTTGTACTGCTGAATGGATCTAGTCGGCTCCTGCAGATCATGAAGAATTTTCTGAAAAAGACAACATACAAATAGCAGGCACTACTAAGGTTTGCTGCCCAGGCTCGTTCATACCCAGTATTTTGCGTCCTGTAGGAGTCCACGGCTTCCTCTAGTGCTCTCAAGTCGAGGGTAGCCTGAAAAGAATTACTTTTGTCAAGCATTATACATAGAACTTAGCATGGATGGGCAAAATACATGCAAATATGTATCGAAATACAAAATACTTCGTCAAAAATGTATTTAATTACAAATCTAATTACATTTCCAAAAAAAGCATTTAAGTACAAGATACAAATACAACCAAATGTATTTGATCTCCCTCTAAATACTTTTCCAAATACATTCCTCAAAATTTGCGTCAGCGACTTCAGGGCACCTGCAACGGGTTTCTGGGTATCTCATTTTAATTTTGCATCGCACACTCGGGAGTTAGTGTGCGAGGCTCTAGTAACGTAAAATAGAAATATAATCAGCTTGGACGTAATAGGTTAAAGTACAGAGCTTCAAGCAGTTTTTTTTTGTCGATTACATTTTGGTATAGACCAACAAAGAACCGAGATGAGCAAGATGCGCAGCACTAGCTAGATTTTTTTATTGTTGCAACTCGCACCAGTTACGAAAATCTGGACGACCCGCGCATTTAGAATGTTCCAGGCAAAAATATGGATGGAAATCAGGCTGGAAAGCATCACAAGTTGTCACAGGCACTTATTTAGCCAGCCTGCCTGTGAACGTCAATTTGGTCACTATTCTTTCCCTGGACTAGCACCGTAATCACAGTCACTAAACGCTTTTACTTGATTGAGAGACACTGCATTCGGTGCAGAACGTAGCTTTCTTCCTGCTCTGGACAGTGACAATAAATTTGAGGGATGTATTTTCGCCCACAAAATTGTATTTAATTACAATTGTATTTGAAATACCCGCATTTTAGTATTTAAACACACATGTCAAATACATTACCCAATTTGTAATAATACAAATGCAAAATACACAAAGTATTTGAAATACGTATTTCAAATACTTGTATTTGAAATACTGCCCATCCCTGGAACTTAGTAAGGCAGGTAAGACACTATGGTCAGAATTCTAAGCCACAATCAAAACAGATTAAGACCTTTGAGGAGAGAGCTGTATGTGGGCCAAAAATTTACCTGGTGTGCAAAGTATCTTGCTAAGGGAGAACAATCCTTTACCTGCACCCCTAAGTACATATGTGAAGCACAAGTTACATCTATTTTTAGCATGCTAAAAGAGGCTGATTGTACTTTCACCAAGATATATCAGAAAATGCCAAGGCTGCATAAATACTCACTTGCATATTTCCATGTTTGGTAAATTTTTCAGTGCACTCGTAGAGACGAGATATCTCCTCAGCTACATTCTGTGCCAGTGGAGTCATTATCCGACTAACCAATGGGGGCGATATTGTATAAACCTGCCGGAGATAAATCAAAAGCCATCAGGGGACTTCTCTGGTCTTATGGAATCTTGCCATCATGGGCATGTCCAGCATTATCGAACAACATGAATGTCAAAGTCACTGCAAGCACCCCACCTGGGGTTCAATGGATCCCCAGTTAGTGCACAAAGGAGCCCACTGATACTCCCTTGTCCCATGTAAGCCTGGAACCAGGTTTCAATGTGGGACTAAAATTCCTCATCAAGCCAGCCTGATGTGTACAATTTTTGTCTCACCTCTGCATGAACCTCAATCATGCTCATAAGGGCTTCCTTGATGTACGAACTGACACCTATGAAGGGAAATGAAAAGCAGTTTATAATAAGAGCGAGCAATAACAAGACTAGTATTTAATATAAACAGTAAAGAGAGATGACCAATACTGGCCTGGTGCATACCCATAGGCTCGGCACACTTTTTCCAGTCAAAGGCTCCTGCATACATGTTTGGCTCGATGGCGCCAACGATAGGGTCACACTTGGCTTCAAGAAGCTTCTGGAAGAGCTTGCGGTCCAGCTCTGCCAGCCTGCTTAATGTCGTCTGTGACGAGTTTGGTCATCGATGGCAAAAAGTGGTCAATAGTGTTTATAGTCCATTCCAGATAATACATTCTGAGAACATTTCAGAAACACAGATAGGGAGAACAGAAGCAACAATAAAAGGTTTACCTGTATTACCAAAGACATGTCTGGGTAACCATGGCGCTCAAAACTCTCTTGTAGTCTTGGGATCACCACACGAGACGTGAAGCTGCAGTTACTGAGCACTATCAGCAGCCTCTTTTCCTGTTGCACATGCGAATTTGTTAAAACATAATACACGAATCAATGCACACAGTCAAATGTAGAAAGAAGAAACAGCATTATTTGATTACCAAAGGTGGTGTTGTCAATGAGTCCTCCCTCTTCTGCTTAAAACTTTTCGCCCTTTGGCCTGGTGGCAGAATTTCAACGTTACTTCTGCAAAAAGATACCACAAGACAGCTCATGAATTTTCCCATTACAATTCCAACACTCATAAATCCTGAAATTTAAAATGCATTGCACATACAACTACTAAGGTAGTGTGTTATATCTCAGAGTGGATACGAAGATATCAATATGAACATTTTAACTTTAATCCTCGATTGGGTGCATTCTAAACACAATTGAGCTTATGATGGCCATGAAGGACAAAGTTTGCAGGATATGAAATGCTAGACAAGACGACTGTTCACAGTAAAGTACTGTAACATTAACAAGGCTGCGTTACATAGCTACGTCGTGTTGTACGAAACAGCGTTCCAAGGAACAACGTTCCCGGAATGTGTTCCTTTTAGCAGGAACTAGGAATGCAGCTGTTCCATCTTGCATCGGTGGAAGTTTTCGAGGAAAACGGCGTTCCTTTTTTGTATTTATTTATTTGCTATTTCACCCGAATTTAGTAGGCATTTAGACTGTTTATTATCGACTATTTCAACCTCCAACTTCAAGAGATAAGGAAGTGTCCAAAAGGTAGTCGGAAACAAAGAACTGGAATAAATGTGATCGTAGTGACTTGACACATAGTTCGATGTGGATATTTTCACTTGCTTGCCTTATTTTACCTATGGATCATGCAGCACAATATTTCATTAAAATATGCGAATGTAACGTTAATATAAGGACACTCCAATCTTAGAAATTTAATGAAAATGCATTCCTTTTGAACCACTGGGACTTGTAACGGGAACTCGTTCAAAGACTGAGAAGGAACGAGCTTTCGTTCCTGTTTTGGAGCAATGTGTACAACACTAGCTATGTCATTCTGATATGTTGTCTTCTACAATGATCCCTGCTGTTCGACAAATTACTTGAATTGTTGCGTTGTACTCCGAATGCAAACTTTGGCAGAATGTAAAAACTAGTTGTAACACTCCGAGACTCTCAGAAATCGGCCTTTAAAAGGATGGTACAAATGTCTGTACAGGAACCAGAATTTGAACCAAACATGGACCCACCCAATGGCATCTATAATGGGAGAAAGGCGATCGGGGCTCAAGGCACACTTCTCCAGGGTCTCGACAAATGCCTGCAGCACTGCCTGGGCATACTGCTTGATTGTTCCTTGGACATTGATCTGCTCAAACACCTGGCAAATTCAAACAAAACAATTTTTCATGTGACCACCATGCTACCAGGACGTGAGCTGTAGTAACGGTCATGCAATATCAACATATTCCAAGGAGTCTGTTCCACCGTACCTCCATTTCTCTGGGTCCAGATTGCAGAATGTTTTCACGTACCAGCTGCAGAGTCTCAACTACACGGTTCTCAAACATTAAAGGCTAAGAGAAAAAAAAATAAAAAATTGGGGACAACGTTATAGCGGTATAAACGCAGATTCATGCACATGCACACTTGTTATATGCAACATTAGAACACTTCAATGCTTCATGTGTACACTTAAAGGGGCAGTGCAACAATTTTTGTACTTGCAGTAAATACCACTTAGGACTGTTCTTTACATTCAGAAACCATAAAACATGCTTTTTTTTCTCCGCGCGATGGCAGTAGAAGAAAAAAATTTGAGAAAAACAAACGGTGTTCACGTCCTCAACACGCAGCCAGAACAAGTGGCCACGTGATCTGGAGCCGATTATAATACCGCCAATGTTCCATAGCCGCACGCCAGGGTTGGCAAAGCACAGGGCACGCGCCGAGTTCCACACATTGTTAAGGTTTGGCCATTCCTGTCATCGCAGTAATTGGGCACGAGCCACTACACAAATGCATGTCGAGGCATTGATTGTCACGAGCCCAGATCGAATGCTCATGCAGTGCTTGTGCCCACACTATGAGCTGAATATAAATATCATCCCCGCGGGGACCGCAAAGCTTGACGACAAAATCCTAGGGATTGCATTCTTGACCAAGCTAACAATGCCACTGCCACCAACTTCAGCATAAAGTTTTGCGAAGGAGAGACCTTTTGCTTTTATCTTTGAAATCGTGCAGCGACAAAGAAGCTTCTTGGTCAGTGGCATTGTGTCTGAATATACTTGTGTCCCACTAGTGCCAGTAGGCTTGTGTAAACTAAGAAACATTCCTAACCAATACCGTTGCACGGCCCCTTTAAGGCCTGTTCACACATGCAGCACAGCGCTAACTTGGCAACATGGACACAGTGCTCCACAACACGAGACCCAACGTTTTTTTGTTCACACACAATGCAGTGCTCTACAGTGCTAACTCGGCCCCAAGTTGATATTGACAATACCGCTGATGCGGTGCTAACTTAGCACTGGGATGCATGTATGAGCCGGCCTTTAATATGTGCCACATGCACACTTTATGATGTGCTATAGAATGACGCAAGAGACAATCACAATCCATAAGCAGTTTAGAACACTCTTCAAATCAAAGCACCCTCTAATCCGGGCAGAAAGGAAGTCCAAGAAATGCTGTCTGGGCCTTTTCCAGGCAAGATACATACAGGGCATTTGCATATAAGGCAGGTAAATAGCAGAAGCTTGTAGGAAGAGCCCAAACCTTCCTGGACAACCTCAGAATGGCAGCCAGTTTTATTGCTAAATATTCTAAGGAAGCAACAGTTGCCATTCCCTGTACATCTGTCGCTTCATATCTGCACGAGATATTGACCACTCACCAGGCATGCCAAGGCAATATGCGAGCAAAACAACACCCAAATGTGTTGGCCGATTCCTTCACTCGAATCCTACGGAATCTGAGGTCCAGTTAAAACCCCCATAACCCAAGACATGCTATACTTACTGCATGGTAAAACAGTGCCCTCTAAACCAAAGCCCACTTGCAAACGCAAATTCAACCTTGCGACATTTCAAGCGCAGCAAGTGTGTCCGTACCAACTGTGTGGTGCCGCCACACCGATCATCCTTCTCCAACCTCCAAACTTCAGACTTGAGCAAGTTTCTGACATCTGAGAAAGATGGAACCATAATGTAGCTTTTCTTTGCCACAGTGGACCAGGGCGATTAGGCATTTCAAGTACACAACATGCGGCAGTTGCTCAAAATGTGGTGGCACCTTCTGCGGCTTGTCCAAAGAGGCACGTCATAGAATGCACACGCAGGTCGAAGATGAGCCGCTGCACCAAGGACGTATTCTCCTCAGGAATGTCCAGCTTGAGGAGAGACAGGTAGCACTGCCTGAAGCAGTAACAGCGTGTTTTAGGGTGCAATCCTTTAAGGCTTCCAGGTGACTTCCAATATACCATATTAGTCGAGTAATAGCCACACTATTTATGAACAAGGCCCTTGCGTCTACTTTCCCACAGAACACATTTACAGCCAATCATCGCGTTGCGCATAAATAACACAACGAATAACCAGATCCAGAACACGATTCTCCATGCAAATGCAATTTTCAGATGGTATCTTTGCACGAAGACGTTATCTCTGTCCTGTAAACAGCTGGAATCGTGCTGTCGATCGCGGTGATTGGCAATCTGCGTGCTCCGCGGAAAAGCGAGCGCTCAGGTTTTCTGCATAAACAGTGTGGCTATTACTCGAATCAATGTGGTAGAATCAACACACAAACTTTATGCTTGACAATCTTTCTACTAAATGGCGAGGCTTTTTGCTGGAGCCGAATTAACAGATGTAGAAAACATTGTTTATGTTCAGCAAAGGTTGGTCATCCTGTGGCACAATGAAAACTACTACTAGTAATGTTCACAGGATTTGGGATTGGCCTTTACAATAGCAATCGCAATATTAACCCTTTGACGGTCGTCGCCTCCCTACATGTACGACGGCAATTACACATTTAACGGAAAACAGTACGCACTGCAGGAGGTGTTGCTAATTGTTAAATCTTTAGCAAACAGTAAACGTTATGTTTGTATGGTGTTTCGCTTTTCTGAGACTATTTATAGTTTTGAAATTAGACGTTCCGCACACGTGCAAGATGGTCACTTCACATGCCGGCTGCTCCGGCAGTAGTGGCAATAGGAGCGCAGACACTTCCAATTCAGACTTTTAACGCTTCCCAGAATTGGATTCAGAGAATGAGACCATACCATTCTATGGAGATGCTCTATAAATGTACCTCCAGTTCAGAATCAAACCGCTGGAATGTCACTGAACTGGACGTGCCAAAATGAAACCGAAGGGAAGAAAAAGGGAGAACTTTTCGCCTTCAATGTTTCCATTGATGCTTCTAAACCTTAACAGCTTGCAGGTACTGTACATTCTCGTGCTAGGCAATTAGGAAAAAAAAACTGGGCATTAACCCTTTCTTTATACAATACCTCTGCAAAAAAAAAAAAAAATCCCGATTACCACTCGGAAACATTTTTTAGGAAAAAAAAACTCAACCGTCAAAGGTTGTCTGTCCATTTGTTTCGGGAATGACACCAGACAACTCATGCCTCCTCCTCCTCTGATTAAGAATGTTAGCCGTTCTTAACAACACCTCTTTGGTGCACACTTCTAATACAAAGTGGAAATGGCACAGTGCTGTAGCTGCACACAGTTAGCTAATAATGCTGCTTTTTATTGCCCTTTTTTAAAGGACAGTATCAGAAGGTGCTTCACTAGTAACCAACACTGTCGTTTTGGAAAGCTGAGATGGTTATGCTCGAGTCCCACTAGAGCGACAAACAGAAACAAACGAACAAGCGTCAAACAGATGCAGCATGCTCGTGCGCTGGTACGTTGGCAGGCGTTTAGTCGTTCGGTGCTCGTGAAATAAACGCGAGTGATTGCAAGCCTGCCAAAGATACCCTCGCGTGCATGATGCTCGTGTTTGAGCATAGCCTCCTTTAGTCTACAAAGCCTGTCAAATCGCGAAAGACTTTGGTTTGAGGCTTGTCGCTGTCGTTTGTTTCTGTTTTTTGCTCTAGTGGGACTTGGGCATTACTGAGGGTATCTAAGCAAGAACAGAAGAAATAAAAGTATAGTAGTGGGTGATACCGAATTGAGCGCAAGCACTGAGGTAGCCATGGTCCCAACTTCTCGTTGGTTTTGTGGCCAGGCCAAGCAGAAACCCTGTGTGCTTGCTTAGCCAGAGAATGATGGGTTGGAGGCAAGAGTGCCACACGCACTTCCCAGGACAGCTGACCCACCAAAGATGCCACCATTTCCTGTTGAGGGGAATCAGAACACACTCATTGATTCCCCCATTTCTGGCAAGCAAAGTCTGTTTAATTGTCATCCCAACTTACACCACCAGAAGCATCTGCAAAGAATTATAGACATTACTGCAAATGCTACAAAGAAGTTCAGTATCTTCACAAGCTTTAATGCAAACATTTTATGCTTATTGTCGGTGACTAAACCATGGTGGGATATTGTTTCGAGGTATTTGGTTAATGACTCACCCTCAATTCTTTTTCATCCCGTTCTCTGTCATTTACGGAAGCATCCTGTCGAGACAAACATGTGCAAAACGTTACCGAAAGCTAGGCCCGAAATCGTACTAGGGAATGTGTAGCAGAACAGTGGAAGATAAGCAAACTAGGCAGAATGGCAAACCTCAACAAGGAAATCGCCTGCAAAGTAGGACAGGCCCAGCTTCCAGAAGTCGCATAGGTGCTTCTGAAAAAGCGCGGTCACTTCTTCCACAAAAAGAACTTGTCTGGGAAGGTCAGGATGGCTCTCTTCACTCCTTTTCCGTTCGTCTTCATCACCTTTTGCCACTGAAAGGTAGACATGCAATGACCTACATGCACACTCTAGCCATGATGTAGATTGCTTGGTCACCATAAAAGGTGAAATGAGGACAAGGAAACCTTCTCATGAAGTTTACATTGCCTCCTACAAAAGGAGATTGGTCTAGAGAAACTGGTTTAGTAGGGTACGTTGTTGGGCTAGTTGGTTCATCTTAGTAAAACATATAAAATAGCGCAACAGAAAGACAAGGACAAGAAGACTCAGATAAAATTCCAGTAATGCCATGAAGCTGTCCAGAGGAATACCAGAAGCATTCTGGATAGCCACCACGCCACTTGCTTTGATACACCCGATGACAGAGCGGTACATTTCTTCATGCGGCAGCGCCTGTCCTGTATACTTCTTGTCCTTGTCTTTCTGTTGCGCTATTTTATATGTTTTACTAGAGAAACTGCATGATCCTTATCACCAAACGAAGACGCAGCTCACGGACTATAAAAATATATTTCAGCAAAGCTATGTAGACTTACATACGGACAGATGTTTCTGTTTGCATGTTTCCACAGAGTTGAGAAGCCAGTTGTAGTTATGCCTCACAGCGTCCCAAGCAGGACTACCTGGCACTTCCAGACTGATCAAGTACCTTTGAAATGGAGAAAAGCAAAATCTTATACTTGCTGACATCAGCAGCGCAGCCTTAACGAGCTTTTCTTTTTTTGTATCTGAAATATAATTACCATAAAATCCCGAGGAGGCCCACCTAACATCAAGAGCAAATCGGGTGAAAGTTTGGAGTGGGCTAACTTTCGGTGTACAATCAAGAAAGTAAAAAAAGATGCTCTTTTTAGGTTGTGTCCCGTCCAAGCTTGTTATGGTGGCGAGGGGCAACGATGCAAAGATGACTACTTTCCAGTCAGCAATGTGTGCTCATATCCCGCCATAGCTAACTAGCCGCATTTACGCCGAGGCCATCATTGATCTTGACACTACTATTACAAGGACAGGGTAATCTTTTGGTGCTTAAAAAAAAAATGAAGCAAATCAAGCCGAAAATAGGGGTGGACTATCTTTCGGAGGTGGAGCATCTCTTGGGATTTTACGGTACCTCTGCACTCCTGAAAGAAACTTGATTTCACAACCAATTCTATGTGGTGTACTGATGTATTCCTAGAGATTAGTTTTGAGCCAAATATTACTGCAGTGTCTCTTTAAGGCTCTGCCTCATTCACGGCCTGCAGAGAGTAGACGATGGTTCACCTGATGAGGCGCTTCTGCTCTTCGACTGGCATGGGCAGCTGCTTGAGACTGTCCATGAGGGCATTACGAAACCGCTGCACTCTTTGCTCAACATCCTGAAACACTGCAAGAAAAGAATTTTAAGCTGTTGGTCAAATTTAAGGCAATTTTTGAAAATCAAGATTAAGGTGTACTGTACAAGTGAAAAGGTGCTGCTTACCCCTGCGGAAGACAGCAACCTCAGTGTCTTGAAAAACAGACTTTGCACGGTTGTAGTCATTGATAACTACATCATAGTCCCCCTGTTGGAGTGTGTAATAGCAGTGTCTTCACTGTCTGGTCACCAGGGTGCAAAGTCATCAGATTCAATCGGCATTACCTTCTGAATGTTCTTTTCGATGGTGACAGGTAAGTTGAACAGAAAGCGGAACTTCTGCAAAATGCTAAGAGCATTTCGTGTTGAATCTGCCTGGTCTTTTCTTGCCAATATGGATTCAAAGATGTTTTCTGCCTCCTCCTTGGATCCTTGAAAAAGATTAGATCCTTGCGAGTTTAGTCCATCAAGTGTCAAGAAGACGGTAGTATAAAACAGTTTCGGCTCTTTCTCATTTCTGCTCAGGCAGGAGCAGTTTACTGGGTAACGTTGCAATGAGACAGACACCGCTTTTGAGTGAATACATTAGAGTCTCGTGGAAATGGAGCGTGCTGGTTAAGTTACGGTGTTTGTGGAGAATAACATAGAGGACGAAAACAGGACGACACGTTTCTCCAACTGGCAGCATACATTTATTTTGACGCCCGTCACCGAACGCGACAGTCACCGCGCAGAGTTGGAAGGGTTGAGGAGGACAGAGAAGGAAGGGAGGGTGGGGGTGGAGAGAGGATGGAGATGGAGGAAAAGAGAAACATGTTTTTAGCCGGCAGCGCACGCCGAAGTCAAAAAAGGGGGGGGGGGGGGGGGGGGGTAATAAGGGAAGTGACCTTGAGGAGGGAAGGGCGACCCTACTTCAAAGGCGCCTACGTTTGTCGCAACTCCGGACGCAGAAAGGAAACGTCGGCGTCGGAGAGACAAAGCGATGGGGACCCGATGTTTTGCGGTGAATGGCGCATAGCGAAGGCTTCGATAATCTCGCGGCCGTATCTTGACCTGTGTGTGCCCACTGTCGTGGTGGCCGGAAACTCTGGTTCGCAGGTGGGGCAAGAACCGACGTGCTGGGCAATTGGGTGCAGGGAATGGAGGGATGGGTTGGAAGCCGCCTGTTGTACCTCGTTGGCGTGCTCCCTTAGGCGGTCGTTTAGACATCGGCCTGTCTGGCCGATGTATTGCGCGCCGCACCCGAGCGGGATCGAGTAGACGCTGGCCTGTCTACAAGGAACGAACTTGGTGGCGTGTTTTTTGGAGCACGGCTTTGGGGCGGTTGGGTTGTTGACCTTCCTGCAGAGCGAGGAGAGCCTGAGGCGACATGAAAAGAACACCTGCGTGTCATGTCGGAGTGCTAACGATTTGATTCTGTGGGAGACGTTGTGCACGTATGGAATGCACGCGAAGCGGGATGCGCGTGGCCTGCTCTTAGGTTGTGTGCCGGAGGCCTGGGCTGTCATAATGCGTTTTAATCGGGTCTCAAGTAAGTCTTTTGGGTAGCCCGCTTTGACGAGGCGGGTGAGCTGTAGGGAGCAGCTCGTCGAGATTAAGTGAGAGCATGACTTGGATCGGGATGAGGTTAGGAGGTTATGAACGATTCCGCTTTTGACGTTTTTTGAATGGTTGCTGTGGAAGGGAAGCACTGGTTTGCAAGATCTTTGCTGGAAGGACCAGCAAATGCCGGAATCCTTGGGGTGAAGGCGAAGATCCAAGAACTGTAGTCCGTTCTGTGTGGGGGCCTCGCTGGTAAATTTTAGACCGAACGAATTATCTGAGAATATCTGCTCAATATTTTTTTTTTTAGGACCTCAGATCCTAAAAATATTGAGCAGATATTCTCAGATAATTCGTTCGGTCTAAAATTTACCAGCGAGGCCCCCACACAGAACGGACTACAGTTCTTGGATCTTCGCCTTCACCCCAAGGATTCCGGCATTTGCTGGTCCTTCCAGCAAAGATCTTGCAAACCAGTGCTTCCCTTCCACAGCAACCATTCAAAAAACGTCAAAAGCGGAATCGTTCATAACCTCCTAACCTCATCCCGATCCAAGTCATGCTCTCACTTAATCTCGACGAGCTGCTCCCTACAGCTCACCCGCCTCGTCAAAGCGGGCTACCCAAAAGACTTACTTGAGACCCGATTAAAACGCATTATGACAGCCCAGGCCTCCGGCACACAACCTAAGAGCAGGCCACGCGCATCCCGCTTCGCGTGCATTCCATACGTGCACAACGTCTCCCACAGAATCAAATCGTTAGCACTCCGACATGACACGCAGGTGTTCTTTTCATGTCGCCTCAGGCTCTCCTCGCTCTGCAGGAAGGTCAACAACCCAACCGCCCCAAAGCCGTGCTCCAAAAAACACGCCACCAAGTTCGTTCCTTGTAGACAGGCCAGCGTCTACTCGATCCCGCTCGGGTGCGGCGCGCAATACATCGGCCAGACAGGCCGATGTCTAAACGACCGCCTAAGGGAGCACGCCAACGAGGTACAACAGGCGGCTTCCAACCCATCCCTCCATTCCCTGCACCCAATTGCCCAGCACGTCGGTTCTTGCCCCACCTGCGAACCAGAGTTTCCGGCCACCACGACAGTGGGCACACACAGGTCAAGATACGGCCGCGAGATTATCGAAGCCTTCGCTATGCGCCATTCACCGCAAAACATCGGGTCCCCATCGCTTTGTCTCTCCGACGCCGACGTTTCCTTTCTGCGTCCGGAGTTGCGACAAACGTAGGCGCCTTTGAAGTAGGGTCGCCCTTCCCTCCTCAAGGTCACTTCCCTTATTACCCCCCCCCCCCCCCCCCCCCCCCCCCCTTTTTTGACTTCGGCGTGCGCTGCCGGCTAAAAACATGTTTCTCTTTTCCTCCATCTCCATCCTCTCTCCACCCCCACCCTCCCTTCCTTCTCTGTCCTCCTCAACCCTTCCAACTCTGCGCGGTGACTGTCGCGTTCGGTGACGGGCGTCAAAATAAATGTATGCTGCCAGTTGGAGAAACGTGTCGTCCTGTTTTCGTCCTCTATGTTATTCTCCACAAACACCGTACATTAGAGTGCAAGTAAAAACATACTTAAGACTGCTTCGGAAAGTTTTTCTGTCAAGTCAGATCCCATCTCTTGCTTATCTTTCTCCATTGCCTTTTGAAGTTCTGAAAAAGAGACTTGTTTGCTTCTTTAGGCGTACCACAAGAAACAGGCTCTTCTTTATAGTAGTACATAGTTGGGTAACAAATCTGAAGCATACCGTGAAGTACGTCGAGACAGATGACAATGGCATTGACATTTGATTTTAAAAATGATGAGGGACCCTCTTGAAGTTGTCCAACCTTGCGCTTTAGGCTCATGAGACCTGCTTTCAAATCACTAAAGCTGGAAAAAGAGAAACAGCTTTTATCTGTGTTCCTAATTTGGGGGTAAAAAAAAACGTTTTTTTTTCTTTCCTAAAACAAAGTTTTTTTTGTTTTTTTATGCATAAAATAAACAATCCTAACTGTAATGAGAACAGTGTGGGATGTAAATCCACACAAACAAATAAAAGTGTGGGTATATTTGAAACTTGGAATAATTATTGAATAGTGTTTGTTATTTGATTCAATTCACAGCATGCCTTTATTTCTCTTAGTATTCCAAATAAACGTTTTTGGAATTTCGCGGTGTCTCGCATCAAGCTTCATTGCTTCGCACCAGTGTAAAGCAGTGAAGCTTCAGTGCTCCGTGTCTGCGTGCAAGTGTCAAGTTTCACTGCTTTGCACCTAAGTACTAGGAGAAACTGCCGTCTTGTCAGGACATCTCTGCTGGCTAGACTGTCTCGGTAATTTTGTTCACTACTGCAGGTCAGCCTTTGGTTATTATTGCAGTTCAACCCCAATTTTAAAGGGCAGTATTGGGAAAAAATATAACCCACATAGAAATAAGGGAGTCATTGCTTTGCTTACCGTGTTACATCACATCTTACCAAACTCGTCTTATTACGGCCTTCATTCTCTTAATACAAGTATTGAAATCATTCTCATGCAATAATCTATTCCTCTTCATAGATAAGGTTTCAATAAAAGATGTCCCACCATAATTTTTTTAAAGCATTCATGCTCAATTTACATTAAATATAAGATATTCATGTTCGAAAATATTTTAATTCAATTCACAGTCGAACCTCAATATTAGCATATGATTCGCAGTAAAAATTTTGGTATTTGCACACCTTTAGAAACTACCATGCTTACCTTGTACTGTTGTAATTTTCCAAGAGGTACCATGTTGGGTTGAAGTTCTCAGAAAGCAAATTTCCAGAGCCTAATGGAAAAAAGCAAATCACAAGTATCATCAATTATGCTACTTACCTCGAAGGAGTCGCGACAAAAATATTCATTGGTTGCTTAAAGGGATGCTGAACCGAAATTTTGATTCCACAAAACACGCGGTAAAAGCGTGCAACGGGATGCTACAAACGCCAAAACATCACTCATACAGCGATATATCAAACAGATGACCAAATTTTTTAAGAAAAGGAGGCGCATTTGACAGAGATGATGTCGTCATGTTTCTCCGAGAAGGAGAGGGAACGGCCTCGCGTCTTCTTTGCCTCGCGGCCTTGAGGGAGCGAAGCGAAGAGAGGAGGAAACTCGGTATAATGACGTCACGCGCCTCATCGGCCTGGTTCAATCTCGACCTCTTTTTCCGAAAATACGGCCATCCATTCGAGATATCGCCTTACGAGTAGTGTTGTAGGGATTGTAGCGTCCCGCCTACATTTCCTGCATTGTTTTTCTGAAATCCAAATTTTGGTTCACCATCCCTTTAAGCTATCAACCATTTAAAATCCACAATTTGCACCTGGTGACCAGGCAACCATGGAAAGTCTCAGCTGTAACCAGATGCAACCAACCAGTAGCCTGCTCCATACCGCGTGCCCTCCACCCTCACTCCCAATCAGAGTTGCTTGCCTCTGCACACCTAGAGCATAGTCTCCAAAATGCTAGGGCCGTGGTTCTCAACTACTGACGTTTTGGAGACCCCTTCTGGAACAGCGGAAGTGATGGGGGACCCCATCCACAGGGGAGGGGGGATAATAGACGATTACAATGAAGGGCTAGCTAAATAAAGAAAACTATATCCATGCAAGCTAACTCCGAAGTTCTGAAACAGACTAATCAACCTTACTCACTCAGTGCACATGTAAAACGGTAAGCATCAAATAAAAAAAAAATTATTTTATTGTTCAGTTGAGGCTTCGGGAATCCCAAAGGGGTCTGCGGTCCCCCATTTAGAATTGCTGCGTTCAGGCAACTAGGTGGTCAAGTGATGAAAGTTTCTAAAAATGCTCGCTGGGTTGGTGGAGTCAAGGGGTTCATAAGTGCATCCAATCTTTTTGTAAAACTAAAGCAATGTTCACAACAACAAAAACAAATATTGGAAGCAGTTTGTCACACATAACGATTCCATCTTCTATGTGACGTGGCTCCTTTAAAAAAAATTCAAATGAACCAGAAATGGTTACATCACCTTCAGGAAACAACTGTCGAAGTTCTTCTTCAGGGAACCTTCTCCTGGAAAGGCCGATAAGAGAGGAAGGCAAAAATAATCATGAACTCGAGAAAAACAGCATGGAAGTCTTTCAGTTGTCCCGCCTCCAGTGCAAGATTCCAGGATGAACTACAGTGCGAGTCGAAAGAAATTTCTTGTCCTGTCAATGACTACCTATACAAGCATGACACCCTGAAAACCATCATCATCCAAAACAAAACAGTTCATGTTTTCTACTGTCACTGCATAAAGGAAGACATACATAGAAGATATGCTCTGGAATAATGAGCTTAATATTATTTTGAAGCTCTTGCCCACTGCAGAAGCCGAGAGCGAGTACTAACAAATACTGTAGACAGATTACGATTCCTGGGGTTTGTATCTTCACAAATTTCATGGATTGAAGTGAGTGAAAAGTTTATCATGCAAATAAATCATCCACAATAATTAGTATGTGGGGTTCATGGGCCAGTTCACCCTCAATTACAAGGTTTTAATTAGGTAAAACATCCCCGAAAAGGCAACACTGTGGGAAATTATTAGGACTGAACATACCACAAATTCACCATTTACAGGATGAATACTGTGGCTAGAGAACTGGGTGTGCCAAACAGTAATGAGTGCACACCACAACTTGGAAGTGGCTCATCAGGCTATGCTGCAGAAGCCATGTATGCTAGGATCCTCAAATTGACAGCTGTGTTGAGCAAGATGAAGATGGTCCTGCTTACAGGAAGTTACCAAGAGAAAGACGAAAATTTCAAAGGAGGAGATAAACACATTTCTTTCCAGAAATATCTTAAGAACAAGAAAACGTTCACACTACATAAATGTCCGAGATTGACACACTTCACCGTAGTTACAAAGCTGAGCTATCAAAATTTGAATGCATGCAGCCCTCAAGTTGGTGTTTGCATGGACCATAGTAAATCCAAAGTTTACGAACTAGTTACCTTATAACTCCAATCACATAAGAAAACAATGAAGCGAGAGACTCTGCCAAAGTAGCCAAGTTTATTTAAGGCCTTCTGCACTTTCTAGGAAAAACAAGCGGTACCCGAGCAACGTACGACCACACACTTGTACATTTGTACTAGAAAGCTCGCATTACAACTTAGTGATGGTACGTGGACATGCGACAATGTACTTACACAGATTCATCCGAGATCCCGAGGGGATCTTCAGGGTGCAGCTGGGCGGGCGACGTCGGATGCTTGTGGCCGAAAGCATCGGAAAACATGTGCGATTCGTCGACCCAGATAGCAGACTCAACAGTGGGACCTGCACCAGTCAACAGGCCCCGGTTTTCGGCCTTCCTTTTTCAGACATCACAGGACGTAGCACGAGTTAGACCCTCCACTCACCTATCACTTCCAAGATGCCCCGAAAATGCACTGTGCAGGTGCCGACGCCTCCGGATCGAGTTGTGACGAGGACTTCGCCTCTGCCGGTGCAAACTCTTGTCCTGGTGACGATTTTGCTCGAAGATTTCCACTCCGAGTACATGGAGCAGTCCACGCCACATATCGTCACATCTGCGAGAGGTCTCTCTCAGTATGCAGACGGTCGGCCAACTGACGCAGCTCACTTACTGACTAGGTCGTTCTGGTCGATTCCTAGGTTCTCCCCCCGAATCGTCACTTTGGTCCCCGGTGGCCCCTCGACGGGCGAAAGCCCGGTCACTTTGGGGGGCTCGCCTGTCATTGCTGCACACCTTTCCTGGCAAGTACCGTGTCACGCAGGTCAAATGGCTTTCGCCTGGGAAGCCGAGTCATTGATGTTGACGACAGCGGGACGGCACGAGATGTCAACAAAAAATGGGGATTATCAATATCCTAGCCAAAAAAAGAAAAACAAGAACGGAAGGTGGGGGATCCGGTGGGCGTGTGCGTGTGTGCCGGTAAAGTGTAGGACAGATGCTGCATCGTACGACAACTTCCCAAACGCCCTTAAAAAAAAATGTAAATAAAGTAAACGGTGTTTCGTACTGTACCTAAAGCCCCTGTGATCTTGTTAATCTGGAGACTACAAGCATTTCAGCGCCAAATCAGTCAGCTTTACGTCAGCTTCACGGGATGGGATATCCCAGATCGGCAGCTCCACAAATCAAGCCCTCGCCCAAGTAGATGGAGAGATCTAATCAGTGCAGTGTGAAGTCAGTCAAGTAGCCGGCAACGAGTACCCAGTTCAGGACAACACGGAGGTCGTTTCGCAATTTTTTCAAAATGATCTCATTCTAACTTTAAGAGTTCTTACTTGTTTCTAAAATAAGAGTTTCCCTGATGTTTTTTTGTTTTAACTTTGAATAAATTTTATGTGAGGTAACATTTGCAAAAAGTGCAAAAAGTGTCAGGGAGTGTGTTTGTATTCTACGTAAGTAAGGTGGCGCATGCTACGCTTTAGAATCACAATAACTATTTTATTATTTCTCTAGACCTTCTAACTCACAGCGTGGCCATTGTGGTTAATGAAACATTCGCCAAGTTTTTAAAAGTTGGCAGAGGTTATTCTTTTTATCTATTATTTTAGCATGTGTCAGTGTTTCTTTTTATCTATAAAATACTTTATACATTAATACAGTAAATTATGCTACCAGTAGTCTTATAAATATTCGAGTTCCTACTTGTGCGAAATGACACAAAACTTCAATTATTTTTTTAAAATTATAAATAGAAGCAACATTTTTTTTAAATTCGATTATACAATATTTAATCTGATAAATAATTTTCTAGATTCCCAGTTGGTTTCAGCTTAGACACGTGGTGTCTGGCTGTGCCCGATGTCAGCGCATGCTCCCTCTGGGCCCTCCGGCCGTCTTCCGCCATTTTTAGCGAAACATCATGTTGGTTTGGTGCGTTTGTATGCCATGACGCAGAAGTTTCTGCAATGGGCGAAACATATGTGGTATGTCACAGCATGCGCAGTTCTTGACGCGTCGGGGATTAGTTAAGCTCGCTCCTTGCGGTGGCATGGCCTGGGAGGGCCAGCTACTGTGTTGGTGCTGTCTTTGCTCCGATCGGAGAGGTGTAGTCAACTTTTTTTAGGCCTACTGACTAACCCTAAATGCGTGTTCAACGTGGGCTTTGTTACTGTGTTATTATAAGATACGACGCTTGTGGTCTTCCGAACGGATGACGAGAGGCGCCTGGAATGGTGGGTAGCCGGCTGGCTTCGGTTGACGCCGATCTAGACTTGCACGAGCAGCGTAAAACAAAGGTAGCGGCACACGTTGTAGATTTACGCTCAACTATCATGTATGGTCCTAAAATAGACGAATTCGCAACCGTGCATTTCTAGTTGTCAATCGCCTTGTTGCTCATGCACTTGTGTATCGTGTAATGCGCCTGGTGTAATCAGTGTCTGTGAATGTTGAGGCTGTTTGTTTCCGTGTGGTTTCTCATGGCCGCGTGAAGACCGATCGAACTTTTGTAGATTGGCAGCGGGCACATAAAATCTGCATGTCCTGGAACTTGGTCGTATTGTGCGGTTACCCCTTTCCTACAGGGGCACCCTGCGCGCCGATTGTCGTTAAGAGCAACAGAGTAGTGGTTTCATAGGAGCAGTATTTTCTGGGCGCACTCCCGGCTCTGACGGCTAGTGCTCGCGCGTCGTGGTTTTCGAGGGATTGTTCACAATTGTTTAGTTCTCGGAAGACACATTTGTGGTATAATCTTGTCAAAAAAATTTATTGATCTGGAAAAAGAAAAAAAAAAGTGTTAGGTTTGTGTACAAAAATGACTTCTATGTTTTACTCGTGCTGCTGGTGCTAGCTCTGCAGTAGTTCTTTTCTGTTCAGTTGTCTGGTTAAAAACAGCTGAAAATGTATTTTCAGCTGTTCTCAACCTGAAATATTCGGTTTTAGGAATGTCGGCTTTGCACTTTCGTGAGTTGAAAATGCATTGTGTGAGTGAGCCATTAGGCAACATTACTTACGTTCTTGAAAAAGTTGTGAAAACGTTTACCCTGATTCTCGTGCTGTCGATTGCACAGATCACAACAATGCTGTGTCCTGTGCAGTCGTCACGTTGTGTTGTCACTCTGAGAATAAGCATGAATTGCTGTGCACATTAGAGGTGTTTGCCAGGACAGTCTGATTACTAATAGCCTTAACAAAATAAACCATATATTGAGTGGGCTCCATGCTGACAAGGAGCGTGCGATACTGAGAGGGGGGTGCCAGTTCTTATGCCAATGCTCCTAGTAATTGCACGAAAGGAAGAGCCTGAAATTGATGCATCATGTCAACAATGGAAGGATCCAAAATTAACAATTAATATCCCAGTCATTTGGAAATTCTAAATCGCATATAGCCAAGTACCATTCACGAAAATGCAAACCATCATGTATGTTGTGTCTTGCATGGCACCCAGAACTAAAACCTCAAGCTGATTCGCCAAATGCTGTCCAGCTATATGTCATTTAAACTGCCATCTAAATGTACATTTGCAGTACAATTTGGGGAAAGGGAAGACAAAACACCCTCTCCTTCCAACTCCTGGGCATTTCCAATGCCCCTGGACCACACCATTACATTTGATGTATCCATATCGGAGCGTAATCCATTGACTCCCAATTTTTGCACGGCTCGGAGGTGCAACCTCTTTTCCAGGAAAAATTGTCTATACAAGAATTGCATGGGAGAATATTGTAGCAAAAAAGGTGGCAATGTGGCTCACATCCATAGCATATGGCAAACTGGAAGGATGGAAGAACTGCTCATACAAGTGACACATTGTTAAAGGGCCCATGAAACAAATTTTCGGCTAGAATAAATCAATTTATGTTAGGATTTTACTAATAGCAGATCGTTCAGTGTGCCAAAAGAAAAAAAAAGGTAGAAAGTCAAAGCCTGACTTTCGGTACGGAACTTTGAAAATGGAGCAAACTATTTTGTACCTCCTTCCCTTCGTAAGCTCTCTGCCTTTTCACTGTGATACATCCGCGGTCCCCGCAATGTGTCACCATGCCCAAACGCACGTCGCACGACACCGGACCTCACTTATTCCCTTCACCCCTAAGCTGACATTGTGGTGGAAGCTGCACGCTTGCCGGACTAATCAGCCACCTCCCTTTCATCACATGACCTCATTCTTCGCGCGTGGGTATGCGTGATCACGTGGCAAAAGTGTGGCTGGCCCAACGAGCAGGTAGCTTCCACAGCACTGTCAGCTTCGGGGTGAACGGGGTGGGGAAAGCAACGTTTGTCTGAATTTTGAGCGACGGGTTAATCTTCTAGGGGGACGGTGGCTGTGTCCGGATACTTGAGCAAGAGGTGACCCCCCCCCCTTTCCGTCTTCTTGAACTGTTTGGTAGAATGCGCGATTTATGAGTTAAAGAAAGCTAAACAGGAAGAAGTTGGAGAAGCGTTTCATGACTTGGCTTCGACCTTGTTCCGAAGGGTTGACTTTTATAACTAGAAGTTTGTGTTTAGAATCCGAGGGATGTCGGGACCAATGCGCGAATCCTTTAGTTTTTTCTGCTCAATATCTAGGTTGTGGTTTCACTGTGTGTTAATTTAACTTAATTTTGGTACTATGCATTTTTGTCACTACGCCAGAGGGAATGCTTTTTAGGAAGGCAGACACTAAACGAAGGCACACGCGCTGCTAGTTATGTTTATTGGATGTTATTTTTTACATTTAGTGCAGTGTGCGTGTTGGATATTATTTGGCACCTTTAGTGGTTGTGTTACTGTATGATACCAACATCACTTGATGTTGACAACAGTTGCCCTCACCTCTTTAGTAGAATGGGAAACGTTCAGCTATCATTCTAGTTGTTGGTACAGTAATGGTTGCCTACACATTACTGAAACCCTCCACATATTTTTGTGATATCAAGTTTCCCCAAGCCTAGGAACCTTGGCAGATAGTAACGATAACCATCTCACCTCTGGTCCCCCACGAGAGAAGAGGGGAAGGAGGAACCCCTCTCCCCGAGAATCTCTTTTGTGGGTCCCAGAAGTCGCTATTGTCCCTCTACAAGATTATAGAAGATTAACCCAAAACTCAAAATTCGTACAAAAGCAGCTGCTTAGGTTGCCGGAATTACTAGGCCATCCTCTCGACGTCAGCCTCGCCGCAGCTTTGCTCGTCCTGAGACAATCTACGTGACGATTGTGTCCAATGCTCTCCGCTGGCTGCTCTCCGAGCGCTTGTCAGAGTGGGTCGTTTAACACAAAAAATAGAGCCCCCAGGCTCAAAATACAAACGCGCGATTGTCATTTACGGATATTGTGGATCATATTCAACCTATTTTTGAACGCGACGGGTATATTTCAAATTTCGTTGAAGTATCCTTTTAATACCACTGCTTCGAAATGCGTTTGCAACTCCAGCGAAACTGACGCTGCATAGCAGCAACATTAAGAGGCTCGGGAAGGAGGCCCTTTCACTGTTGCCGCCTGCTTGCACTGCTTGGTTCTCATTGGTAGCATAACTCCAAATGCTTGTTTGTTGAGATCAACTAAATAGCACGGTTTAGGAACAAGATGGAGCAAGGACCAAAACAGCTTAATGGTGTCCTTCATCCTCGAGAAGAAAAACTGCCATTGCAGCACATGTTCCCATCCAAAGCTGATGATGAAACCTGCTGACAGGAGTAGGTTTATAAAATAAAGACTGCAACAAAAGCAGGAAATGCATATCAATGCCTTGAGGCTGTCTGTTTCTAATTTATTAATAATAGATCAGAATTCTGGGCATTTAAAACGGTGCAAGCCGAATCTCACGCGTGCCAGAGACTCACGAATCATCCGCAAAATTGGTCGTGGTAACGAGTCGTGCAGAAGGTCATCTCTGCGAATGCAGTTTGAGACTGCTTCATTTAGCATCAGTTTAAATTTGTATAAATGCACATACCTAGGATCGTACGTGATGCTGTGTAGGTTTCCTATTAATAGTATTTTCGAAATATAACGAGCTGTAAGTCGGAACACACTCCTACCTGAACAGCTCTTATTGCACGCCTTCCCTGACATTTCTTGCAGGAGTGTAGTTGAGCTTCATTTCTTTTTCCTTTAGGTTCACAAGAGTCCTTGACATAACGGCTACAATGTTCTCTACAGACTTGTAATTCTATGGATCCGTTAGAACCGAGGCACGACAGCCCGAGTATGAGTAGCCGCAACGTTTCCTGTATCTCGGAGGAAGCGTTGGGATGCTTCTTCTGACTCTGTTCTTTTTTGGGGTTTTGGTAGTCACAGAACTGGTGACAGTGGTCACAAGTAGCTTGCGTCTAAGTCTACAAAATATTATGAAGCTATTGCCAGAGGCCGTTCATTGTTTCCTTGAAACCTGAACCCAAGGACACCATTCGAAGCACATTGGATAAAGCTGATGCGCAAACCCTTATCCACACTTCGACTATTTTCCTGAGGACGATTTTTAGTTGTTTTACAGTAGCTTGTCATCCTAGGGTGAGGCTTGGGGATTTTTCATGTCTTCCATTTCGGAAACTTTAGCACCCTCAAAATAAATCAAAAGCCTATAGTTAGTGACAGATTAGGAGTTGAGGGAAAGCTTCTCCCAGCTCTTTACACTTTAATCAAGCAAATGCTGGAGAGGAGTTTGCCTCCTCTCTAGCGTTTGCTCTGCTAAAGTGAAAAGAGGTGGATAGAGTTTCTCCTGAACACTCTGTCATTGACTGTAGCTTTGGCTGAACGCGTGAGTAAAGCTGGCGAAAAAACCATTTACAGTAATAATATTTACGCTGCCACCGTGTCACTCTTGCGCACTGACTAGAGAAGGTTCTTAGTGTCTAAAATGTGCTTTGCTTTCATATTGGATGTTGATTTTATGCTGCAACGAAAGAAGTTTAAAATATTTTGCAGGCTGAGTGACAAAACAGACCTCCTTTCTTGCACCATTTGGGCACTCCCTTTAGGTTGCTGGAGTTGAATAGTGCGGGCCATGTGGGGAAATAGCAGCAGGACTGAATCTATGCTTTTTCCATCATTGCAAATGGCAAAGGAGGTTAACAGTCACTATCCCATAGCCCTAGTTTTGCCATATTCTTACAAGTAATTGCAATGTAACTTGGTTACTTTGCTTCTAGATGTATTTTTAAGCATCAAGCTGTATTTATCACACTATTCATATCTTAGAACTCTAACCTGAGTTACTTAAGAAAAGCAACTCGTCTGGTTTTGGTTTGCTCCATATATGCAGTGTTTGCAAGCATGAAGCTAATATCATACTTTAATGTTGCTTTGCACATGGTGCAATACAATTTCATTGTGTTGTAAGTTTAAGTAAGGATTATTAGTAATGTTATCATTAACTTCAAGCATATGAGCATATATTTTGAATGAGCCATGATGTTGAATGTGTGAATAATTACCTCTAACCTCTAACCTCATTTCTTTTTTCTTTTTTTAGAACCTACAGTTTTTGGACCGCACTGGCCTCGCAGTTGAGGAAGATAACCTTCTAGATGACATCCTCGGTTCTGGTAGCAAATGGGTAGAGGTGAGGACCCTCGGACTGTCTTTTTCTCATTTTGAAAGCCTTTCAGCACCTGTTCTCCAAGTGAATGAAACAATTTTTTCTAACCAGAATAGCCATGCTTCAGTCTGATTTACACATACAGAAAAAGCACAAATGCTATCGGTATCTGACTAAAAAAGAAAAGCATCAGTGGACTGCTCTTCCCCACATAAAGTCAAGCAGTCCATGCTTGGGCAAGTGGCTAGAACACATGTAATGGTAGCAATATGTTTTATATGCAGAGCATAAGGTGTTTTATACTTAGAGGTGTGCCTGGCTGAAAATAAAAGTTCCTGTATGCGGTATGTCATTCATGTTCACATCCTTAGTGCTTGCTTCCTTTGCAGTTGCCATGGCGGGCGGAGTTGGACTATCCTATTACCTGGGACGTCCAAATCGAACATGGTGAGAAGTGTCTATTCATGAACTATATGGTAAAAGTTGCAAAGTCCAGCTGTACTGTCGAGATCAGTTATACAAAGTCAACGCGAATCAGAAATCACTTTGCTATATCCGCTATTTCGTTATAACCGACTTCAGTTAACAAAGTTAGAAAGGGAAGGAGAAATCGTGATCGTTTCACTGTAGCCGCTTTTTCGTTATAACCGACTTAGTTATAACCAGGCTCGACAGTACTCCCTTCCACCCCAGAGCCTTTTATACTGGGAGAGTTCGGTGGATGGGGAGGGGCTTACGGCCCACTAGGTTTAGTGAGTTCCGCTTCCGCCATGATGTGCCTCTCGGCAAGCGAGTCTCCATTGATGTGCGATGTATACGCGTGTAGGTTTTGCCGTTCGCGCTTTTGTTGGCGTAAGGAGAGATTCGGAAAGCAAGCATTTCTTGATTCTGTGGGGTTTTTTTTTCGTGTAAGAATTAGCAAAGAAACCGCCCATTTACGAACGACACTTTTTTATAAATGGGGAATCAATCAAAAGCGTCCAACACAGCTCAGAGGCCTAGTGCGCATTTTTCGGTCGGCAAGTTTGATTGTCTGAATCGCTCTCCGACTGTTTACCACATTGCAAGGTTGGTGCACCGTTGTACGGAATACGGCGGACCGATCGTAATTTTCCGCCATGCTTTTTCACCTGCCGGCCTTTTGGGCGTTTTCCAACATTGTTTGGTTTGCTGTGAAGAAACAGCGTCGGCATCGCGTGGTGCCTGAGCTTTTTGCGATTGCAACATCCACTTTCGAATTCACTGTCTCTGAAGTGCACCTAAAAAAAAAAAAAAAAGCCTGACAAGTGTGTATTTGCTACGCGCATTAAAAAGAAATATCAAAATAAAGGTATCGCTAGCAAATCAAAAGCGCTTGCAAGACGACGAAGCGGAGCTGCGAGGCTGCTTCTAAAAACTTGAGAGTAGAGAAAGCTACGGGAGCGAGCTGCATTCTTTCAACGTGCACGCGTCGCTGAACGACACGTACAGTGCACGCGTCGTTCAGCGCGTCGTGCACGCGTTGGCAGCGATTGGCTCCGCCCGCACTTACACTGAAATGCAGTATACACAGTTCAAAGTTCACAAGCTAGGCCACTCGCAAGTATTCTGTCTTGCGCGGCAGGAAACGGCTTCGTGATCAACGGACACTCTCGCCCGACAATGCCGCGTCAGGTCGCTCCACAGTTTCCGTTAAAATAACACGCGTATAACTCACAAAATAAGTTAATTATAAAATTACCTCGCCCAATCGAGAACTCTAAGTCGGCTTCCACTTGGCCCTCTTCGTTTTGGTTTCCCGGATCTTGTGCCTTGTGCGGTTTTCTTTTCCTTGCGGGATCCGGTACATCCTGAACCTTTTTTTCGTGCTGTTCGAGCACCCAACAGCACTACAGCACCCCATTAAGTTTTCTTCTAACGTCTCGCAGAGTGCAGAACAAACATTTTCACTGTCATCTCTCGCTCCACGCTAGTGAGCTGGCTGCTGGCTCGAGATGGCAAGGCACATCATGGCAGACGAAACTCGGAACGTGATGCGCACAGTTGCCAGACTGTTTGATCAGTGCTTCGCCCCTAAAACAATTCGGAAGTGTTTCTAGATTTCGGTTTCCTAGCGGAGTGCATCTCTCTGCTCCAGCAGTCCTGCCCCCTCTGGCCATGGTTTGTATCTGTAGCTTCGCCTTCCTCATGGGAGGAAAGGAAGTGTCGCGCACCTTGGCCACGGGGGACAAACTGCTAATGCTCATTCTAAGTTTTTTTTTTTTTTTTTTTTTTTACAGTGGAGCTGTTAGGGGCTAGTTTCCCCAGGATCGTGTTCCCCGCAAAGAAATGTCGACAAAAAACTCTGGGCAGCTACCGCCATCTATGAGCGACGGCAGCAACCAGACAATCTGCTTGCAGGCCTTGCTCATAGATGGTGACCTTTCCACACTGGTTTTCACCAGAGTGGAAAGGCTGAATTTCTCTAGGCGTCGTCCTAGAAGTCGTCCTTGAGGTTGTCCTAGAAGTTGACCTTGAGGTCCTAGACATCGACCTTGAGGTCGTCCGAGAGGTTGTCCTCGAGGTCGTCCTCGAAGTCATTCAGGTCGTCTTAGACGTCGTCCCCTCCAGGTCGTCCTCGAGGTCATCCCAGAAGTCGTCCTTGACGTTGCCCTAAACGTTTTCGAAATCGTCCTTGAAGTTGTCCTTGAGGTCGTCCTAGGCGTCGTCCCTGAGGTCATCTTAGGCGTCGTCTAGATGTCGTCCCTGAGGTCGTCCTTTAGGTGTCGTCCTCGAGGTCGTCTTCGAAGTCGTCCTTGAGGTCCTCCTAGACATTGTTCTTGAGGTCGTTTTAGACATCGTCCAAGAAGTCGTCCTCGAGGTCATCTTACCATAGTACAGCTTCGCTGGTCTTCTGTCTTCACCAGAGTAGAAAGGCTGAAAGTTTTTTTTACTTACCGTAGAATACCGCGCATCCGCCCTTTCCACATTAAGTGCCTATATGCAAATTTCTAAGATATGAAAAAATATGCACAGTACATTTATATGTAAAATTGATGACGGGACAAGTGCCCATCCCCCATTTTTTTGCGATTATCTTTAAATTTTGAGTGGGCACTTGCCCGGTATTTTACGGTAGTTTCATTGTGATGCTTTGTTTCCTTTACAATCTGGTGCCGCATAGCTGTGTCTGCTCCCTGTTTATCTTCTTTCTAGGCCAACTTGTAAAACCTATTTTGTTTAAAAAAAGATTGCACGGTCTATGGTCTAAAATTGGGAATGATCCGACTTACAGCGGCCAACAACAAAAATTTTGATCATCTTCAGACCATTCAGCCCTTTTGGCATGGAAGTGGAGCAAACACAAAATGAGCACTCTTTGTAAAAGAGACCTTAGAAAAAGAATTGGAAGCTTCTGCATACCTCCCACCGCGGGACCAGCTTTGCCTGAAAGCATGCTTCTTCTTTACCGTGTGCAGGGGTGGAACTGGATTCAGGGTACCAGGGTGGCGGCAGTGTGCCACAGCCCGTGGCGAGCCACGTGGCTGGGCCCGAGGTGCCCGATCAGCCACCATATATGATGCACCCGGTGTATATGCCACACGCAGTGTACACCCCTCAGTATTCACCCAGCCACCATCCACCCATGATACCTCAAGAGGTGAGTCTTTGCTGGCTGGGCGACAAGCTTGCCCCATTTTGCTACCTTTCCAGTGCTCTAGCAGTGAAGTACTGTAGTTGCTGACAGGATGGGCAGGGTGTATCCCAACATGACACCACAACTATCCATTGAGCTAGATTATCTCTCTTCAAAACCAATAAAATGGCATAGACTCCTATAATAAAACAAAAAGAAGCTGAACAAAGTTGGATCTCCGCTTGCTTTGCCGAGTAGGCTTGGCAGTGCCCCGTTTCACTGATGTAAGCCCTCTGCTGGTAGGACTGTGCCACGTTTCGCTTGACAGTATAAAGTACTGCCAAGACAATCTAAACCACTAAACTATGATGAAAGTATCGCACAGAGACTAATATATTGATATCTTGCTCATTATAAAATATGAACGTGGAAATCACAGAAACATGTTTCGCCACACTTTACTTTCACATAGCCTGCTGGCAGACAACACTTGAGTTTTTTTTTATGTTTGTTAACATTACATTTGTGATAAGTGTGTGTTAGTGGCGTGCTCTAGCGATCATATTTGACAACTAAACAAGTGCAGTGTTTTCACAGTTTGATAATTTCACCTTTGTAGTGCTTGTGAGTTTCATGTCGTGGTATATTTCGTAGGACCTATTTATTTAAACATGTAGTGCCCTATGTGCTGTAGGTAACAAGACAGCGAGCCAATCAAGGAAAGAGGGGCGGGACCTGCAGAAGCTCCTCTATGTCATTTTCGTCTTGCCAGCGCCTGTTGCTGCGATGCTGGTGTTACTTTCTGGAGTTTTTTTTTTTTTCCACTGATGGTGAAGTAGTTGTGAAATGCCCGAGGCTCGCAACAAGCCAGAGTCGTGTACTGATGTGCTGCTTCTTAACTGTTTGGCTTAACCGGCAGAGAAAGTGCACTTACGACAGGATTTTCTACAGTTGCGGTTGGAGATGCTGAAGCCTCTGCACTGCCTCAATTCACTCAATTCAGATAACCTTTGACCTCGGTGAGCAGCCGTCCCCTGCGCCCGTGCAGCCTGCCTCACACCCGACGGCGCTCGAAGGAGGGGGCAAGCGAAGCGGGGGTCGCAGGGGCTATCGTGGCAAGGGCGCACACCACATGCACTCGCAGGTGGCTAGGGGAGTGGACGGCGTGCAGCCCGGCATCGAGGTGCGTGCTCGTATGGCCAGCCGCGCTTGGTCGGCTTTTCGTTTAGAAAGGAGCTTTCTCAATGGGTTGACGCATGTCCCGCATTGTGCCCAGGTGCTGGAGCGCATGGGAGAGCCCCTGCACCAGGTGCCGGTAGGGTACCACCAGGGGCCCCTTCACCACCCCCACCAGCAGCCGGGGAGCGTATACGCCGGGGGCATGCATGCCTTCGGGGCCCAGTACGGCCCTCCCCCGGTGGCCCACCCGGCCCCCGTGTACTTCATGTACACGCATTGCACGCCCCAGCCGCAGGGCTACTACGGCCCGACAGGGCACCCCCCGGGACCTCTGTCCTTCGTACCGACGATGGTCCCCCCACGCGCGAGTGCCCTGGTGCCCACAAGCACAGCTGGCGGGGAGCCTGTGGTGGCGGCTCACTTTGCCGACACCCTGATCGAACTCGAGCCTGCTGCCCCGGAGGAGGTGCCCCAGGAGGAGGAGCAGGAGGAGGTGCCCCACGAGGCCCCCGTCAAGGCAGCCCAGGTGGGTAGGCTGGCCGCACCTTTGAGGGAAGATCTCGAAGCAGGGACCCCCCTGTGATGGGATTTGAGGATGAACTTAACTTTGTTGAGTTTCCATAGGAAGCTATATTGGGACGGGTGTCCACTGAAGCACATTTTTTGCGTTGTAAGAAAACTGTGCTTTAGAGCAGTGTTTCTTGATCTAACAAAATAGGAAATGTAGGAAAGTCGAACAATCGCTTTCATCAATGTGTATAGAGTCACCGACCGATTTTTCGGACACTGCAGGGATCGAAAAAAACGTTTGAATAATAGAGCAGTCCGAAAAATCGGCAAGTTATAAAACTTGCCTTTGTTACGTCGAAGCAGGCTTAAAAGAGCCGTAATAGTGCCTTGCTTCAGATTACGCATGCGCGCCTTGTTTTAGGCTTTGCCTCCATTTGCTTTCGGCAACTTTCCGTTAGCTTGAGGATCGCTGCCTTCTTTTCTAGCGTTGTGGTCAAGTACTTTCTGCGCCTCTTAGCGACACATAGCAGCGGCGGAAGAACAGATGGGGCAGTGATGTCCAAGCCAGCGCAGTCTGAAAACACGATTCACCAAGACGAGATTGAGGTTAGGTTCATGACTGCAATGGCATATGAACAATGCAAAATGGAAACAACAATGATGATGATAATAACGCACAGCTGGAGAGAAAAAAAAAGTTGTACAGCGTCACCTAGCAATAGGACTTAGCAGTATTTAAGTAGCGCTGCCAAACCAAGCCAATCAATGTGCAGCCAACATAGAATCCAAAATGGCCACTTCTTTGTAGTGTTTCCCACTAATCGCTCAGGACGATTTTGTTCGAAAAATTGAACTTTTGGATTTCAAGCTGTCCAAAACATCGGTCGTGAATATGCACTGCTTCTATCGGGTAGGTCACGGTTCCTCCTTTAGGTCAGAGATATCAAACAAGTCCGAATTACCGGCGTCCGAAAATTCGGTCGGCGACTGTATACTTCTGTTTTGTCAATTCAGATGCTGCATGCGTCTTCGTGCAACCTTTGCTTTGTTTTTCTTCGGTGATTTCAAATTGTCGTTGATTGGTAAATAAAACTTTCTCCTTTTCTTCTTTTTTTTTTTCTGCGTTTTGATTGACATAGATCCTTTAAAGTTTTCCCCAATATTTTAGCATCCAGCTACACCTGTTAAGTAATTTAAAAAAAACGTGCCTTTTTTTAAGACTCGCCCCAATACAAGTATTAAGTGCTGGAGTAAATCAGCCATCTCCATTCTAGTACACATTACTAAAAGAAGTAATTGATTACACTTATTATTAATTTTGATTGAAAGTATTTAAATAATTACTTGATGAAAAACAATTGACCGTTACTTGAAAAAAGTAGCCATTACTTTTCTGATTACTTCAGATTTTGAAAACTGACAATATTTCTGCCAGTTTGAATATGGTCCTTTTGTGCTGACCACTATTGGATTACAAACTACTTACCTTCTAAATCCACCGCTCTTGGTAGACCACACCCCTGTCGGAGACCTGATCCGAGCATTCCTTGGCAAGAATGTTGCGGAAACAAAGGGTGTTACTATGAAGGGGAGGGGAAAACAGTAACTGTTGCATAAAATTCGATGATTACTACCTCATTAAGGTAATCAAATTGGTTACAAAAGTACTCCAAAAAGTAATGGATTACTAGTGATTTGATATAATGAGTAACATAAAAGTCTGGTTAAGTCCTTATTTCAAACTTCTTTGTTAAGGTGGGACTAAAGTAGTTAAATATGTTTTTTTATTTATTGAGATAGCTTGCTGAAAGTTGGCATGCATATATATCATTGGATGGTGATTTCAAATCTGCAGTTGAATTACAGATATCTCTTTTAGAACAAAAGATATGGCAAAATATAAATTCCATTGAGGTAATTTCTTACGGGTCGTTATGGTAATTTCACATCGAAAAATTTATTTTTTAACAATATGCAGTGATTTCCAAGGGTTCACCATATATCCTAAAGCTAATTGATTGTTTACAAAGCCATTTTGTCTACCAGAAATAAATCGTGGAATTTCAGAGCAAAAACTTGTCCTAAATAATCCACATTTCAGCTAATTACTTTTTATCTATTGATTCTAGATGAAAAAGAAAAGCTTTAGGATACACCTCAGTTGTTACTGAAAGCAATGATACCATGCTTACTGAAATCCGCCCATGCGAACATTATGAAAACTTCCGTAAGGCAATGGCTCTGGACAAAAAAGAAAAAGCTGAGAAAATCACACTTGAAAGTTTCTCAACATAATCAAAACCTCCGTAGAAAAATAACACCTGACAAAAAAAAAAAAAAAAAAAACATGGAACCACGAAATTAGTTCAGTAGTCTCCGATGTGCGCACATGGTCATAGCAGTCCTGGGCTGTAGTCCTGGGTCCTGGCAGGCTTGTGTCTCTTGGCCATCCTGTTCTGGACCGTTTCACTCTCAGAGTGAGCCTTGTTGGCCTTGCGAAGCCTCCGCCTGTCCTTCTCAAGACTCCTGCGAATCGGGCAGCCACCTGTGCTGTAGTCAAGCTGTGCTGCTACAGCCTTGTTCCTCTTTGACATTCCCTGGTAGAAGCGTGACACGGCTTCAGCGACAGCCCTTTCCACTGACAGCAGAGAGTCATGTGTGTTCTTAGAGTTCTGGCCCCAGATCACAGAGTGTAGGCACTCTATGGTGTTCTGCGTCATGCCATCACTGCAGCGCTTCAGGAGTGCCCGGTCACCTAGCCTCTCAAAGACTGGCTCCAGCGCAGTGCGAATGAAGCCTGGCAGTGGGTTCTTGTGTGGTGGTGGCTCCTCGTGGTTGGCCAGTGCCCGGTTGTAGGAGCACCAGGAACTGTCCCCCTCAGGACAGTGGCTGTGGTCCGGGGCTTCATCTGTCGAGGTCATGTGCAACAAAGTTGCTTGCGCTACCTTTTCCATCCCTGGCACATCATGCTTGTGGCTTCTCAAGGCGTACCCATAGTAGTTTGTTATTTTTTTTTTTTTATCTTGTCCTGGGTCAGCTTTTCCTTTCCTCCGAGCGACTCTCTCTGTGCCTTCTTCTTCTCCACCAGGGTACGAAGAGCTGCTCCCATCCGCTTGTGTACGTGGTTCAGGCAGTTTTTTTTTTTCTCAATGTCGAGGTATCCATAGACGCTGTCTTGTGTCAGGGCATGGAAGGTGCGGCTGTCACCATCGGAAAGGATGGTCGTGTAGTGCAGTCCATTCTTCGCCAGGGGCCGCCTGAACAGAATGAGAGCTGCCTCAGCCTTCATTCGTCCTGCGTTGCAGTCAAATGTTCTTCATACACTTGTGGTTGATCACCCAGTCCCCATAGCTGTCGTCGTCTGGGTGAGGTGCACCCTGGCTGCCACGGCAGTACCTTGAAAGGACAATGTGGTCCAGCACCAGGCCAGTGTAAAGCTCAAGGATGCACCCCACTGCGATGTTGGAGTTGTGTCCGCGTGTCTTCCATGTGCCTTCAAAAATTATATCCACGTTTCCGGGAGGATTGAGGAAGCTCTCGTAGGCGTCCTTCACCACCTCAACACTCGCTGCTTCTTTGGCTGTTGCTGCTGCCTGGCAAGCCTGCACCATGGTGTCCATGTGTCCCCTGAACGTCTTATGATGAAGCCCTCGGTGGGAGAGGTTCAAGGTTGCACAGAAGTCTGCAAGCGCAGTCGCCCCCTTTCCTATGCTCTGTATTCCCTTCATCGCCCTCAAGTTGATCTCGAAGGGTGTAATCTTGGCTTCCCCGGCGACTCGTGGAGAAGAAAATCTACTCTCGGCGAAATCGCAGCTCGAACACATGAGGACCAACTTCACTGCCAGGCCGTACTGCCTCTCTTCGCACTTCGAAAGTCCTACGGTAGCCATTCCGCACTTGCCGCATGCTGTGGACACAAAGAGTTCTTGTAACACTTTAGTGTCCACGATGACATACTCCGTGCCGCAGTCAGTGTCGTCGCTTTCCATGCAGACGTCGAGGAGCTCAAACTTCCGTAAAGTCGCCGACTGATCTGCCAACGAAGCCTTTCTGTCGTCCGCACGTTGTTCGCGCTCCACGCACTCCTCCTCTTTGTAGAACAGAGTATCGACTCGATCTCTAGATGAACTTGGTCCAGTCACGCCCACGAGCGGAAAAGCGGCTTGAGGCATCGGCGAAGTTGTCAAACACAAACTTGATCCAGTCGCGTCCGCGAGCGGCGAAGTGGCTTGAGGCATCGGCGAAGTTGTCGAACACAAACTTGATCCAGTCACGTCCACCAGTGGCAGAGCGGCTTGCGGCATCGGCGAAGTCGACGGTGTCGTTTTCCTCGATGCGGAGGTCTTCTTGTTCAGGCACGTCTCCTCTTTGTGTTTAGTCTCTGCGTGTTGGCCTTCAAACGGGCGTCCCCAGCCATCAGAACTCGAAGCGCGCAGAACGAAACAACGCAGGAGGGCAAATATATACGAAAAGGGAAAGCTAATCAAAGTGGAGGTATCAAAATATTTACAGGAACGATGCGAAGAAGACAGGGAGCATACAAAATCACTAGGAAGCACAAGATAAACACTGAAAATATTGATATAGAAAGTGGAGAAATTCGAATGGCAGCGTGCGTCTGGAACGGCAAAGCGAGCGAAAGCAGGTGACGTGGGAGCCCGCGTGGCGACCGGAACGACGCGCCGGGAAAGCCACAAGAGATGCGCGTTTCGGCCAATGAGAGAGCTGCATCTCGGAGAAGCGCCCACTTTGCCCAATCAGCGTCTTTCCTAGCGCTGGTGATGGCCTTTGTACTGCATAGATGACGTTGCGGCCTTGAGGGGTACAACGCTTTGGAGCGCAGGAAACCAGCTTTCGAACAAGATCAAGATGGCTCCGATCGGTTGAGCCGTTGCGGTGCTCCGACGGCTTGAACTTTGTTGACATTTCAGAGTTTAGGCTTCAAGTCAAGTCGTTCAACGTTTACAAATTGGCATTTTCCTATTTAGAGATCAAATTGAGCATTTATATTTTGTGAGGACATACTCTGGACTACCTCAAAATCGTGAACTTCGAAAAAAGGAATTTTTCGCGATTTTTTTATATTTTAAGATCTGCGTCCCCCCCTTAACATACAGCCCATTGAAAAGCAGGGCGAAAAAGCCCAAGCACGCACCTGATCTTGCCACACTGCCATCTTCCGCAGAATAAAGTCCGTTTGCTATGGTCACTGAATGTAAACAGATGCACACGCGAATGCAGCGTCTGAAGCCAGCCACAGCCGGTGCCATTGCATTGCATTCTGCCGCATCTACTGCATGCCATAACCGCGTGGCTCTGGCTCTCGCAGCAGAAAGGGGAGGCCGTGAAGGCAGCGGAAGACGAGCTTCCCCCCAAGGTGGTCGCACCTCCCGAAGAGGCACAGTGGGATGCTCCTGTCCGCCTTCAGGAGGCAAAGGAGCCTGCCATCAAGGAGGCCGTGGCAGCTCCCACCAGTGGCGTCGCACCCTGTCCGCCGGCGGCCCCCATTTCTCCAGTGGAAGAGAGCGTGCCCGGTGCCCTGGCCACACCCACCACTCCCATCGTCAATGGGACGGCGGCCTCGCGCAAGTCTTGGGCCGACCTGTTCAAGGGAGGTGGAGGTACTGCACCGTCTCCTGTGGACGGGCCGGTGCCGCCCACTGAGCAGAGCGTGGTTACAACAGCAAGCGACTGGGAAGACGAACTGACCCCTGCTTCGCATGACGAGGCGCTCGACGTAGCTCTCGGCAGTGAGTGTTTTTTTTACCGTGCTTCTCTTTTTTTTGTTTTTTTGTTATTGTCATTGGTGGGATGGGGAAACTTGTTTACCAGGTGAGAATAGCTCCAAGCACGTAGAATCTTGTTCGGTGTAACCAGGTGGACTTTGTGAGATGTTTGTTTCGTTTCTTTGCATCTTTGAGGTGGTCTCCTCGCAAGTATTGTCCGACTAAGTGGACGCGGCATCCTTCACCGCATTGAGCTGTACTTTTTAGCTTGAGTATAGCTGTACTACAGTTGTGTCATTGTCTCGTGTCGGTATCGTTATAGAGGCTCTCCACCACTGCTCCGTGAATCACAAGCCGCGTTACATCCAGCCCCGGGGGCTTGAGAATGGCAAGAACTGGTGCTACATCAATGCTGTATCCTTTTTTTGTGTTCCCTGGCATTGACTTCTTCTGTGTGCTAGTAGCTGTGCGGCTGTGTGATGTGTAATTGACATTTTCCTTGATTCTGGGCCTAGAACCTCCAAGCATTGCTGGCATGTCCAGCCTTCTATAACCTGTTACTGAGTCTGCCACTAAACACCAGTCTGCAGAAGGGCCCCACTGGAATCCCCTTTATTGAATGCCTGTGAGTACTGGAGAGGTGAACACGGGACTCCAGGGCTGACTTGACTCAGAACTAAGCAAAAGTTTGATAGGAGGCCGTACGAAAGAAAGCATTGCCAAAGTTTGCACACGCGTGTGCGAAGGCTGCACCCTCTGCATGTTCTGCTCATGCTTTTTCTTTCGTGCTGTATGGGGCAGAATTTTTACTCTGTTTCGAGCTTCTTCACTCTGCCACATGTTCATTGAGCCCACATTTCTAGGGCAGCATTGAATTGGTCTGTCAGTGTGCATCCATTCCTTATACCGGGTATTCCACGTAACTTGAGCCATGGGTTAAAAATATTTTATGCATCTTAGGAAGACGAAACCAAAGGAATAAGGTTGTTCATTATTTGTAGCAAGTCGGGCTATTTTTTTGTATTTTGCCCAATTAACTAATTAAGATTAATTTATAAAGTTTTTGAAATATTCAATTTAGAGCAAAAGTTCCAATGACAAAGTTGTAGAGCGTCCTCAGAAACATTCAATTCAGTGTTTTTTTTGTTTTTTTTTTTTGAGAAACCTAGAACACTGTTTGTTTTTCTGTGCTTGAGAAAGAGTGCCCAAATTATGGGAAGCACAAAAAAATGTGAATTTGTCAACAACACCGAGTCTACAGTTCTCTGTTCAGCATGCAGGCCTAGTTTATTCAAGCCACGGCTGAGAGCGCTGCAATATGCACAAGATGCACATGCACAAAATCATGTTTTGTTTTTGTTTTGTTTTTAGTATAATTTGCAGAAGCTTATAAAAAAAAAGGTGTTAATGGGGTACTTCAACGGAATTCGAAATATACCCGTCGTGTTCAGAAATAAGATGATTATGATCCACCATATCCGTAAATGACAATTGTATGTTTCTATTTTGAGCCTGATGGCTATATTTTTTTGTTATAAACGGCCCACTTCAGCAAACTCAGCAAACGGAGAGCACGTCACATCCGCAGCAATCGTGACTTGGTTTGTCTCGAGGCCTTACGTTCGGATGCAGCGGGCACTGCGAGCTATTTCAGCCAATCCCGCTCTGAGGACATTGCCCGTGACAAGCTTTCCACGCGTCGCTCTGCCCCCTCTCCAAGGTCACGTGACATTCACACGGTTTTGGATAGGCCAATCGGGCCTCCGCAGGTAACCCCAAACCTGTTTTTGTACGTATTTTGAGTGAGCGGTTAATCTTCTATAATCTTGTAGAGGGACAATAGCAACTTCTGGGACACACAAAAGAGAGTCTCGGGGAGAGGGGTGTTCCTCCTTCAGCTCTTCTCTCGTCATGGCCGGAAGCCAGACACTTACCATCACTACCTGTCAAGGTTCCTAGACGGGCATTACAAACGAGGCGTTAGCGACATCCACCAGGTGCTTTTTTGCTAATCGTTTAATTTGTTTTAAAATTCTTTTTCCTGTCTTTTTCAACAGGAGACTGGTGTGTCTGATGTGATAATGCTCCATTGAGCACGAATATAAGCGCTGAAATTTTATTGTAGTATTCCGTTAAGGTTTTTTTTTTTTTTTATACAAACCACTGAATTGGATGTTTCTGAGGACGCTCTACAATTTTGTCATTGGAACTTTTGTTCTAAATTGAATATTTCAAAATTGAATTAATCTTAATTAATTAGTTAATTGGGCAAAATACAAAAATTAGCCTGACTTGCTCCAAATAAATAACAACCTTATTCGTTTGGTTTCGTCATCCTAAAAAGCACCAAAATATTTTTAAACCTTGGCTCAAGTTATGTGGAATACCCTGTATATCTGTTGAGATCATGTGTTACTTGCTTGCCCGAAAAGGTAATATCTGTCAACTCTAATTTGCATTGCAGACTATATTTTCTTCAAACATACAAGAAGCCTTTTGTGACTGATGCGGCAAAAAAGGACGAGGTGGTTATTGGCTCTCCCTACGACCCCGAGCCCTTCCGCGATCTCCTCATGAAGGTCAAGCCCGACTGCAAAAAGGTAAATGCTTCGGATTGTTTGTTGTACATATCGTATTTACTCGCAAATGAACTCACTTTTCTTCCCAAAAAATTTACACATATTTCGGGATCTGTTCATCGCACGGGGTAAACTTTCTGTGTTTACACACTTTGGACAGATGTCATTGTAGGTGCCAATATCACACACGGCAATGTACTGTGGCACGTCCCCACCGTAACAGGAACCATGCTCTATAAATTGTAAACCTTTTCTAGGGTGCTTTGGGCGTGCCTTTTGCCGAATGAAAAGCGCCTTATAAAGCTCACTCAACACTGAGAGCGACGCGACCGTTCTTAGGTCTAACCACTTCCACTATGTCTGTCCGAAAGCCAACCACAGACAACGGCGTGTTTGTTAACATCAATGCATCCGATGGGCGAAGCATGCCTGGGGCTGGCCAATTCCTTGACCCCAGCTTCGTTAGGTGTGCGCGTTGCTCAGTTCCACGGTTGATCATTTCCGCAATTACAAGAGCTGCTTGGCTTGGCTACTTGGCAGCAAAAGAAAATTGGCTTGATGGCTAGCTAAGTTGGACGCAGTTCGAGACTCCCGGAGCCGAAAATTGGAGGTGTGTTCATTACGCGAGGGAAAAGAAAAAGCCCAAATATTAATGCCCGTTGTGGAAGGGTGCGTTCATTATGCGAATAAATGCGGTAGCCTTTTCAAGCAAGGAAGGTCTCCTTATCACCTCGATTGAGAAGGCTTTTATCCCGAATGCACTGGTGGGTGAGGTTCTGGAGCGGGAGCTTTGTGCATGCTTCAGGGTAAGCAGGAAGATGCTGAGGAGTTCCTGAGCTTTTTGCTGAACGGCCTGCATGACGAGATGGTGAGCCTAATGCGGTCTGCCAGCAACGGGCTCAATGGCCAGTGCAACGGGGAGGCCCATCAGGAGGAGGACAGCGGGACCTGGCTCACTGTGAGCCACCGCAACCGCAGCCTCGTCACCCGCTCGGTGAGGCGCCTCTTGTCACATTCTCTTTCTTCGGTTGCTTACAGGCATTTATGCTGCCAGCTTCCCCTAGTATTGTTTGCTGTTTCTCTATTTTTTAGAATAGGAACACAAATAAAATAAACAGACTTTGTCCAGTTGAGCTCTACCGTATATTACTAAGTGTGCACCCATGTCGGAGTGTTTTATGTTGGATAGAAGCATTCCTAACCTACTGAACGCAGAACGTCACGAGTAACACTAGTTCTTCTGTTTCTGTCAAAGTTAAATCCGGTGAGCCCCAGGGAACCGTAATGGGACCATTGTTGTTCGTTGTTTACGTAAACGACCTTCCGCATTGTATCAAATCCAATATAAGATTGTATGCTGATGATTGTGTCCTGTACCGAAAAATCCCGATATATCAGAGTGCCCTTTTACAACAAGATCTTGACAGCTTTGTGTTATGGTGCAAGATGGAAGTTAATGTAACGAAGACAAAGTGTATGTCATTCAGATCTAAACGTAAGACTTCAAATTCTAGTTACATGCTCTACAACAGTGTAAGAGAGAAAGTTACTAGTTATAAATACCTTGGCGTGTTTTTAACAGCTAACCTTAATGGAAAACCCATATAACGAGCATAGTTAGGAAAGCAAGCAGATTGTTTGCTTACATTAGATGTCCTTTGAAGACAGCTGCGCTAGAAACTAAGCTTTTGCCTTTAAACCTTTAACCATCAAGTCATTTTTAAAAAAAAGAATGGTCAAACTTTCCTAATTTTTTTTATTTACACATATTTTTTATGTTGTTTTGATTTTGCAAATGCATTACTTGAGTGGTTTCTGATGGTATTAACACAAAACTTTTAACAGGAAAAGTTGATTTTTATGGAAGCTTTTTCTCGGTGCATGTAAGAGTAATAGAATAACACGTGCTGAAATGCGCAGCATTTATTTGAACATGCGCACCGTAACAAGAGATCAAGTGCCTAGGCGTTTCTCCGTACTAGCGCTAACAAATACATCTCAACCTGTGGTTTGCCAACGATTCCTTGCAAAATTATTAGCGCAAGGAACACCCTCATCTCTTCGCGGTCCACCAGTTTCCATGAAGAACCCCACGCTGCGAAATGCGGGACCGCGTAGCGGTTTGTCTCTGTCCCAATGAGGTCGACAAGGTCCCAATAAAAAAAACAAAAAAAAAAAACCTCGAACCAGCCGAGAATGTCTTTTTCGTCAGTGAGTTCCCAGGCACTGCACAGAACGGAAACCTCGGAGGCGCGGGCAAACCGTCATTATGGCTGGACGAGTGTGACTCTTCATCGGCGATATTGGTACAACCTTCCATGACGAATACAGCTCGGGCCGGGTGGTTAAAGGGTTAATTCTATTGTAAAATCACAGCTTGAATTTGCTTTGTCATTATGGAACCCCCATTAGTCTTAATAGACCTGCTTGAATTGGTACAAAGCAAAGTTGCGCGTTTCATACAAGACTTCTAAACGTGAAAGCAGTGTCTCAGCAATGAAGGATGAACTTAACATTCCCCTTTTGAAGTACCGAAAAGCTTGTGTGGGCCTAATAATGGTACATAGACTGTATTATTATTCCCCAGAGTTGACTAAGCAAAAATATTGTAAACCTGCACATCACATATCACTGCGAACTGACAATTGTTGCAAACTTTATTTATCCACGCCACGAACGAATCTATACAAGTACTCACCATTCCAACTGTCGACCGCTCTGTGGAACAAGCTGCCTGATGACATTGTTATTCTAGCAAGTACAGGTGATTTCAAAGATGCGCTAAAAGCGCATGATATGTGTGCGACTTGTTGAATTGTTTTGTATTTATGCAAGTTTTCATTATTATTTTGTAACCCCCCCCTTATGTGAAGTCCAGAAATGAATGATTTAAGGGTAATAAAATTAAATATCATAATAAGCGCTCACCCGCTTCTTTTGAAAACTAAGCAAAAGAAGCTCCTCCTTGTCAGCAGTTTCTCCAAACGCCCTGGTGCAAAGTGGTGAAGCCCACATCATTGTGTGCCCCCCCCTCCTTTTTTTTTTTTTTTTTTTTTTTTGCTCTTGGACCTAACAAGCTGCCACCCCCCAGTTTGTCAAGTTTGCCTCCAAAGTCTGTGTGGGCTCCTGTTCGGTACTTTACAGCTACTATTTTCGGGTGCAGATATCTATGCAGAGGTATGGAAGGATAGAGTGCAAAACTTGCAAAAGGACCCCGGGTGTGTGCATGCTCTTTTTTTTTTGTGTGTAGCGTGGTAAAAGTGAAAACTAAAACCTGGAGTGGGCTAACCATATGGATGACCATCAAACCTTAAGCACCTAAATCTTTTTTTTTTTTTTTTCTTTTTGCGCTTTGTTGTTGACATTATTATTGAACGGTGTCAGTTAACAACCGTACAATGGAGCTTGAGCTGACGCACTGTTTGACGTCCGTTTCCGTCTGTTTGACGGTTGCACCATTGAATGCCAAAGGGTACGAGGTGGGCGGCTTGGGTGCCCCGTGAATGAGGGGATTTACAGCGTTGACCGAGGGCCCTTTGCAAGTTTTGCGAATTCCTTGCAGGCCATCTACTCCCGTTCACCACTCATGGAAATCTTCGGAGGGGAGATGCGATCATGTGTGATGGCCGACGGAGAGTCCTCTGCCTCTCTACAGCCCTTTTTCACGCTGCAGTTGGACATTCAGGCGAGTTTCTTCCCCGACAACACGAGCCGGGTGGCACGCAGCTGCCGGGACCCACTCTTGAGCCGCGCTTTGCTCGTTGTGCAGGATGGCTTCAAGTCTGTGGAGGATGCCCTGAACCACTTGGCTGCTGAGGAATCGGTGCAGCATTACCGGAGCAGCAAGAGCAACCAGGAGGTAGGCACCCGCAATTTTGCAAGATACCGGTACCGGTACCCACATCTTGTGCGCACACTAGAAGTTGCGTCGGCTGTTTATGCCTCCTGATGCTCGCCTCGCAGGTGGACGCTCTGCGTAGGACCACTTTGGAGAAGCTGCCAATGGTGCTGATTTTGCACCTAAAGCGTTTTGTATATGACAAGAATGGAGGTTGCAAGAAGCTAATGACCGCCATCAACATCCCACACGAGCTGACAATGGACCGCAGTGAGTACTGGCATCACTCTGAGGCCATTTGTTTGTTCACTCCTTGGAAAGAGCACGAGATAAACTCTAGCAAGGTGACAGTTGATGCCCTTCTCCCGAAATAATCTACAGTTGTGTTCTTTTCCACAGAGTGGCTATCCAACGACAGGCTACCGGTCAAGATGCGTTCCTACAATCTTTTTGCGGGTGAGCGTCACACTTTATGGCAATTATTTCTGGGTACATTGCAAGAGTAGCCTCATCATGTTTTTGTCTTTTTGGTAACTGGTGCAGTGCTCAGCCACAGTGGGGAGCGCACTGACAAGGGCCACTACGTGACAGACGCCTACCATCCTGCGGGGCGCCTCTGGCTACGCTGCGACGATGACAATGTGACGCCCTTACCGGAGGGAGACTTGCTGCGTTTTGACAACTCGTCCCTCGTCCCCTACCTCCTCTTCTACCGCCGTCGAGAGACCGATCCTCGCACTCGGTGAGAGGAACGGTGCCAAGTGCTTGCAGTGTGTTCTCACAAGTTGTAGTGCATCCGAAGAACAAAGTTGCTCTGGACAGCAAGAAAACTTCTGTGACAATTCCTCGAGGGAGCGTGGGCTGGGGAGAGGTGGAGACTGGCTTGAGGGTGTGTGTGCAGGTGCTTGTGCGTGTTTCACTGTAGACTCAAGCGGTGAGGGCAGCCAGACTGGCTTGTGGTGCTGCCAGACTCTTCGAGGGACGTGGCCGAGGTACACTTGAAGGCTCTCGTAAACAGAACTGCTTGCGAGCTTTCTTTTTTCTCTTTTTGGGAGTCTGTTGTTTTGTTACTGCCTTTTTCTTTTTTTTTATTTCTTTTTCCTTGCTTTGCTTGATATTGGGTTATATTTACGTCATACTAATGTAGCCCATTTTTGCCAGGTGACTGTAAATTGTTGCCGTTTTCACAGTGTATCTCTGTTTCTGGTTTTCTCCTTGCATGTGCACACCTATTTATTACTGCCCCAGCCCCTTTTGCCGTTTTTTCCCCCCCTCTGTAAGTTGCGGCCATTAGTGCTGAGAGTGAGGGGGAGGGAGAGCAGGGCAGGGACTCTTCCTCCCCCCCCCCCCCCCCCCCCCCCGTTTTCTCGTGTGTTTATTACATGTGGCAATCGTATTGCCACTGGCCTTGTTTTTTTTGTGTGTTTGGAATGTACATAGTGGCATTTAGAAATGACAAGTCAGAACATAGTACTCTAGTTAGGAAGATGTGATTAACTGATGGTCCCAGAGCTTCATTCTCCTGACGGATTGGCTCACAAGGACTGTGTCAGTGCCCCCGGGAGATGGAGAAACACTAGGAAAGGATACAACCACCTACAAAGTGCCTCATTCTTTAACATGCAATGTTGTTGAATTCTAGTGTTGGTTATAGCTTCTCTTTGATTTGTTTTTAAGATGTGCTTTAAGGAGAACTCTTGGCTTTCACATTTACTTCCCCTAGCCAACTGATGATATGTTTATGTGTATGACTGGGTATTGTTTATTTTTGTGGACTTCCTGCCCATCAGCATTGTTTGCTCAGTGATTAGCATGACTGCGGTTATAACTGCTGTAGGATGGTGTTAGTCCATTTAAACCTGGTCATAGCACCTAAAACAGATTTTATTGGGCCAGGCCTATTGCCTTGGTGCATTGTTGCGAAGAATAGCGGAGGGCTGAGCCTGCCTGGTTTTACTTGGTGTGTATGCTTCATTTATTTAACTTCTGTATATTTTTGTACTGCATTTTTTTCCGACCTCAAATGTAGCTGGGTCCCAAATGCCACCAGCTATTTGAGCCTCCAAAATAATAAACCCATATTAGTTTTACTGGTTCTCCAGTTTCAAACTTGGTAGAGTGTGATTAGGGTTTAGGCAGCCTTTACTCACAGAAGGAACCGGAGCTAGGTAACCTTGGACCCTGCACTCTTTGGAAAAAGCTATTCGCAGTTGGATTGGGAACATTTTTCGGGGGGCGTTTCCAGCTATTCCAGGCTTTTCTTGATAATAGACATATTTGGGAACTGAAGGAATGGCACACAGCACGACTAAAATGGTTTGCCCAGTTTTCTGGTAAATTAGGTGTGGGAGGGGAAAATCAATAAGCATATATCATGGTGTTTCCCTGCTTTTGTATAATATTGGATGTGAACGGTGGGAAAGAGTGCCTTGGTTTTTCATTGGTTAGAGCTAGTCAGGTTGGTGAAACTGCCGAGACAGGTTGGTTGACAAGAGAATGGTTGCCGGGAGCTTTGTGATGCCTGATGCGCTTGGATGTCTGAGTTGCTGATGATTTCTTTTAAAAGTGTACATAAAGAAACAGTGATATTGTGAGTGGTGTGTTCTTTTTGTAAAGAAATGTAGGTTGTTCAAATTGTACTTTCTAACTGTAGGGAGTATCTTTCCTTGCTTACAATGAGTGTGAATGCAAACTTGGCTACTAGCTACTGCTGCTGGCAAGCGTGCGAGCAACGCCCTTCATGGTCAACCACATATTTCTGTATTCTTTGCTTAGAGAAACAAATGATAAAATGGTGGTAGATTTCTTTTTTTTTTTTTATATATATATATACAGTTACTATAATGACGGAGGAACCGAATTGGATTGTTTGCTTTTTTTTGTAATTTAGTATTGTGTGAATTGCTGCATGTTGATTTTTTTTTTTTTTTTTTTTTTTTTTTAAATAAACAGCAAGGCCATACGTTATTTCCGTGACTCTTTCTTCTCACAACAAAGTGGACTGACACTCCAGGTACCTTTTATGATTTTCAGTTTTGTTTTGCACTTGGTAAACAATGCGCGTTCAAGCGCAAAAAACAATGGAGTAGGGAAGCGCGCTTTTGCCTTTCAGCGGTGTACTCGGATATTCTTATGGCTGTGCAGTGGAAGGTGCGGAAGCTTGCGCACTTCAGGAAATGCCACAGAAAGCGGCGATAACCGGCTCCACCTATCTCCCCCCCCCCCCCCCCCCCAAAAAAAAAATAAATAAATAAATATGTATATATATATAATTTCGTTGTGGTTTATTTGTTGCAGGTTTGTGCCTCCGCACCTTCTCTGCAACATTTTACGAGTGCGAGTCAAAAAGAAACTAAAGGATCGAGGGCGATGTAATTCGCGCTTTGTTTCAAAGCTGTCAAAGCGTTGAGTTGGCAGGCGCCATCTGGTGGCACGAGCTGTAGCTGGCGTACATCCGGGACTGTCCGGGACCTTCCTTTCTGATCGCCATTTTGTTTGATATTTCGTCTCTAAAGAATTACTGGATTGTTCGTCGTGCGTTTATGTAGTCCCTTGAGGTATGTTTTGACCTATATATTTATTTGTTTGTATGTTTTAATGCTTCTAGTTTTATTGAGTCACCATTACGACACGGGCACGACACGATTTCGCGTGGCGGATGAATGTTGTGCGATTGCTTTTGCATAGGCGGATTGATACACTTCCACGCAAACATGGCGAAACGCGTTCTGTCGCTTGCATATCTGTCAATGCTGTAGCTTGTGGAAATGTTGGAAGAGCCGGTACTTGGTGAACAGGGAATCGGTTAACTCCCTTTTAAGTTTTGTTCTGGAGGATTTCATGGTTTGCAACGTTCTCAGAACACTGGTCGTTTCATGCTGCTTCAGAGGATAATAAATATGCTGCTGCATCTCATGAAGTGATTCATTTGGGAATCGAATTAAAGAGCGATGGAGTACTCAAATTGTTTATTAACGTGTACTCCCTCATGTAGGGTGTATTTGCGAATGCAATTTCGCCTGCCTAATCTGTGTCTTGCTCTCGACAAGCATGTGTTGGCAGGAAACTTCCAGCATTGACAAGTTCACATTCTGGGAATAAGTAGCAGTAGCAAATGTGGAAAATTAATTAATATTCGTTTACTGCCTTGGAGAGTTCCATGACAATTTCTGCCACTCGATCCGCCTAGCTTCCGGGGCGTGCTCGGCAACAAACGCGTGTTTGCGAGCGTGCACGACTGGCTGGCTACTGAATCCGAAGTGAACATTCCATCGGGGAGGCACTCTTGATCGAATGACGTTTTAGAGAGTGTTTTGTTTATTTTCCAACAGAGTACGGTAACCAAGTTCATCTCGCATCATGGAGATTCAAGACGTCCGCAGCCTTAATGATAGCGGCGTACTGGCTGACTCCTCGACACTCCTAGCGGAAGCCTCATCGGGGGAAACCACAGTAACAACTTTGCCACTAGTCAACCTAAGCATTCCCTTCTTGAGTGGCACGTCAGGTATCATGATTGGCACCACGACCGACGGTTCTGGAACTTTTGTGCTGGATGCTTCCCAGCTGTCGCTCCTGAGCTCAAGTGGTGTCTTTGCGGACGGTGTTCTCCAGCTGTCAGTCCAGGTAATAACAAAAAGGGCCTGTCATGTTGGTACTAATCGAGAGGAGTATTAAAAGGGTTACAATAAAAGACCCTTGCCGGAAGTTGCCACTGTCCTCGATCTGTGTCGCTGGACAGATAAAGGTTTATTAGCGCACTCCACAAAACACTGAAGACATTATGTGGGCTCTATAGGCATCTACCATTAACCAGCTGACACCACTATTCTTTGCATGCCAACACTATATCCAACCGGGTTCACTACGGTTGATCAAACACCATTTCATCGAAACTTTTTTATCGAAACTTGGTGTAGGGAAAGCTGAGCCTCAGTTTAGAGAAATGCCATTCATCACAAGGGGTCTCTGTTTGAAAAAATCCAGTACATGATTCACTGAGGCGTGTTTACCCATGTTTACCTGTTGATGGACGCACGTCTGGTTGATGTGGTGGCGTAGGTTGCGTCCAGAGCAACCTGGACAACACACTGATATGACCGTAACAACAGAGTCACCCGGGCAACTGTTCCATCGTGCCAACTGCCGAAAACATTAAATCAAAGAAACCACAAGGGACGAGCAGAGATCATGAAAGGACCTGTTCCAATCAATTCAGTGTTTTCCCTCTAGGTACTGTCCGTTATGCTGGAGTTATGAATACCTGAGACTGATAAGAAAAGGGAAACTTCAAACAGTTGAAGAAACAGAAAAAAAGGACAATGCAACATCTCAACTGTTTGATGTTTCCCTTTTCCTACCACAGTATTGGGTATAATTCATCATGGTTAACTTGTAAGGTCTTGACAGCGGGACCTTCAACTTGTTGTGCAACTAAGCCCGGCATTTGTTTGTGCCCTAGTGCTGATTTTATTGTGTCTCTCTAAAAAAACAAAAAACAATAATCATTCTTTTAAGGAGCTTTCCTCTTTACTGTGCCCCCTACCTGGAATATTGTGTTTTCAACTTTAAGGATTGGGGTTACCGAACACATGAGATAACTAATTAGCAGTATTTCAGTAAGCTGAAAAGGATCTTGAAAAAGACAAGTTAGAGGTGAATTCTAGAGTATTGTTATCCTGTTAATCTGAATATCACATTGTTTTCCTTGAATACCAAACTAAATGCGCAAAAACACAAAAAGCCTCCGACCAGTTGTTACGTCATAAATGGATCTTTCGGCCGCCAAGCCCGTGTCGCTCGTGTGGGCAGCACGTGCAATTGCATGCTTGCCATGTATATTTTCCCGCACTGACACCAGTTGTGACGTCTTTTTCTGACCTCTTTGAAAATAGCAAGAGTGACGTGCTTAACTTTAATGGGCGCTTAAAATGCGCGAGAGCACAAATTCTGAAAACTCCTAAAATGGCGTCACGCCCCGGGAGGGAGGGGCTACAGCGGTTAAAAATTAATTTCTGCAGCCTCCGTTCAACGAAATTGAAAAATAATCTTGATATTCGTGATCCTGGAAGCCAAATGAAGAAATATTTAAATGTTTTTCCTCAAATGCAGAACCGCTTCAGTTTCCCTTTAAGTTATTTACAATTCTGGTGACTACCGTGAAATACCAAGCTTGCACCCAGGTGACAAGAAGTGCCCACCCACTAGTTTTTAAATCGTTGAAAACTAAGCTAACGACATATCAAATGCCCATCCTAGACTTCTGAACCCACCCAGCTAAAACAGAAGTGCTCCTGCTCACCAACTGCTTCTCCAAGCACACCGGTGCAGAGCAGTTAAGCCCGCCCTACCATGTTTCCCTTCTGCATTGTGGCTCTTGGACATAACATTCATCCATTCCTCAGTTTTTCAAGATTATCCCCTAATTTGGGTGGGCGCTTGCTCGGTGCTTCATGGTAAATGCTTATTAAGGAACAACAAAAGTTTGGTAACTGTGACTTGGTTACCTTTCTGGTTAACTTGTGATAGCAACAGTGTTTAAGCTATTTGTTGGCTAGCTCCATGCTTTTCAAAGATCATGATACTCTCAGTGCTTGTGGGAGCTGCTGTAAATATCTTCAATTAAGATTTTAATTTATCTTATAAATTATCTTACGCCTGCGAATGGATTCACTCCTCACCGCTTTAATCTCGCTGAGGAGAATGCGATTGAACCAATACATTACTGCAGTCTAGCTTCATTAGTTTTTGTGAGTGATTGTAACTGAATACATTTTCTGAGTCCTCTTTTTGTTTAGAAGAGCAGACTCAATTTAAACTTCTATAGGAATTTCAACCTAGTTGGAAATGAAAGTTTGCGCATGTACTAAAAGATTTAATTTCTGCGAGGACCTAATTTTTGCAAATACCGCGATTTGAAAAATATTGAAAAAATTGACCATGTGCATACGTCACCCCATAGTAACGAGTACAGTCAAATCTCGTTAATTCAAACTTGCGGATAATTCAAAGTAACATGCAGGTCCCATCTTATGCGTCTCTATGGGAGAAAACTCCCAGTAATTCAAACTTTGCTTTATTCAAACAAATTTTTGGTCCCCGTCAAGTTTGAATTAACGAGATTCGACTGCATAGCATACCCCTCCCAATTGCAAAATTTCGTGCCTACGAAATATTCCCGAAACCCACACTTCGTAAAATTGGCAAAATGTTGAGCCCACAATAATAAAGTTGTTTACAGTATGCAGTTTCTACAGTTGCAATTAAAATCTGGTTCTTAATTACTGGTATCTTTTTTAAACTGCCACAACATATATAAAGCTCCAACATGGGGCATTGCCATTTCAACTGAACCGCAATTCCACTCAAGTTGCATTTCTAACTGTGCCCTTTGCACCTCTGCTTTCAGAATGCTGAGGGCTCTGAGCAGGTGGTGGTACTTCAGCCCCAAGAAGTTACCAGCCTAGGAAGTACCCCAGTAGCCCCTCTTTCGGAGCTGAGTACCAATGTACTGGCAGTGACCCAAGCCGGCAGCCAGACCAATCCAGAGCTAGTAACAGCCAGGAAACCAACTAAGCCTGCAAGTAGAGCAGAGCCAGAAATTGGACCTCCTGTTGGAAAGGTTGGTGGAAACCAACCCTACTACTAGCAGGGTCCCCTATGCTGAGATTGCCTTGACTTCTTGTTGGTTTTTAAGTTCTTTTGCTTCCAAGAAACGGAATTTTGGTGATACCTTGCACACCAGCTTTCTGCCAACAAAGTAATGCAGAAGTCTGGCTGGCTTTCCCTTGGGGAGTTCATTTAGGACACGTCGTAGAGTGTCGCCACATTGCTTATACTCGCAACGTCATGTAGAACAAGAAATGTTTTATTATTTTTTTTTCTTTTATTTTGTTTCAACCATTAATTTATTCATTGTTGGGCTGGTACGTTCTGCCGCATCAATGCCCGTATGTTGGGGAAACATGCTCTGCGTGAAGACTATCCGTTCAGTTTCTAGCTGTACTACTGTGGTGCTTTTCTACGCAGGGCCCTTTCAAGTGCACCATTTGCAACGCCGAGTTTCCAAAATGGTCTCAGCTGCAGCGTCACCAGCGCAACCATGCAGAAGACAAGCCTCACCGGTGTGCTCGCTGCGATGCTTCCTTTAACCACGAGCTAAACCTGCGGTTGCATGCGGCCACCCATCTGTGCCCGGGCGAACCCGTGCTGTGCCCCGAGTGTGGCAAGCGATTCGCACGTCTGGCTAGCCTCAAGGCACACATGATGCTGCATGAAAAAGAAGAGAACCTCATCTGTGCTGATTGTGGAGATGAGTTCAGCACTCAGGTGAGGCCTTCATCAGGCGGAGCATTGGCCATCATAGTGTCAGGGATTTGTAGTTGCCCTCAAATCATTTTCCCGAACTTATCGTGAAATGATGTTCAATTGTTTACTCCTTCTCGGCCAGCTTGTCTGGGAAGAGTAGTAGACTGTGTGAGTAAGATGGATTGTTCTCCCTTTCAAAGGACCGCATAAATTGGTCCCTCTTCTTTAGGTAAGTTTATTCATTGAAATTTTGATGCAGAAAATGCGCAATCTTCGGCCGCCTCTGTACAAAATATTGTCACATGTGTCGCAAAGTTGGCAATTCACACGGCTGCCACATGGAGGAGCTGGGTTAAAACCCCGCTCGGCACGGTTCTGGAAAGTTCCATTTTAGGTTGTCATTGTTCTGGTTCAGAACCTTCCTGAATGTACCGGGCACAAAAAAACGGTGTAAATGTGCTCTTTCGGGTCAGTTGCCCCTTCGTCACGATTGCAGGATGCGTGGTACCTTTTTGGTTTAATTGCAGGCACTAGTTTGCCTCGTTAAACATTCATTTTCAGTTCTAAACTTGCCTGCTTGTTTTTACTCGTGACACCACTAGCGAGATGTGTTAATGAACCGATTTATGCGGTCCCTTGATAGGGTCAAAAATTCATTTTACTCGTGCGGTACTTATGAAAGTAAACCATACTAGGTTTATTTGATCCACAGATGCTAAAAACAGTTGTGTTACTATCTAATACTGCATCAGAATGTCTAAAGCTTAGTCGTGTCCAGAAATTCAAATGCTTTTATATGCTGAGCGCAAGTTGGTCTGCTTCTTGCGCAGGGGTTGCAGTGACGTCAGAATGCCGAGCTCTGATTGGCTCTTGAAGGATAGTGGGTAGACCTCAATGCTAGCTGCCTTAATGTCTACCCACTATCCTTCAATTAGAGCCAACCAGAGTTCGGCATTCTGACATCACCGCAACCTTTGTGCAAGAAGCAGACAAACTTGCAGTCCGCATTACTTTCGCTAGATGGAGTTTTGGGTCTCCCTTAGAACAAAATCATGTGGCCGCATTTGGTGGGTAAACGAAAGCACGGGGTGTGCAAGGAAACAGACAAACTGTTTTTGAAAACTTGAGTATAGCTGTGTCATATAGAGTGGATAGTACAGCATGTACACTAACGCTTTGATCCCACTTTGGACAGTCCACAAAAATTGGTTTCTCAACGTATCACGCTGGGATTTACTACAGAGGTGCAGCTGGGCAGTGCCACGCATAAAATTATAATATCAACGGATAAACTTACCTTGTTCAAGAAAGAATAAAGGAGAACCTGTTTCGGGCAATCTACGGGGCCATTTCCCCAGGCGACGCAGGCGGTATTTGTTGACTTGGAGATGCTGCCGACAGATGGCGTATGCGTCGAAAAACTTTCGCTAGATTGTCTGCTATCAAACCCAAATCGGCGCACCCCGTGTGCATTCAATGCATGTGCCATCTGTTGGCAGCGTTTCCAAGTCAATGAATACCGTCTGTGTTGCCCGGGAAATGGAGTTGTAGATTGCCTGAAAAATGTTCTTCTTTGTTCTTTTTTGAGCGAGGTAAGTTTATCTGCTGGTATTTTAACTTTATGCATGGCTCTGCCTAGCCGCACCTCTGTAGTGAATCTCGGCATGATACGTTGGGAAATCGCTTTTGCGGATCGCCCAAAGCGGGATCGAAGCGTAAGTGTGCATGCTGTAGTTGTCAGAAGGTGACACGCAGTATTGTATAACATGACTGGAGTGGTTTGATGCAATTGGATGTATGAAATTATAATTATTGATTCTACAAACTAGACTACGTGGTTATCAAACCTGTATTTTCTAAAGTAACAGTAGCTGTTACCTTTTGTAAAGGGAAAGCATTGAGCACACACCACCTGGTCATGGGTACTGTGCAGGCACGCCTAGATCAGCACGCTCAGGGGCACAAGAACGAGCTTTCCCGGGTCAAGTTCTACTTCTGTCGGCAGTGCCCGCAGAAGTTTACCAAGCAGCCTCTGCTTAGGGAGCACATGAAGATTCACTACAAAATTAAGTAAGGTGCCGCCCATGCATTCCAAAGCTGGTCTTTGCTTTTGCAGAGAGTGTGACAATTTTCGTTAATTTCCACTCCAGGGCGTCTTTGTCTCATCGCACCTACAAGCGAAATATTGACCGGTCAGCTTTCCCTCACAAGTGCTCCACTTGCAAGAAGCAGTTCCAGAAACCCAGTCAGCTTGTAAGACACAATCGAATCCATACTGGTGCGTACGGTACTTTTTCCTCTCTTTATCTTTATCAGCTCGTACACGATTACCCATGGTTTTTTTTATGCCTAAGTAATATGAAATTTGAGTACCGCACACTGGCAGGGTCTTTTGGCTCATCTCTCGGAGTTAGCCAGTTTGCCAATTGTGGTTTAAAATGTGGAACGGTTGCCCTCCAAATAACATGTGATATGTGATGTCCCTTTGAACCCTTTGAACGTGCCAACCGCACAGGAACCAAAATGCTGTTAATCGTTGCAGGACTGTAGTACAGTGTACGCTGTAGGAGGCGGCTACACTAAACAGAAAATTCAAAGTAACCATTAAAAAAAAAGATACAATTGAGCTGAACTTGGAGGAGCTGTGTGAAAAAGAGGCAATCTAAAAAAATCCTAAATTTTTTATGTGTCTGCAGATAGGTTCTCTGAAAGGCTCAAAGCAAGCATTACTAATGTCATTCTAATAAAAGCCAATGGGCAGTGGGAAAAGGAGGAGTGGAAGTCATGTCATAAAAATACTCCATGGAGTAGAAACAAAGGGTAGTTTTTTCTGCCACATGTGTGAACAAGTGCTACGGGACGTCCCTTGAACGTTGGCTCCTGAAATTCGTGAAATTCTAATTATCCTCAAATTCTGGGGTCCAAACTCCTCTATAAATCGTGACTGGGATGTCTGATTTTTGAATGTCTTTCATTATATATTGAAAATGCAAATGAACAAGAAATAATTAAGTTGTCAAATTTTTATCACACTTGTCATAATGCCATGGCAACATGTCTCGTAGCGTATGCCCATGTTTTGGCTTTGTAGCATGTTTTTCAGGCATATCTGCAGGATTTTCGTGACCTATTCGGCACTTTTGTTTCATACTGGCACACAAATAATATTTTTGCTTAGAAGTCTGAAATGTCTGCACCCTTTGAACATTGAACCTTGGCAGTGTTGCAGAGTTGCCACTTTGGAGTTGGAATGATCCTGGAATCATTCCGTACTTCCGCGACCTTGGAATGGAATGGGAATGGAATTATATGCCTTTTGCAACGAATGGAGTGGGAATCGATTGAACTCGGTTCTTATGTGAGCTGCGTCGATTTTCATCTAGGGCCTACGGGCTAATGACGCAATTTGCTATCGCGTGGTAAGTGGCTCTTGAAATAGCATCATTGCACTGGAGGTGACCGATGGATTCATTGTCTCACTGGCTTATGCTCTTTTGAGGATAAAAATGATGCGCCCTCAATGAAGCAACTTAACGGTAGACAAAGTAGGTGCCGTTCCTGGCGCCGCGAGTTGCGACAAAGCGGCTGTTGTAATCATGTGCGATTACCGTGCAGCTTTTAACCAGGGTGTCAAACCGAACCTGAACCCAAGTTTGGAGCAAAACTGTTACTTTTAACTGAACTGGAACAAAACTATAACCAAAATCAAACATTCTGTATTGAACCCGAACCGGAAGAGAACCGTAATCTTATGTGGCGGTTACCAGTTCATTGAAAACGGTTCAGTGTAATAAAATGTAAGCCGCACCTTCTTGTGGGTGGCGGTGCAAAGTCAATTAAATATTTGCGACAGTGGCGTCAGCGGCTCAGTTTTGATTAAGCAAACGGCTGCGACACCATGGAGACAGCTCGGTAATAATGAAACAAATAAGTATATTTCTTCATGTCTATTTGTAGCGCGAATTGGCGTTGGCGAGTCGGCGTGGAGGTGTACGCTTGTATACTTTGTTTCAGCTTACGATGGACTGCAAAGGACGCGCTACGAGCCACCAAAGCCAATTTATAACTCGGAGGACGTCATTTGTCCCTCCGGTTGGGCAAAGTGACGCGGGGAGCGCAAAGTCACGAGATAAGCTACGAACTATGGATTGGCTCGTGTAGCTCATAACGTCATCGCGGCACATCGTAAGGTGAATTAGAGTATATCCAACTGTGCTGAGAGGCTAAAGAGCTATTTTTTGTGTGTGTGTGTGTGTGTGTGTGTGTGTGTGTGTGTGTGTGTGCGTGTGTCTGTGTTTCTTCTCCTTTCTTGCTGCTAAGCAATATTCCTTAAGGAAGGAAAAAGCAAACATAAACATCAAAGTAAAAACCAAAAGTTGATGGCTTTCGGCACGTTTCTTCCGCCGTGGCAAAATCTGGAGGCACCAAGAGGTGAAGCCGCGACAAGTGCGACACTGCGGCGTCGGTCGCCAGGATGCCAGTCGCCCAGAGCCAACGCTGCTTGAAGGACATTTTCTTGTGTGTGCATTTTCTAGAAACAGAAAGTCGCCTGTTGTCTTTTATGTCCCTTTTTGTTTTAATCGTCTTTCAATTGGCCCTTGCTGTCTTTCTCCTCTTCAACTAAGTCGTTCGAGCAAGTCGTTTGGGCATGCGGTGTGGTTATAGTTGGCCGTTTAAATCTGGATGAGCTCTGGATGAGCATTTACGTGAGTACATCACTATAATCTGGCAGACTAAACTTCTTTCTAAACAACTGACGACTACCCAATTTGTTTCTGTGGGTAGCAATTGCGAGTATGGTGCATGCTACCATCACGGTGTCACTGTCTGATTAACTTCACATCTGAGTACTGTACTTTGGTACTGTTTCCAAGTGCCTGTATAACCGCATAATTTTCGTGGAACGGTGTTTTCGTTAAAAATTAAAGATCGCAAAACAAAATTAAGCATATATTTGTTTTGCTGTCCTTATTTTCGCAGCACGGCCTCTGATGACCTAATTTATTTTAATGAAGGTGACGCCGTGTTAAACTCGTCTTTTCTTTTTAACGACTAGAAGCTGTGGACTTTTCTTTCAAGAACCGGTAGCCAAACCGTGATCTCAAAAGCGTCCCTGAACCAGAACCGAACCGGGGTGATGACCGGTTCGACTCCTTGCTTTTAACCGATCCAATCTTTTTGTGTTTGTGTGGAACACAAATTAAAAAAATGCGTTGAATGTACAGCAAATGTAAAAGTTTCCGTTTTAAGACAGGTTTCATAACATGGTGGTGCAGTCCCTTATGCTCGTGCCGTATGCCAATTGCACTTTGTCAGTGGTTTTCTGCTTCCGCAGTGCTTGGAGTTTTGGGGCAGGTATACGCGGCTTCGCTTCTAGCTGTGTACCAGCGGTGCTGTTACGAAGTTTTCGAAGCAGAGAGCAAGATAGCTTCTTCTTGCATTATGCTATGCACAAACTAGACATTTTTAATGCCTTATCAAACAAACAACACGCTAACCATGTATCTGTACACTGTATACACCAGTGGTTTCGATTTCAGTCTGGGGGCCAGATAGACCACACCGAAAAGATCAAGGGCCAACATAAGACAGGTCGGGGGGGGGGGGGGGGGGGGGGTTCAAACGATTTTAAAGGGGAGACCTTGTGCTCTCTGCTTTTTTAAACTCGCAGTTTTGCCAGTGACATCTCTAAATTTTATTTTTTCATATGACTACTTTGGGCCCTCACCTGATGTGATAACAAATGACACCACCCTGCCAAGGTGCTGGAAATTTTAATAAAACAAGAAAGCAAGTACACTGTCATTCCCGTTGCTCAATTCCCCGGTGAATTAACAAAGCTCAACATGTCTATAAGAAACAATCTGTAAGTTTGGCAGTTATTGTTTCTTGACGATTTTTGTTACAACGCTCTGTACAAATACTTGTCTTTTAAGGGTAATATTTTTTTGAAGGCGAGAATCCCGAGCTCATAGCTTTGTCTTTGGCAGTTGCTCCTGCAGATCGAGAGTTCGTGCAGCCGAGGTGCATCCTTCAACGAACAGCTCGCGCTTCCAGCCTAGTAGCGGAATTGTTTTAGATTACAGAAAGCTGGGAAGCAAAAATTAAAGCGAAACAAAGGCCATATGAACACAGATGAGCATAAACTATGTGAATACCTTAAAAGAGCAGAGCTACTGTTCGAGCGAAAATGACTCGACTAGATGAGACTGCCATGACGCATGGCATATCTAGCGCTCGAGACATGAGAACCGGGAATCATAGACGGTTGCCTGCGGGCCGCGTCCCAGAGAGTCGCGGGCCGGGCTGCGTGTTTGAGACTCCTGGTACACACAGTCTGTTTGCGAAGTATATGAGTGGTTTTAATTATTGGTGCCTGGTGGGTCTTTCATACTTTTCAGGTTTAACCACAAGATCAATGTCTTCAGTGACAAGATGTTGCCACGAAGCACTTTGTGCGACCACCCTTCGGCTTGGCAGAATGAGTGCTTTGAGGATGCTTTTGCTTACTTTTGCAGTCATCTCCGCGTTTGATAACGTTAGCAGCTTTATGCTGCTTTTTTTTAGTAACACAGTGTGGCTGTCAGTGGCCATTTTTTCACCTTTAGGAATCGGAGGAATGGAATGGTGAAGTTCAGCCGTTTCAGGAGTGGGAATGGGCCCAGTGTCTCCATTCCGAGGAGTAGAAAGAAATGGAATTGTCGGAAACTCTTAATTCCCCGGAATGGAATTGAAATAGAAGGGGGCTGTGGCCATTTTGCAACACTGCTGGCACCATCTAGACATTCCTTGGTGTCGGCAGTTTTGCTTGGTTACCAGTGTTGCTTCAAACTGTGCATCCAGATAAGATGGCTGCTGAGGAGTCCCGCCGTGTGGCCTTGCAGGAGAGCGCCCCTTTGAGTGCAGCCTGTGCCACAAGACATTCAACCAGAAGGGGGCTCTGCAGATTCACATGAGCAAGCACAGCGGGGTCCGTCCATACCGGTGCGAGTTCTGCTCTGCGGCCTTTTCGCAGCGCGGCAACCTGCGAGCCCATATCCAGAGGGTGCATTCAGCTCCACCGCCTGACCGGAACACTCCCACGTTCAGGTGGGGGCTGCTTGTCTCTATTAGATTTGCAGTACACCTCTGGAATATTGGGCAAGCTTGTTTGGTTGTTCAGTCTTTGCTGTTTTAGTATTCATGAAGCCAAAAGTGTATAGATAGCACCAAAGCTAAGCAAAGAACTTTGTGACGCCAAAAGAGAAGTCGTAGAACTCGAGCAATATTCTAGAAACATGAATCTCGAAATTAAAGGGCTACCTATTCTTCCAAACGAAAACTTGCAGAAGGCTCTGGGAGTAATTGCGACCTGTCTAGGCGCTGAGCTTTCTGAGGGAGATATAGACATAGTGCATCGAATCCAGTCAAAGGACAAAGTGAAGCCAAATGTGATGGTAAAGTTTTCCTCATGCACAGTATGTTGCAAGTTGCTGTGTGTGGCGAGGAAGATGAAACTCAACATAAGTCTTCTAGGCTTCGAGGCAAACGACCCACTGTACGTAAATGAACACCTTTGTTTTGAGATTAAGATTTTGCTAAGTAAGGCTTGCCTGGACCGGCGAGAAAAGAACTGGAAATTTGTTTGAATAAGACAGGGCAAGATTTTCATGCGGAAGTGTGAAAACTCCCCCGTGCTGCGTGTGATGTGTGAAGGAGACCTTGCAAGAGTTGTGTAGTCGGTATAATGCTAGCGCCTTGGTTTGTGCTCTTAGGATCATCATGCCTTACACTTTCCAACAGGTTGACAATTTAATGCTAAACCATGATTCTTTTTCTTTGTTTCATAGCAATGTACGCAGTCTAAGAAAAAATCTAAATCAACTGCTTGCATGTATTTCATGGCACCGAGAAGCAGATGATATAATTGCTGTAAGTGAAACATGGGTTCAAAATAATGAAACGGCTCTTATACCCGGGTACATAGTTTCCTCCCTCCCACGGGTTACACATACAAGGGGAGGTGGCGTTGCATTTTTTGTGAAAAAGGACATTGTCTTTGAAGTTGTACATACTGCCTCTATCAGTGATGAACATATTGAAGCTCTTTTTATTAAACTTCCTTGTAGTCTAATAATCGGAGTGGTGTACCGTCTTCCGAACACCGCAATGACCTCTTTCTTAGACAAATTCGAATCTGTTCTTGTACAAATATCTTATAAGCATATCGGCCGCAGTATAATCCTTGGAGATTTTAATATCGACTTGGCATGAGATACGCACAATTATTATACTCTACTTCTTGAATCTTTTAGCTTACACAATATTATACGTGAACCCACTTGCATTACCAGTACTTCGAGTATGTTGATTGATCACGCGCTTTGTAACAGCGATAGTGGTTTGTGTGCCGGAGTTTAATCGAATAGCGGACCATCTGCCTATTTTTGTTGTCTTGCAAAACCAGCCGTCTGTAAATGCGAATCTTTGTCCTAAGATACGCACCAAGGTGAACTATGTCCTACTACGAAGTATATTAGAACAAACAAATTTTTATGCTTTGTATAATCATGACGTCAACAATGAATGTCAAAACTTTGTTCATACTCTTAAAAACACAGCAATGCAGAGCGCTGAAAGTAGGGCAAACAACAGATATGGAGAGCTGGTCTGCCCTTGGATGATAAGTCAAATTTTAGGCATACTGAATGAGAAAAACAGCTGGTATCGTAAATGAAAACAAAACAAAAGAAACAATTATTATTTAGGACAATTTAAGCAATTAAGGAACGTATCTGTCTCTCGTATGCGGAAAAAGAAACGGGAATATTACTCCTCTCTTATCGAACAAGCCGATGGGAATGCACAAAAGCTTTGGGATATAGTTAATCACGCAATCGGCCTTCGCTCAAATTGACATGTGCAACCCGAACTAGCCAACCAGGAAGTGGTAGACAATTTTAATGACTACTTCACAAACATAGGTCCTCTCCTAGCAGCACAGTTGCCACATGTGATAGCTTCCCCGAGGTTAATGGCTTCGGTTGTTAATACTTTTGTCATACAGGAAATTCAGATGGCTGAAATTATGTCAAAGATTAGAAGTCTTCAAGTAAACAAATCGGCCGGGCTCGATACTGTTCCAGTATAATTAATAAAAGATAATATAGACATTTTAGGCATTCATTTTCTACACTTGTTTAATTATTCATTGGAAAGCGCAATATATCCTGATGAGCTCAAAATAGCAAAGGTTGTGCCCATTTTTAAAGAGGGAGATACTTTTGAGCCGTCTAGTTATCGACCAATATCAGTATTAAGTGTAATTAATAGAAATTTAAAAAAAATAATTTGTAAACACATTTAGGAATTTATAAGGAAGTATGATATTCTCTGCCCTAGTCAGCACGGATTTAGGCCGAACAGATCTACCTCTTCTGCTGTACTTGTGTTAACCCAGCTTCTTAATATGGCTCTTCATGACAATAAAATTGCTGTGGTTGTTTATTTGGATATAAGTAAGGCTTTCAATACAGGTAATCACACCATATTATTGAACAAGCTTTATCAGTACGGTTCTAGGGGAGAGATATCAGAGTTATTTAAAAGTTATCTTTCTAAATGAACACAATGTGTAATGATTAATAATTTTATTTCTACGTCACAAACAGTGCTTACAGGGGTACCACGAGGCTCCGTTTTGGGGTCCATTCTTTTTTCTCTCTACGTCAATGATTTTCCTTCTGTTTCATGTGACTCTGAAGCGCTCATGTATGCTGATGATACAGCATTAGTTTTTGTAGGGGCACAATAAGTGAACTACAAGGTAAAGTAAATGAAGAACTTAATAGGGTCTTAACGTGGTTCACTAGTACCCCCCCCCCCCCCCCCCCCAACTCACACTTATCATTAAAAAAACTAAGTACACTGTGTTTCACTCTTGGAGAAAGCAAACTAATTCTAAATAACTAGCTATATACTTAAATAATGTGCAGTTGCTGCATGTTTCCTGTTACAAATATTTAGGTCTCTTGTTTGAAACTGATATGCACTGGAAGAATCAAATTAAAACCATAGGTACAAAACTTGCACACGGTTGCTACACACTACTTAAGGCTTGGGAGTTCTTTAATTCGTCTATACTGCGCATTCTATACTTTGCATTTGTACATAGTCACTTGAACTACTATATAGACTCTTGGGGCGGAACATATACCATGTATTTAAAGCCACTCAGTCGATTACAGAAAAGGGCTCTGAGACTCATTATTTCTTCTAGATATACTGAACCAAGTAGTCCTCTATTTCGATCAGTTGGCGTGCTGCCACTAGACTTCCTATACAAATTAAAAATGGCTGAAACAGTTTTTAAAATAATAAAAACTGATGACCCACTTCCGTTACATCTATTTAAATTTTCATTATGGAATACGAGGGCTGCAACAAATAATCTGTTTAATTTCCCACCTTGTAGAAATTTATGGAGAAAGGCTTATTGGGGGGGGGGGGGGGGGGGAAGGAAGGAAAGGAAGGGGAAGGGATATCAACGGTGCCCTAGTATGGAATGATATCCCTACCGACATTAAATGTAAACCCAATTTTTTGTCGTCCTTAAAGAAGTATCTAATCAATTTGCAAGCCAATGAATAAGTTCAATATCATATGTCCTGTCTATATTTTTTTCAATTAGTATGTATATTGTTTTGTGTATACTTTGATAGTACATTTGTTTTGTTTGCCTGCCACATTGTAAAGGTTATTTCTAATGTTGGACCCGCGACTAGCCTCCACGGCTATGGGTCCAAGCAACACTTGTGTATTTAAATAGAATAACAAAAGAATAATAACGGAAAGGAAAAAAAAATGAAGAAAAATGTATGTTGTGCGACGGGGTTGGAGACCACATGATGTTAGTGAGATAAAAGTTATCAAGCAGGTGGGTTGGTGATGCTTACCTAGTTACTAAAAGACACGGGGCGCACAAAAAAAGGGGATAGGACAATGTCATTGTCCGGTCCCGTGCCTCGGGGTTTCTAATAACTACGACACAAGTGGTTTTTCACGTCTTACTTCAAAGAGGGTATTAGCAGGCACCAAGTGTTATGTGTAGGTTGGTGCTCGAAATCAGCACTTCCTTGAACACCTTCCAATTTCAAGGGAAAAAGAGAAAAAAACTGACAATTGCTCATTTGCTCTAACAGTGTTGCACTACGTATGCTTTCAGAGTTATTTTCTTTGGAATTGGTTTGATTGCTTCCTCAAGCCTCTGGTTGGAATGTAAAGCAGCAGTAGGTGATGGACTACTTTGGTTGCAGGTGCCAGGAATGCACGTGCACATTCCGCAGGCTAGGTAGTCTCAATGCCCACATGAGCAGGGTGCATTCTGGGCAGATGAGCCTGTCTGATGGCCTGTCGAAAAAGGATGCTCTCGAGTCCCTCTCGAAGAGCCTCCACCAGCAGGTGAGCACACCACAGTCTGCTCTTGGATATAGCGCGAGAAGACCGCATCAATAACTGGAGCAGAAATGTAGCAGATGGAGATCGTCAGGAAAGATGCAAATTCATAGACATTACACTAGCAGACAACCATGGTCCTTCAGATTTTATTGATTTTTTTGTCACTGCATCTTTGCTGTCATTCCCATGACTAGTGTTGTGCGAATATTAGGTAAAAATTTCGGATAGTAGTTTAGAATAATACACTATTCAATATTCGTTTCAAATTGAACTGCAATATTCTTTTCTTTTATGTTTTTTTTTTTAATGATTGCGGCGGGCTAGCTTTGTTGAGCGTGCTTCTTACTGAGCACTGGTGCAAAGCAGAGAACCAACACCTCTGGAAGCAAGTTCCGCGGGTGATGCTTCTCCGCAGCGCACTGGTATTTGATAAGATGGGGCAACCTGCCACGATCGACACTTGGAAAAACGTATGAATAGTATCGCAATTGCGTGCTTGAGAGAAAAGCACACTTTCAAAGCGGGATGGTGCACACACACGCCCGGTGTATTTAAAAAGAAACAGAAACTTTGCAAATGTTGTTATTTAAATTGCAGTAGAAGTTTCAAAATTAAACTGTGGCTGTTAAAAAATAAAGAGTAGTAGTATTTGTTAGGCAGAGATGTCCTAAGAGCCTGCATTCATCATTCGTGATTTTTTTTTTTTCTTTCAAATTTGAGGTTAAGGGAAAATTATTTGCATACAGCAAGATTTATGAATTCACTCAATTAGATATAGCTGGGCATCTCTATAGGTTTAATTTTATGTCAAATCCGTCGTTTACTTGCCATTCTAAGGCGTCGGACTTTCTGAGGTCACAGTCCGTAAATATAGTTAGATTAAAATTAGCTTAGAAATGAACAAGTGAAAGCTTAGGAACTACATTACAGGCTACTCTTTGCCCCACATGTCAGTGAACCAGCCTTACTGCTGATGCCCTACATAATGGAACACATGGGAAACATGTGCATGTCGTGTTTGTCTTCCATAGTCACATTGGCCAAGGACTGTGGCGTCACATCTCTTCTCGTAATAACTCTGAAGAAGTTTCAGTTGAGGTGGTTTTCACTGATTTTACTGTGCAGTGCTTTGTAACGAAGTAGTACTTGCCTAATGCTTCCGACAAAAATTGGAACCCTAAAAAGTAAAAAATTGCTGTACTATAAAAAAAAATTAATTGGTTGAATAAATAATTTAGCGAGTAAAGTAGAATTAATGGTCCCTTTAAAACATAGCAGAAGCTGACGAACAAAAAAGGGTTAGAGAGCATACTTTCATAAATGAACAATAAATGTTTGCCTTTACATACTATGAGACTACGTCCGACATCTCTCGATCTGCCGTAGCTAGTACCATTCAGGCAATGTTCACGGGACATGCCGCTTAGTGCGCCGTGCCGTTTTCCTTTTCCTCGGTGTCATTTCTAGACGGCGGTTGTTGTGGAAGCCCACCGCATTCCGATGGACGAGGAGGACGTCAAGCGCACTAACGCGGACTTGCTTCAGCAAGTGCTGGTGAACAGCGGGCTGACGCACAGCCCAAATGGAGGGGCGGCCAAGGAGGCGTCGTCCGGGGATGCTGCCCTCGCACAGGGCCTGGAGGGTCCCACCTCAGACCATGGGGCCTCAGGGGTCTCGGGGGATGGAGCACAGGCCCAGAAGTCCCCCAGCAACGAGTCTGCCATGGTTATGTCGGTGGCGGACACTGCCACGGGCATGATCAAGATGCACATCTACCGGATGGTGAGTGCTGCTGACCGCCGTGGAAGAGACTCGGTTAAATTTAGAAGAGCTAAGTAAAGTGTGTTCGAGGCTGCCCGAGTGTTGTGTGAGCCTTTGTTCAACTGCTAGCTGTACCTCTCCTGGCTGGCTGTGAAAGCATAAATTATTTTGAGCTTGTTTTGTTCTGGAAAGATCAGTTGATTGTGGTGAGCTGTATGAAATTGGCAATTGTAGCTGGTGGACATGGACTGATTTGGGAGGTAAAATATGTCCTTTGAGTACACACATTGCATGAAAACATGTATCAATCACATTTTGTTGTAATGGCAGTTGCAAAAGTCTCTCACCTAGAGCAGGCACATTCACTTAGGAAGTGTCGGGCACTTTATATTTTTGGGTCCCGGTCTACTCGATAGCTTGGTCAGACATGACCTATTGCCGTGCGTGTTTTTCAATCCGGCCAGGTGGGCAACGTGCGCTGGCATCAGTGCATGTACTGCACGAAGGAGTTCAAGAAGCCGAGCGACCTGGTGCGCCACATCCGCATCCACACCCAGGAGAAACCGTACAAATGCAGCCACTGCTTCCGAGCCTTTGCAGTCAAGAGCACCCTGACCAACCACGTGCGAGCCACCCACCTTGGGATGAAGCTGTCGCAGTGCCCCACCTGCCAACACATGTTCTCCACGAGGGGTGCACTCAAGGTCCACATGCGAATCCACACTGGTGAGTCTGGTGCAGGCTTTCGAGGGGAGTGTCTGTGGACTGGAGCTGCCCCTCTTGGTGTGCCACATGTCCTTTGAACACATGGAGGCAGTTCCTTTCGTGTCATGCTTACACTTTTCTGTTTGCACCAGCATACATACGTTCAAAGTATTTACAGTGCTCCCCAAACTTAACACTGCCTCTCACTCTCCCGAACATTGAGCTGCTAAATTAGATCCGTCACCAAACCAGCTGGGATGCCTTTCCGAAATGGGATAGTAATCGGGAAGTGAAAGTGTCACCATATATGTGACCTGTAGTCACAGGAATAATGCTAAAAGTGGCCAAAGTGTACCATTGAGGTTGCATTAAGTTTGAGGAACACTGTGCACATGTTCAAAGTATGCATTTAAGACAAAGTACACCAACCAACATAGAAAAACGGGGTGCAGTGGAAACATGTGAGTGATATGCTGCAGATGCATACATAAATGAGCCTAAACCGCAACTTGTGCATGTAGCACAAAAACTGCAAGGTGTGCAGCGACTTTGCATTGCCTGCCCCTTACAATGTGATCTTTCCATCTTCCATAATGCCCTTCTAAGTCAGACAATGGCTGGTGTGTAATGCCCTTCTAAGCCAGACAATGGCTGGTGAGCCAACATTTTACAATGGTTCGTGAATCAGCATTTACCAAGGAAGCGCCCATGTCCTTACAAGCACCCACTCTTAACTTTTATAGATTTTGGAGATTTGAAGAAATGCACATCAATAAACCGATCTCACCTAGCGTTCGGCGCATGCATGACGCCGCCATATTGTTAGTTTGCAGGAGGCAAGCGGCAGTGCACGAGCCAGCTCATTCCGTCTGATGCTCTGCATGCGCAGAGCTCCAGCGTGGTCATTGCACATGCAAAAAGGCTAAAGTTCCCTGGATGCATTACGGTGGCATAGCCAAAGTGACTGGTGAGATCGGTCTATTCCCTCCTGAAGAGTCCCCATCAGCAGAAATATTTTCTGAAATATTCTTGCATTTACTCAGAACTCTACTACAAATAAAAATGTAAAAGGAACGATTCGCTATGCCTAAAATTTCTTTCACTTTTGTTCTTTTTTTTTTATATACGGTTCCCAAAAAGCACTTTTTCAAGACAAAATGGACAAAGGCAAATAAATGTCCTTGACCCTTGGGCTCTCTTCTTTTTCTTTTTTCCTAGAATTTTTATTTAGGTTTTTTCTAGTTTTTAATAAGTTTTGTTTAACTTCCTGGGTTTGGACATAGGTGATCAAGAAAGGAGAATCAATTTGTGGTGCGAAAACCTCCTAGATAATACACTACTGGTTCACGAGGGATTTTTCTAAATACCAAAGTTTCTGCTGCGATTTTACAAAGCAAACGACCCTGAGAAGTAGAAGAAGTAGTATCATTTCAACTGAACAAGTGTCCAGCTTTTGTTTCACCCGATTGTTTACAAAATTTCACTGGACAGTTTTTCGGTACTTACTTGTTTTCAATGATATGAGTCAATGCCAAATTTCCTTGGTAGAATTTATGCACTGTGGTCCTATTCCTTACAAGTACCAGCCATCATTGCTACACCAACATGCATGACACATTTTTTGTATGAATTCTGGCAGTTACATAGCTTGCTGACAGCTTAGTTCACTTTTCTTCTCACGGGCTTCACATGCCCCGTGCATTGTTGCTACCTGTGACAAAAATGCATATTGACGGGCTTCAGATGGTGCAGTTTCTTACCTTCAGCCATACATGCTGTGCAGGTGACAAACCATACTCGTGCGGCATCTGTAATCGAAGCTTCAGCTCGTCGGGCCGCTGCAAGATGCATGTGGCATCGCACTGTTGTCTGAGCGAGGGAGGCGGCTCAGAAGTGTCCAAGGAGCCCTCAAGTGGCGGCGGTGGGGTGCTGACCGAAGACCTTTCGTCCCTGATCCCAATCCAGGAGCCCATCTTCATTTCAGCGGGCGAGTGTCCACCCGCAGAGAACAAGAGAGCCTCGCTGCTGCAAGAGCGTCCTTACAAGTGCAACATCTGTCCCCTGGGCTTCAAAAAGTCGAGCCACCTGAAGCAGCACATTCGGTCCCACACGGGCGAAAAGCCCTTCCGTTGCTCCGAGTGTGAGCGAAGCTTTGTTTCCAACGGGGTCCTCAAAGCTCACATCAAAACCCACTCAGGCGTTCGAGAGTACAAGTGCACGGTGTGTATGGTATCTCCTTCCTTTGTTGGCAAGCTGCATGCCTTTGTGCTATGCTGCTTATGAATAATTTCCAGTAGTTTGTCACCCATGTAATGATGAATGGAGATTTATGTGCATGGCATGCCTTGGGGAATTTGAACTGTGGCGATCTGTATTTGAAGTTGTTGTTCTACTGAGTACCAAACGAATGACCACTCCCGAGTTCTAGCTCTTTCCCCTCACTTGAAAAAAGCAGTATATATATGTAGACCATTCCACTTGTGGCTCCTTGGGCAGCACCATTTTGTTCTACTGCAGTGCTATGGACACACATTTGGCCATTTCACTGGATTCGGCGGCATGAAGGAAGGAGAGGGCACGCGCCTGTGCAAACTCGTTTTTCGTCAGTGAAACACTCGCCAGGTGGTAGTGCAGTTGTGCCCAGTTAGTCTCACTATCGGGTATGACATTGTGCACCAACTTCCATCTCTAAATGTACATATTGCTGCCTGAAATTACCGACATGATATGAGTTTAAACCTCGTTTTTGTGATAGCCGAATGTTTGGTACAACTCACTCTCCGGAGCACATGACACGCAGGGAAGGAAATTCAGGCTTAGGGGTCCGGTTGGAGGCTGTGTTTCTCTTTCTGCTTTTACACAGATGGAATGGTCTATAGTTATTTACAAAAGTGCTGGAATCATGCCTCGAGGCCAAAATAATTTGCGATTGTTTTAAAGATTTTAAGACAATGGCTTTTGTCTGGTCAGTCAGCTTTGGGAACCAACTTCTGGCGGTTGCTGTTTGTTTGACGGAAAGTGCTTGGCTGTTTAAGGATACATGAAACAGTGCACTCTGTAATGTTACAGGTTTGTGGGGCCACCTTTACCACCAATGGATCCCTGAAGCGTCACATGTGCACTCACACAAGCGCAAGGCCCTTTATGTGCCCATACTGCCAGAAGACCTTTAAGACTTCAGTTAGCTGCAAGAAGCACATGAAAATTCACCGTGGAGAACTGGTTAGTTAAATGCTCTTCCAAATACTGACCTTATGCCCAGACTTGCATGAAAATGCTCATTTTTCTTTAAACTTGCCTACAGAGTGTACCTCACTGCTCAAGGGAGCACTGGCCCCTTTTTTTGCCAGTCATAGATTGACCATGGGCAAGTGCATTTTACTGTGCCTTTTGCTCTTATTGCTATCGGAGCAATAATATCTTCTGAAGAAAGAAACCAAGCAAAGATTTTAGCAATTTGCATAGAAAATGTATACTCTCATTCTCTGGACGAAAAAACGTGCTCACATTTGCCTTTTCTGTTCGCTGAAATTTACAGAAACAACAGTGCACGTCAAACCTTAGAAGTTGTTCTACCGTGGTTGTGATTTCCTTTTACTCATCTTGAAAAACAGCGCCACTGGGACAAGGACAAAAAGACGAAGAGAACCCAAGACAAGCGCTGACTAACAACTGGTTTGTTACTGGAGCATAAGGAAGAAAGAAAGAAAAGAAAAACATGGAGTCAAATGTTTGCGCGCTTGCGGGGCGCCTCATGGAGTATGTCCCCTTCTTTTTTCATCTCATGTGATCTCGTCTTTTTTCCTTCCTCAGGTGCTGTTGTTATCCTAAATCCAGAAAGTTCATCTCATCGGGTGTCAGGTTCAACAAAGGTTGGCTCACACACGAGCTGTTGTTCTTCGTGATGTTGTAGGCTTCAATCATCTCTCGACATGTATGGTCGTGGTGTTGATATAATACACTGGTGTCACTGAAGCGTGGTTTGCACCTGCAATCTCGGCAATGTATTGCTAAATGTGAATAAGCGGTGCCTTTTTTTTTCAATGTACCTTGCATGTGTTATGTTCCAATCTTGCGTTTCCCTCCCTGCGTACACGTAGCGGAACCTAATCTGCTTAGTTTGTTTTGGGCTGGAAAAACAACATTCACCTCATATCTGGACACAACTTTTTTAAGTCTGTGTGAAATGCTGTGAAGATAAAGAATAACCAAAATTTTATTTTTTATTTTCTAACTGGATCTTCCAACATGAGATTGGAACTAATCTTATGTTGGTTTTTATTAAACTGTTTAATAAAAAAACTTTCAGCCTTTCCACTCTGGTGAAGAAGGAAGACCAGTGGAGCTGTACTATGGTGGTACGACCTCAAGGACGACTTTTTGGACGACCTCAAGGGCGATTTCTTGGGTGACTTCAAGAACGACTCCTAGAGGACGACGTCTAGGAAGGCCTCAAGGACGACCTCAAAGACATCTCAGACGACTTCATGAACGACCTCAGGGACGACGTCTGGGACGACCTCAAGGACGACGTTTAGGACGACCTCGAGGACAACGTCAAGAACGACCTCAGGGACGACTTCTATGAAGACCTCTAGGACGGCCTCAAGGATCACTTCTAGGACGACTTAGAGGACAACCTCAAGGACGACGTCTATGACGACCTCATGGACGACCTCGAGGACGACATGTAGGACGACGCCTAGAGAAATGCAGCCTTTCCACGCTTGATGAAAACCAGAGTGGAAAGGCTGGAAAGGTTGCCGCCTTCTATGAGCGAGGCCGGCAAGCCGGTTGTCTGGTTGTTGCCGTTGCTCATAGATGGCGGTGGCTGTCCAGAGTTTTGTGTTGACATTTCTTTGGTACTGGACACGATCCTGGGGAACCTAGCCCTTAACAGCTCCGCTGTAAAACTGTTAAGATTAGTTCCAATCTCATGATATAAGAATCAGTTAGAAAAGAAAAAAAGAAAGTTTCGGGTTTTCCTTATCTTCACCACATTTCACATGGACATAAAAAAGTTGCGTCCAAATATGAGGTGAATGTTGTTTTTTCAGCCCAAAACAAACTAAGCAGATTATGTCCCGCTGTACGCGTACACAGGGAGGGAAACGCAAGATCAGAACATAACACATGCAAGATAAATAATGGGAAAAAGTATGTGTCGTGCTTAAAAGGCTTGGTCTACCGCATTCCCTTCTCTTGTGGGTGCTCTTATATCGGACAAACTGGGCGGTGCTTAAACATCCGACTCAGAGAGCACCACAGCTCCTTGAAAGGCACCGCTTATTCACATTTAGCGATACATTGCCGAGATTGCGGGTGCAAACCACGCTTCAATGACACCTGTGTATTATATGAACACCACGACCATACATGTTGAGAGATGATTGAAGGTTACAACATCACGAAGAACAACAGCTCGTGTGTGAGCCAACGCTCGTTGAACCGGACCCCCGGTGAGATGAACTTTCTTGATTTAGGATAACAAGAGCACCTGAGGAAGGAATGAAGACAAGCTCGCATGAGATGAAAAAAGAAGGAGACGTATTCCACGAGGCACCCAGCAAGCGCGCAAACATTTGACTCCACGTTTTTCTTTTCTTTTCTTTCTTCCTTATGTTCTAGTAACAAACCAGTCGTTAGTCAGTGCTTGTCTTGTGTTCTCTTCGTCTTTTTGTCCTTGTCCCTGTGGCGCTGTTTTCCAACATGAACTCTTGCCAACTTGCCCAGTTATCTATCCTAAACAATTCTTTTTACTCCTTCACTCTGTACTTGAAAGTATGTTCCACACTGTAACAATTTATTGAGCTTTAAATGCTGCAAGGCATCTAAGTCCAAGCAAACTTTTACCACATAGTACAGTCATGTCTCGTTAATATATATGGACGCTTCCGGTCCCCAAAAAAATTGTTCGTAGTGTGAGTCATTCATAATAACGAATCGAGGTCAAAACACAGATCAACGAGCGTAGCAGCAACAACAAAGGCGGCATTCTTCTCTCTCCCGCCCGTGTCTTCGACAGTACTGCGCATATTTAGCGAGTCGCGTGTCTCCCTTCGACGCACTGATGAGCTCGCTTGGACCGTAGCCTTCGCCGTTTGCTAAGTTACGGGGAAACAGAGTAAAGGAGAAATTAGCTTTGTGGGTTCAAAGCTCCTCTCTCATTTTCCAAATAGTGACAAGGTCTACAGTGAGGTGACCTAGCTGCTTTAGGGCTCATTCTTCTTTGTTCCCAGTTGTAGGTCATGCACAATCTCGAGCAACAATAGACTGCAAGCAGTGAGGACCCATTTTACGTAAAAAATGAAACAAAAACATTCTTTGGTGCGCAGCTGTTATCACGAGACCCGCAACGAACGTCCTGGTGCACACTGTGACCTCTGGGGTTCATTGATATCACAAGGGAGTCTTTGGAACTTTTTCTTTTTTTAAATTGACGTACGGATGTCCATGATATTCTTTTTTTTTAAACTGGGGTATTGATATTCATAATAATGAGACAAAAATGCCTATATTTACCAAATTCATCCCTAAAATAGCTGTCCATAGTCCGAACTGCAGGTTTCCATATTAAAGGGGCGAAATTGCATGGCGAAAGATTGGTCGCCGAAAATTGCGTCCATAATGAGGAATGTCTATATTAACAGGGTTCATATTAACGAAACATGACTGTATCTCTTTTGAAAACAGATTCAGGTGACCATTGTGTGTTGTCCACTTGATCATTGTTCATACTAATTGCACTCCAGCATTGGTACAAGTATAAAAACTGCTGGACAGGCAACCCTTGTTGATTTTAGGAAGCTTTTTAGTTTTCTGCCGAATTTTTGGTTTGTAAGAATGCAGAGCTTAAAGTCAATCCACAGGGCTAGGACATCCCAAATCACTGATATAACCGAACCAGAGCAATGAACAGGTGGCACGATAGTTAGCTGCAGGCTAGTCTAGCTGATGGCCAAAGTAGGCAAACCTGGACAGCTCCTTGCACTGAGCAAATGGAGCAAGCGCTTCACCACCGTTGGGCAAGGCATTTAAACACTCGAGACCAGGTACAGTGAATACGGCAACTCCTTGATGATTCAACTGTTTCACGCAAGGTAATGTCACCAATCCAACCTCACTTTATTGCATAGGCCCTATGGTGTATCATTCTTCTTTCAGGCATGATTTAAAGCTCACAGAGTATCCCTGAGGAACAACAGCACTCATCTCGTTTTTCAATTGGAAATGAGACAGCTTCATTCTTGTTTCTGTCAGGCTTAAGTGTGCTTTGATGGGTGGACGCATTGACTTGCAGGGCTCTGCGCAGATGTTGCAGCGTAGCAGCAACCAGCCTCGAGCCCAGGGCTCTGAAGACACGGTTCCTGGCATGGTTCTAACGGACTCGCTGGTCGACGCCTTGGTGCCCGTGAACCCCGACGAAGTCATGGGCCAGAATCACAGTGCTCCTCCAGCAGAAGATGAAGCCGTGGATGACATCCATGAGGACCTCGTGACGCAGGAGGTGCTTGTACAGGTGAGCGGGGCCAGAAACAAGCTGCCGCTGCTCCAAATAGACAAATTTTTGCCGAGAAAACCTGCATAGTGGCAGCGTCCCCTTTGTCCTGGCAGTACTGTAACTCCCTTGCCAGGGGTTGAAAAAATTGTTCAATCGCATCCTTGGGCAAAAACTCAAATGATGTAGCTATTTATTCATTCTTGCTTGCTCGATGTGCTCAGTATTAAAAAGCTACTACTACAAGAATTTGCCGGCTCTTGTGGCTGTCGGAACGGTCAGTGAAATCAACCTATTCTTCAGGACGACTGAAAACATAAAGGGTTTTGATATTTTTTACTGCACTTTAAATCCTGCACATGCCTTGCATCATAATAGTAAATTTACTTTTTTACTTATACCGTATAATACCGCGCATCCGCTCATTCCACACTAATCGCCCATTCCCAAATTTTTAAGATCCCAGAAAATATGCAGAGTGCATTTACATATGTGTAAAATTGATGACCAGACAAGTGCCCATCCTCCATTTTTTCCCAATGTCTCCAAATTTTGAGTAGGCGCTTGCCCGGTATTTTACAGTTATTAATAGTAATCACATTATTAATAGTAACTCCAACGGATTGGACTCTTGCAGGAAATGTGGGAATCCCTTCACGTAAGGCTAACTCTGTTCATAAATTTCTCTAGCAGAGAGACCAACCAACCATTTGTGCATGAATAAGTGCAAATGTCTCGCAACTTAATTTTAACACGAGGTAAGATGTCTGTACAATGTTTGCAGAAAGCGACAGTGCTCTCATATTAAAAATTATTTTGGGAGTCACTCTGTGTATTATAATTGTGTGGGGATGTAGTGGGTTAGGACATTTCTGAAGATAAATAAAATTGCATAGAAAAACACAGGTATAAGTATGGGAGCAAGTGATGTAGCTAACACTGCATTTGCAAATGCTTGCAACTTTACTAATGTTGTGGTAGGATTGCTTTTAACATTGTACTCAAACATGGTGTACTGCTCTGGAAAGGTGCATATCCTACAGTGAAACCTCATTGATATCATCTCAGATATAATAGTTTTCGGTATAATATGTTTTATCTTCATTCCCGGCCAACGCCCCGTACAAGCAATGTATTTTGATATGGAAATTACAATCATATTTTCACTTGAAATTGGATAATACGACGACATAAGTAGGTTTTGATGAGTATTTAAAATAATGTTATCTTTATGTTCCAGTCTACCACATGTACACGCTTCGACCCCACTTTGGATGGTACGCAAAAAATCGGTTTCTCAACGTATCGCGCTGAAATTGACTACAGAGGTGCCCGAAGGTGGTGCATTCATTAATTGAGAGTATAAATACATAAGACCTCCGGAGTCAAAAGAAGAAAAAAGAAGTGATTTTTCCTGTAGAAAAATTATCGCTAACCCCTTTTTTTTTTTCAAAAGCATTAAAAAATTGTTTTAGGCTATTCTGGCATTTATTACGACTAAAAAAATTGGTGAAATGGAAAGAAAATACAATTCGCGTACCTATTCCTCACTTCATGTGGCCCAAAAAAGCGCCACAGTGACACAATATATATTATTTAAGTGTACCATGCAAAGTATAGGGGAAACAAAGTTTTTGATATTTCGTGATTTACTCAGGTGAGCCAATCTTCCCAGAATTTTAGTGAGAGCTTCCACCACTCTTGGACACCTCTGTAGTAAATCCTAGCGCGATACGTTAATACCCGATTTATGCGGTCCGTTTAAAGTGGGATCGAAGCGTTGGTGCACACGCTGTACTAGTACAAATCTCATTGCAATAAGCCACGAACGACCTGCTGCACGGCCACGGTAGTCGCTGCTAAAGTCACGTTACATTCAGCTGCCGTGTGATGCGCAGCGACTAAAATAGGCACGCGGCGTTTGGGCGTGACTACTGCAGCCAACCACCACAACTTCTACACTAAACTTTAAAAAAAAAAAAAAATCGTAGAGCCCATTTATTTTACATTAAGATGGAGGACCAGCGAAGCTGTTATCTTTACGACGACTATACGACATCTATACGATTTACGTGTGATTGCAATGAAGACACGTACACGACTTCGTTGTTTCATTGCCTTTATTTAATTCTTAGTGACTATAGTGATCATTGCCTTATGGTCACTTCTGGGCAAGTTCTAAACCCAATTTTTTGAGGCACACCTCGAGGATAGTTTTTTTCCGATTAAGCCCAAGTCTCTTTATCAGCATCGCGGAAGCGAAAGAAAAGAAGGTTAGACCTGCGCGTTCTGCCCTCAGCCTCGTCACGTTGGTGACCATAGATGATAACAAGGGATCAGGACCTCACTATCCAATAATGCCAAGGAAGGCTGACTCACACGGGTTGCCCCCTCTTTTTATTTATACTTGCCACTACCAATTGGAACGAAGGAGCGCCGTTTAAACGGGAGTTTTTTTGTTAACATCCATGGACACATTTTTTTTTACAGATCCTACCACATAGCAGCTTCGCTGTAAAACACTGCCAAAATTATTAACAGAAATGCAACCTCAAGCTAGTATTTAATTAAATATGTAGGCCATTTCTGGAGGCAGTGCAATACCGCTGGTATTGCGCTGTTTTTGGAATCGGAGCAAGTGTTTCACCATGTATGCATATTTTATGACCCTTTGGAGCTCGTTTTGGATAGTATGATATTTTGATAACACATTTTATTTTTCGGTTCCCGTGAAAAATGTGTCAATGAGATTCCGCTGTATATAGGGTGACCGTGCTTCTCAGAGTTGAAAACGGGACATCAAGGGGAAGGGTAGGGGGAGGAAAAATAAAGGGAGAAGGGGGGGAGGGGGCAAAGTGAGGCAGAAAGAAAATAAATCTCTGCTACTATTCAGTTTATCGTGAAAATGCACACTTTTCTGGGGCTTTTTGTCGAGTAGTTGAGTACACACACGCACCATTTTTACCCGTTCTACAAAACCTAAGCATGCTAAATATGGTAATATAGAAAAGTGCCCCATACCACATGTCTGTGCGTACAAAACCTATAGACAAGTGGAGTCACAGATAAAGCCAAAACTCATACTGTATTGGAGATAAAATTTTTAAACTCTGTTCCTTCTAATGCACTGTCACGAGTAATATATATATATATATTTTTTTTTCCATTCATCTGGTACTGATTTTGCAAGCAAGTTCCCACGAAAACGCGATATGCTGCTGTATTCAGGCAAAACGATGGGACGGTGGAAATTAACCTTTAAAACGGGACTGTCATGGCCAGAACAGGACGTCTGATCACCCTAACTGTACATGGTAACAGTCCAAATCCTCCAGAAAACAGTGTGAGGATATATTTTTATAGTTTTACCAATTCATATTTTTCATAAGGAAGCTAACAATCCATTGTGGTTTGATGTGAAGTGGCACTGTTTCCTTCATCCAATTCTCACTACTGCATGATTTGATGCCGTCATATGGATTCCTTGTGCTACTCAAGTTTTATAACTGGAAACCATAAATCAAGAACTTGCCTCCTAAAAAGACAGTGGTAAAGCATAGAACAAAAAAGACCCCATTTCTTTAGTCTCAATTCACATGGGTACTGAGTTAGTGTGGCATATGTGGCAATGGGGTCTATTACGTGCCTCTATAGGCTAAGTCGGAGCTCGTGCTTTTTGTTGCTCAGGAGAACCTGCAGCAGTTTCAGGGAAGCTTCTTCGAAAGTGGAAGTGACCAAGTGGACCTGAGCCAGGCAAACCAAGTGTTCTCCCAGAATGGCTTCTTCTCGCAGACGCTGCCACACTTGACATTGCAGGTGGGTGCGCACATTGTTTTTGCCCACTTCTCTGCCGGGTTACACAAGCGAAAAATATACCTTTTTCTAATTTGCTCAAGCACCAAGGAGAATGCTGGGAGCATAGGTGGATGCATTGCATGTGCTCACCTTATCACTATAAAAAATGCAAAATAAATAATCGGAAGAGGGCACTGACAAACAGACGAGCAAAGTGCCATTTGTTTTAGGTTTTTGCTTTGGAACAGTTACTGCTGCAGACAGCAGCGGTAATGTGCAGCGTTTGCATGTGCAGCACGTGTAACTGCTCTCGCGGCATGCTCCTTGGTGCTTGGGTAATTTATAGGCATATGCGAATTGTGGATTTTGAGTTTGAAGCGTATTCGAAGCAAATAGTGGTTTTGGTTAAATATTTTCGAATTGAATATCAAATATTTTCTCGAAGTCTTTCACTATCATGCACCATGCTTAAACGAAAATTCAACGGTACTCGCGAGGGTTGTTCCCAACCTTCCACTTGTCCACTGCTAAGCTCAGTTATTCTTAATACAACTATATGAACTGTTGCATGTAAACAACAGGTTTGTCACAGCTATCCTAATCAAGGGGATTTATAAATCTGCTTGCTATATGCAAATATTCTTCTATTTCAAACTTGACAAAAAAAAAAAATTAGAAAAAAATTGCGGCAGGTCAGTTTTGTTAAGTGCGCTTCTCACCGAGCACCTGTGCACTGTGGGGAAGCAATACCCACGAATCCCGCAAGTTCTGCCGATATTGGTTCCCCGCAGTACACAGGTGCTCAGTGAGAAGCACACTCAATGGGGCTAACTCGCCGTGATAAACACTTCGCAAAGTATGAACATCGCAGTTGACCTCAAAGCGAATATTGAATAGCATATTATTCGAAGCAGCTATTAGAAAATTCAAATATTCACACAACACTAGTGTTTGAGCAAAAGGCCTATTGGCATTAATAAGAGAGACAAGCTTGTTAGGGAAGGTTGTAAGGACTGCAGGTGGTTGCCAGATATAAGATTAGCGACAACATTTATATGGTACAATATAAAATAGGAGTATTTTCGTCCAGTCGTGGGGAAAATGGTAACCGACCTTCATTCTTCCCTTGTGCTCGTCTGTCTCAGGCCACACTACTTTCTCTTCACCATTCCTCGCTAACACATTCCTAAAGGGGCTGCACACGCTGATGCCCATTTTAATCTTGCTAGAAAGTTAGACACATTTTGCTGTGTAACAACGTGGCACCTGACCGACGAGGTAGAGAGGTTTAGAGCGATAAACTGGTATCCCATTCACAGGCAAAAGTGACCCCCCCCCCCCCCCAATCCCCCATCTGGCTGCCGCCATGTTGTACAATTTTGACCACTAGACACGTGACCGTACCAAATCATGAGGTTTTTACGCAAAACTGAGCTGAGATTCGTAATGTGATATTCCTGTAAAAAACATGATAAACTATTTTTCAATACTGTTAGCCCAAAAAATTGGTGTCTAGCTCCAATAAAAACCCGAAATACAGCACCGCGGCTGATGGCATCTAGCAGAGCCATTGCGAAGCTGCCCGAGTTTTTGTCATAAAAGCACATTTTGGACTTAAAACAAACGAAAGATAACTTATCTTTTTGGTACTGTTATTAGAGATCAATAAGTAATTAATTTGCGCTCGGTCGATACTTTGTAAAAATCTAGACGTAAGACTATAAGGTGACATGTCTAGTCGTCAAAAATGTGCAACATGGCGGCAGCCAGGACGGGATCACTTTCAGCTGCCAGTTAATCGCTCTAAGCCCCTCTACCTCTTTGCACCTGACCTTCTTATATCTCTCTTATTGACTGTTTGAGTCGAGATCAGTACAGCAGCTAGGTGTCTATGCTGATCAATACACGCACTCATTTCGGACAAACTTATCAGGCAAAAAAAATATGAAACGGTGACAATTAAAATTTTGGGCAAGAAAAACAGTGAATCAAAAAGCTAACACTAATTATGCTTTTTTATCTCAGACGGATGCACTGGATGTTGGTTCCTTGGCACGGGCCTTTGTCACTACAACGCTGAGCAGTGGGGAGAACATTGCCGCAGAACTACCCAACACTAGCTCCGAAGCTGAGGCTGCCGCCGAAGCCCCAACTCAGAGTGAAGATGGAGCTGTGGCCGGATCCCAAGAGTCAGCTTTACAGCAAGTGGCACAGGACGCCCTCCATGGCACAGACGATCCAGGGGACGAGAACAAGCCTTTCTTGTGAGCTGTTCCTTCGTATCTTTGCAGCTGTGTGCTGTGCGATCACACACCCACCGTTTTTTGTGTAAACCTCTGAATCGCCTAAAGTACCATAGTAGTATCCCGATTAAATGCTCATCACTCGAGCATTGTCCATCCCTTATCTTGGGTAAAATATTGATTTCCAGAAAGAAAACAAAGTATTGAACTTTGCACGCTTATCAAAAGGTTCCTGGCCAAACGACTACAAGCACCAAATGTGTGTGGGACGAAAAACTCCACTGTAATGCTATATGCTTTATTCAAGGATGCCTGGGTTTTCTCCGGTATCTTCAAGCAACTTTTTCCAACTTTTGTTTTATTTAGCTAAGGAATACCTTGCAGAAAAAATAAAATAAAATAAAAACGCTCGATAAATAGTTTTACAAAAAGTTTGCCCTTTTCCCAAATTGTCGTGGCAAAGGTTGTGATACTACGCAGGTAAATGTGGTACGCATTTGGTTGTATATAATGTTTCTGAAACAAAGCCCTGCCAAAGCTAAGGCTCCAGTAGGAGTGTTGCATCTCCCTGTTTTCTCTGAAGCACATGGTCGTTCTCCTTCTTTTACCTAGCCTACATACAATCACTCATGGCTCCTAGATACTAGCAAGAAGGCTGTAGTTCTTGATTTTCTGTGTCGTGCACTGGAGACGAGCGTGGGACACTCATTGGATACAAGTGCTGCGTCAGCTTTCGGCTGAGACTTGTGTTCAATCGATAGGGGCACAAGTTCCAGCCGAACGCTGACGCCATACTCCTGTCTAATTAGTTGTCTCACTATGCTCTTCCGTTACAGGACCTGCATTACAGGAAAGTACTAGAAGCCAGCCATAGAACATATTCTATGTTAAAACAAAAGTGGCTTTTTGTTTCGCTCGATGTCTTCCGAACAGTGAGAATCGGAGAGAGACACAGAGAGAAAGAGCTCCGAAGTATTCACCCCTTAAGTGGCATAGCCAGGATCTTATTTCGGAAGGGGTTCAATAACATACTCTCCCCCCCCCCCCCCCCCCCCCCCCCCCCCCCCCCCGGACACTCAGGCAAAGATTAGGGAGGCGCTGTTAAGATAAAACGGGTAAAGCTGCACTGTCACTTTTGAAAATGGAGCAAGCTTCGTTTACAGGAATACGGGCGTGGTGGCTCACTGTTCTACTGGGGCTCACCAACTTTAAAAGCTTTCTCACAGCACACAACTCCCTCCACTTTTTGAGGTAGCACTGCATAAGCAATGCGTGAAAGCCAGACAAAACACAAGGATAGCTATACTGTCACAAAAAAATTAAGCAGCAAAAAAAAAAAAAAAAAGTCTCGACGCTCAAAAATTGGAGCAACCGACCACGCACAAACACTAGGGCCCCATATTTAGGGCGAAGGTAATTCTGAACAATCACAAAACCAAAACCTATTATCTATTAAAGGTTTAGCAAATTCGTGCTACAGAACCAGATGCCGAAGGAAAGAGAGTCTTATCTTTGCTAGGCCGCTTTATCCTGCAGCTTGGTCCAAAGGCAGCAGCAGCATATCCTCGGGGTAAGAAGTCATTGGTCCGAACTCATCGTTCCGTCACTCGGAGAAATGACATGACATACCAGACATAAACTACACGCCGAACGTGGAAAGGAACTTGACTGCCCTTGCGCCTACGCGAAGTGGGAATATGAAGGCTTGTCTCCTCGGAGTTTCTGATGTTCCGTGCAACGAAGAGATTAGTCTAATAAGGAATTGCATCGGATGCCACTTTGACATACAAAGCAGAAAGCAAGACGGACTTTATCGCATCCGTTAGTGACGATTTTCGCAAAGTGAGGGAAACTTCACCAAAAATATGGAAATTTTAGGCGTCCAATGCAAGAGGGAGAAACGTGAAACGCTCGTCACGTCTGTGGTACACAGGCGGTCGCCCTTTGTCTGGAGGCCCTATTTCAGAACTTCCATCGTCTCCTTAATCCTAGCAACTCACAACGGCGGAAGCTGAGCTCTCGTTCTCTTCACTACGCTGGTTGAAAACATACCTAACTGAGAGCGTCCACTTCAAATGAGCGACTGCTCGGTATATACTTCGTTTCAGCTTAGGTTCAGGCGCAGCCGATGCTACAAGCGCGAGCATGTGGCCCAGAACAGCGCTTGCACTGCACGAGTGTGTGTGCTTGGCAGGGACGCTGAAAGCCCAGAGCTCGCGCTTGTAGCATCGACTGCGTTTGAACCTAAGCTGAAACGAAGTATAGCATTTTGGAATGTTCACCACAACATTAAAGTTAAGCGGAGGACGTCCGGCATATGTTTTCCCGTTAACGCAGGCGGCTCCGTTTTAATGTGTAGGCTCTTGGCATAAATGAGATGATCAAGATAACCTGTAAATTGCTTTCTAATATAACTAGTCACAGTTACCTTTTTATTTGCGGTAATTTCTAGTCGAAAGCACGTAATTCTGATCACAAAAGGTGTGTGTGACAGCAGTGCCACCTGTTGCTTAGAGTGCAATTGTTTTTTTACAATTCATCTATTATTCCTTACATCACCGACATTGTTCTATATTATGACGGTGTGTTTGTTTTATTATATTCACCTTTGTTTGATTGAAATGTATTTCAGTAAAAATAGTGTGTTATACTTTGCCTTGAAATTGCCATCATTCACCCCACAAATGTTTCGAAATATCCGTTTCTATATATCTGAGATCAAGTTCCACATCCCATCGAATAAACATAAATAAAGCAATATTGCATATTTTATTTATTTGAGCATTTTATTCCCCGCAAACAATTTTTCCGAAAGCATATAAGTTGAAGATGGTCCGCACTCCCTCGTCGTGCAAAACCGATTGCGTGACCAGGGGAGCGAGCGGGCACCAAGGGGGGGGGGTAGCTTTGGCATTTCAAGGGGGGGGGGGGGGGGGGGGGTTTCGACCCTCCGAACCCCCCTCTGCCTACGCTACTGCACCCCTTATTTTCTTAAGCTCTGTTCCTTGGGGAACTTGTTTTAGGGTTATGTTCCACAAACTTCTGGAACCAGAACATTGCCTCCCCCGTTTCTTCTCTCAGATTATCTGCCAATCTTGAGTGGGTGTTGCATCGGGATACTGCGGTGTATAAAGTACATGTAAATCTTATTCTAGCGAGTGGCTGCCCCAAATATTGTCACAATTACCTCGTGACTTTGGATGGGTCATGCCTCTAGAGATCTCTCTGGCATGTTTCACTCCTGTCACTTTTCTTTGGTGAAAAGGCTCATGACGAATTCTTGAAGGTAGCTTGTAAGAAGCTGCAAATCCCAAATGGAGCTAGGATGTCTGGCTTGCAAGGTCGCAAGGACGAGAGCAGAAGGCGAGATATTGGAACACGCGTTTCAGTCATCGATCTTGGATAAGTGCCACAAATAGACCAGGAGTGACGTCTTGTTCATCATTTGCAGGTGCAACCTGTGTGACAAGCGGTTTAAGCGTTCGACGTACCTCAAGTCGCACATGCGGTGCCACTCTGTGCGGCCCGGCGGGGCTCAGCGGAGCCAGCGGACGCAGCGGGAGCATGCGTGCCAGGAGTGTGGGTCCTCCTTCACCACAGCCTTCTCCCTCAAGCGGCACAGCCTGAGCCACTCGGCGGACAAGGCCACCAGCCGGAGCTTTATGTGCGACGTCTGCTTTGGCGTGCTTCCCACGGCCCTGCAGTTGCGCCGGCACATTGCACAGCAACGTGAGCAAGGGCTGTTTTTCCAGAGGATAGTGCTTCTACTCTCGATTGTTGTTGCCCTACAGGGCACGTAGTATGTTTAGGCTTGGAACGTCCTGTGCAGACGTTAAGTGCAAAGAAGGCTAGTTCTTGACCTTTCCTTTTTTATTTAAATAAACGCTTATTTTTGGCAATGAGAGCCTTCAACTGACATGGTTGCTGCAGTTACTAACAAGTTCCTTCAATTAGATTTCTGCTTTGTAACGTAGCGCGGGTTAGAGGTCTGCATGGGTCGATATTTAAGAGACCAGCCCAGCTCCGCTGCTATTACTTTGGCCCGTGCCCACCCGCAGCCCGTTATCCATTTCTGACAGCCGACCTGGTTCGGGCCCTTAAAGGGGCCCTGCAGCAACTTTTTGACTGGTTTTTAATTTGCACCGAACCTGAGCGTACTGAACGTAGTAACTTAAAGAAACTTTTCTTTTCTCAAATTTCGCTTTATTTTAAAAGTTATAGGCAAATTAGATTTACAAAAACAAGCAAAAAACAACCTCCTTCATGACATCGTAGGTCCTGGCTTGAGTGGCCGTGAGCTAGAGGAAGAGGAGTGAGCTCATTGAGCGTTCACGGCTGCCGCACTCCGTGTCGACGGCTCAAGAGGGAGCCACTAAAGCACGTGTTGGATAGGCTGTATGAAGCGGGCAGCCAAGGCGGCTCGCATTGCTTTTGCTGCGCCATTAAAGACTAAATCGGCATAACACTTCATTGGCCACAAACGACAGCAAACACGGGGTAAAGATCAGTTCAGAACGGGAGCCACTTCGCGCTGCCATACCGCCAAATGGCCAAATCGCCAGCCAAGCCCGTGCCGAAAGCCTTCGGAACGCTCGGAACCGGTTGGATCCTCAAGCCGGTATATGATTGCAGCGCTGCCGCGTACATCCGGGACCTTTCTACGCTCGCCGTTCGTTGGCGCCTCATCCCACTAGCCCTTTCTAGTATGCGCCGTTTTTTCCGCCGCTTGGTGCCGGGTTTGTCGACGGGTCTTTTCTTGTTTCCGTACATAATAAACTGTATTTGTTTCTTTTCTGATATAAAATACTGAACAAAAACTACTTTCATGAATAATTTATACGGTTCGCACCACTTATATTTTGAATCTCTACTAAAAAAAAAAGCTTTTAGCAGCTCTGACCAGTAGTAAGCCCAGGACCAAAGACGTCACATATTGCGCGCTTTCGGCAACGCGGGTCGCCCTCGTCGGTGGAGGAGGTTTCCGCGTCGTCCGGTTAAAATATGACGCACTGATATTTAGTTACTCTCTCCGTGCCCGCTGGCTTGCCCGAACCCAAAGAGACGTGGAAACCGCAAAAAAGGTAGACGCTTAAATATGATTGCAGGTCCCCTTTAATGATTCCAACTGGGATGTGCAAACCGGGCTCATGGCTTGTGGGCAGACCTCTACCCATGCAAACCTTTATATGCTATTTGCCCTTAAGCTGAGACTGCAGCCAAAGCTACAAGAGCAAGCTAGCCCGCACTCCTGGCTTTGAGATGTGCATTTCTAGCACGAGTGTTAGTTCAGCGGAAACATGCTTTAAAGCAGCCACTTCGAGTTCTCGTGCTTGTGGCATTGACTGCAGTCTCAGCTTAAGGGTGAACAGAGTATAGCCCGGACTGTGGGGGGGGGGGGGGGGGGGGGAACGCCTATAGTTGATTTCCTAATATTACTTTTTCCTTTTTTTCACCAGCTCTTGTTATGAGATTTGAAAACACTCAAAGTAATCACTGATTCTGTCTGAACAAAATGATTGCCAGTTTATACTCTCCAGTGAAAAAAAAATAAAAAATACAAACACCATAAGTTGTCTTAGCTAAAAATTCCCATTAGATCCAATTGGAATCCCAACTGGATTTAATTGGAACCAATTTGTTTTAGTGGGTTCCAATTGGAAGCACACTGGCCAATGGGTCTCACCAATTTGATTAATTTTTCCAGTTAGAACCTGAATGGGTTCCAAATGGTTTTTATTGGTTCCCATTGGCACTTACCAATTGGTTGTTTGAAAACCTAACTGGTACCTATGGGAAATTCCAATTGGAATCTTATGGGAATTTTCAACACATCATGAAACGAATGTTCTACTTGTGTCATTTCTTTCATGATGCAAAATGTATTTGACAAATATGGTTTGTACAATAATCAAACTTGAATAGTATTAGTAGACTAATTAACTGTTTGCAAGCAAGCGTGTTTGCCTGTGGGCATTACACCTACATAGGACCCAGCTTTGCAAGACATGAAGCATCTGCATGCATGCATGTATGCCTGCTCTGCTCTTTTCCCGCCAGATCCATCGGAAAAGGAAGTAGTTGCGGAGGAGGATGAGGAGGTCGACAATCCGGACGATAACACTTCAGCAGCATCCAAGCTCAGCAAGCAGCTCGTAGCAGAGAAAGCAAGTACGCCGGCTAGACCACAAAGACAGTTTGTCAAGTTCACAGAAGAACAGTCCCGTGAGCTGGCCCAGAAGGATCCCAGGGAGATAACACTCTCTGCGTCCGAGAAGGCCCTCATCGCAACAGCCCTCGAGAAAGACCGAGTAAGTCAACCGTCGAAAGGTCAGAAACGGTAAACTCTAGAGGTTGTTGCGCTTATTCCCCCCAACTTTGTCCTTTCTCTTAAAGGACACATGCAAAGGAAAAAGACATTTTTTTTTAGACAGCTTAGATGGAAAAAGGATGTCATAAAACGATTTTACAACGAAGAAAAAAAATTTTTAGAGCTATATTTATGGCGCTATACGAATTTGTAGTTGGCGCTTGCGGGAGCCGCCGCTAGTCACGTGGTAGGCCCGCGCGCCGCCGCGCTGCGTCGTCGCCGCACGTTGAGCGCTGTGCGAACGCCGCTTCAACACGTTTTTCCACGCCGCCGTCGCCGCCGCCGCACAAGTTCGTCTGTTTCGGGGTGCCGCCGCCGTCGTCTGACCGGCGCACAGGTCTACCGCGTCTGCTTGCGCTTTTTCAGGAGTTTCCTTTGGGCTCTAAAAGTAACTTATTCATCTTAGTTTTTTGTTATACTTCAAACAAAGATGAATAAGTTACTTTTTGAGGCCATAGGAAGCTTCCGAAAGAGTGCAAGCCCCACGTGACAAATATGGGCCCGTCAAGGGCCACTTTTCCGCGGCGCTTGCCGGCGCCAACTACAAATTCGCATAGCGCCGTAAATATAGTTCTAAAAATTTTTTTTCTTTGTTGTAAAATTGTTTTATGATATCCTTTTTCCATCTAAGCTGTTTAAAAAATGTTTTTTTTTTCCTTTGCATGTGTCCTTTAAAGGCCGACCTACAGAATCGTCTTCTACCGGGCAGAAAACTAGTTCCCAGTTTCCTTTTCTCCACTCCCTTTCACACTCTCCACTCCCCCTTTCCCCACAGGAGCGAGGCTCTTGAGCTACTCCCCGCAGAAAGGAGGAGGGTCTCCCTCTTTCTCGAATGGAAAGGAGGAATCGAGGGAGAATTTCCTCCTTTCTGGCTGCTCGTTGGCCTTTAAGACAGCGCTTTATGTAGGCAAGGCGCTGAATGTCTCAATCTGTTGGTCAGCAGGAGGCGCAGGATTGGGAGCCACTCCAGGTGGCAGACTACCCGAACCGGTGTGACCTGTGCCCCAAGAGCTTCCGGAAGCCGAGCGACCTGGCGCGACATGTGCGCATCCACACGGGCGAGCGCCCCTTTGCCTGCGAAGTGTGCCACAAGAGCTTCACGGTCAAGTCCACCCTGGATACGCACAGGCGCACGCACCGTGGCGAGAGGAACTACCCGTGCCACATTTGTTCTTCCTTCTTCTCCACCATGGGCAGCCTCAAAGTACACATGCGCCTGCACACGGGTCAGTCCACTCAGCCTCTCTGTCGTCTTCCACTCTTATTCCGCTTGTATCGGACTAATTTGAGGGGCCAGGTGTGTGTGCCAGTATCGACGGAACATTTGTCACAACCCAAATGTTGTGTTTTATTTTTATAAATGGTGTCGATTTTTAGGGCATACATGTTTACCAGGAACAAGCAGTTACCAAGAGACATTGTGTTGAAAAAGTACTTTACTTTACTCTGATAAAAGTATATTGCACGTAACATTCGCTCTTTCTCGCGTGAGTTGAAGCACGGTGATGCCAGTGTGCATATAGCCCCTCAACGCTTCCGGTTCAGAACTAGACGGCAGGTTTTACAGCACTTGCGAGTACATATCTATGTGCTATCTTTGGGAAATCGTCACTTATGGAATTGCAAGACGTAATTCACTGTTATGGTGAAAGATATGATGCATAAAAAACGTTGAAATATATGTGGACTGGAAGTAGGCTACCCAATGGATGGTACCACTGAGTTTGTTGCCAAACAAAAAAGGGCAAATAGTGTCCTACTTGAAATATATTGTCTGGTGTACTTTTTGCTCTACTTGAAGTATAAAACCTATTGGTTACTTTTTACTTTGCAAAGATCATTTACAACACAATCTTTACCTACCGTTGGTTCCGATTCCTCAAACTCTCTGCCAACACCCCTGCTGAATCTGAAAACCAATTTTTGATCTACCCGATTGGTGCATGTGACCACTCAATTTGCTGGCAGTATAAAACTCGTTTTGTAATGTGAGTGACTGGAAACAGTAGTGGTATTCAATGGATGAACCAAACTAAAGTCATGTATACTAGTGCACAAAGATTTTGGCACATAAATTACAGTGAGGTGCATGTATCATATACTATAATAAAGACAGGTTACCAGTAATGGTTGGACCCAAAAGTGAAACAGCCTGTGCTGGGACGCCAAGCATGACAGTCACGTGTTCGGAGCCCTAGCTCAGATTACATATTGGAGACCCAGCGTTATTAACGTCCTCTGACTCATTGTTCTTCCGTAAATCAGGGTCTGGCTCTCTGCATGCGGCCAAAGGAAGTAGATGCCATACAGGATTTGTTTTCATAAAAGAAAGTCGGTCAACCTTTATATTCCACGTATACAGTACCGTTCATCTCATCATCCGGGACCTTGTTCTTTTACGAGTTATTTACAGCGAGTCTAAATGTTTTAAAAGGCATGTGTTTTCTCACTTAAGCTGATGGTGTTTCTCCTTTGCAACAGGCTCACGACCCTTCAAGTGCCCACACTGTGATCAGCGGTTCCGAACATCCGGCCATCGCAAGAGTCATATTTTGACCCACTTCAAGAGCGGAGGTATGCGCCGGCGAAGCCGCCCTGCCCCAGCGGAAGAAGCTGCTCAGCCACTGACCCTTGTCAACGAAGGCGATGTAGCTGTTGACGGGCTGAACCAAGGTGTGATGCAAGAGATCCAGCTCCAGTTGGCTCCGGGTATCCAGATCACTGGCCTGAACCCTTCGACCCAGACAGTCCAGATCGACGCTGCCCTCCTGCAGCACCTGCAGCAGCTACAGCAGCAGGGGAACGTCAACATTTCCATCACTCCATCAGCGGACCTCGGGGGTACGGAACAGCACCTGGACACAACGTCGTTTTTGATCCAGCAAGATGGCTCCGGAAACTCGGTTGTCTTGGACCAGACGCTCGCACTGCCAGTGGTCACGTCGGAGGGCAGTGACGGAGGAGTGACATTCACAGTCATCGAAGAGGAAGAGGAAGCTCAAGATGCAGCAGTGGTGGAAGCAGACGTCGTCTCTGGAGACATAATTGCCGAAGGTGTAATTGAGGGAGTGACGGGCGACGTGGCAGAAGAACAGCCTGCCAGAGAAGAGGTGCCGGCCGGCATTGCGTTGGAGGAATTCACCACGGTCGCGGAGGGCACCGTAGGCATTGGCGAGGAGAACATTGTGGAGACTGAGCTCATGACACTCAGCGAAGTTACCGAGGAAACTAGGCAAGTCAAGAGGAGGAGAGTCAATGAAGTCGGTGGTGCAACAAGACTTCACACCTGCGAAACATGTGGGAAGGCTTACAAAAGAGCGAGCCACCTGAAAGAGCACCTCGAGTCACACAAGAATAAGGAGGGTAGAGTGAAAAAGGCCCCGTACAGTTGCTTGACCTGCCCCAAGGCATTTGCCAAACCTAGCCAACTGAAGAGGCACATGCGTATTCATACTGGGGAACGGCCTTTCCAGTGCAAACTTTGTGACAAGTCGTTCAATCAAAACAATGCTCTTCTGGTTCATCTCATCAAGCACACGGGAGAGAAACCATTCAGATGTGACATCTGTGGCAGCCAGTTCACCCAGAAGTGTAACCTTATGGTGCATGTCAAGAGGGTGCACATAAAGAAGGTGCAGAGCAAGCAAGATGTGTCCCCAGAAGAGGCTCACAGCCAGCAAGACGTAACCCCAGAAGAGGTTGAAACTTTATTGCCCGTTTAGCTTGATCTTCATGTTGGCACAAATGTAACAAGCTGTGTAATATATTGAAGAAAGAGTAAGTAAACAGGGGAGCTGGTTGATGTTACACATATTTGAAAAAAACGGAGATGACGGACAAAGGAGACAAACACAAAATGTCTCAAAACGATGCGTTTGAGACGTTTTGTGTTTGTCCCCTTCGTCAGTCTCCGGTTGTGTTTTTTTTTTTTTTTTTAATAATATGTGTGTGTAATATAGACTGGAGGGATTCACCCTGAGCTTGCTTTGGCTGGTATGGGATTTTCCATACGCATATGGTTCCTCCTGCTCAGTTGTGGCGCTATGCAACTTCCGACCTTAAAGAACTGCCTCCGAGTGAAAAAAGCGCTGTCATTCATGAAAACTGTGTTTTGTCCCAGTCGTGTTATAATATCTGAAGAGGGAATTGAACATTTGTGTTCTAAACCTCATATATAATTTGAGATGTCTAAAAGCTGTAATGACAGCTGTACATATGTATCTATATTTGTTTTTTTGTTTTGTTTTAGAGGAGATTTGGGCTGGGGGGGGGGGGGGGGGGGGGGTTGCAGTGTGGTTTGATATGAAATTGAGCACTCATGTTGGGGTGTGCATTTTGATTTGCCTTAAATAAATATATATATATATTAGCCCCATGTCCATCATAAAAGCTGGCCCATACTTTGCTGCTTTTTTTTTCTTTCTTTCTTCTCTTCTTCTCTCTTTCTCTGTGGAAGTGAGGCGGAGCAATAATGCAAGGTATGCGCATGACGTCATCGTTAGTGGATCCCCCGATAAACGCGTCTACAGTGCACGCGTTCGCTTTTGGCTAGGTGGCGCAAGCCGCCGCCCAATTAACGGGACTCTGCTCCATTTATTCCATCGAAAAGGCTTAAAATCTAAAGCGTATGGAAACGAGGGTGTAACGGTGTAACCCGCGGAAACAACCCTACTGAAACCTCCTTTTCTGAAACACTGATCAGTTGGTCTGAAAACTCATTCGACCATCCATCCACAGAGCCTGTCCATCCACCGTCCCTCCATGGACAGTAGACAGTTTTGAACTGCATGTGGGTTTGTGTAGTTTGTGCGTGAGACTTGTGCGAACGCCGATAGATTACATTTGTTGTCCTCCCGAATTTCGGCCTTGATCAAGAGTGGAATCAGCAGTGCATCGATCAAATTCTACTAGAGATCAAGTGCTCTATCCTGGCTCTATCCAGTCAAGACACCGAAGTTTCGGAGGCGACGAATGACACACTTTACCAGCAGATTTCAGCTACCGGTCAGTCTTGTAACGCGAGCAGCGGTAGTACATCGCAGGGTCCACGCTTTGGCAGGCATGAGCGAAGCACTAAAAGAAGTTCCGGATGCGGCCGATGCGGCTCGAGAGACTGAATCTGGTTGCGGAGTGAAAAGGAAAGCTGAAGACGTTTCCTCGGAACTTGACATCAAAAAAGTAGGTTCGCGCTAATCGATGCGGAGAACACCAGTGAAGGATCAATGATAGTCTATCGTAGCTACATAAGATCTGTCGTCAAGTTAGTGCTCACCAGTTCGCCTTTTCATTGCCTAATGTCACGACAATTGTTACTCATTTTGGATAGCGAGGAGCACGGGCTGAAAATCGAACACGTGCAGCGCGAACACTGTCGTGCTTCCGTCATACTTGGCGCAGCGGTGTGACATATCGCCTGGCCTAAATTGTCGTAAATATCATTAAATTATAAAATGTTTTCCTAGCACCCTTTTAACTGCGACAAAGGAGTGAAGTATTCTGAGAAGTTGAATTCCTTATACTGATATTAGTGGTCCATGTAACTGCAAATCTCCCGTGGAGAGCAAGTCGTCTGCTTCTTGCGCAGGAGTTGCGGTGACGTCAGAAGGACGCCGAGCTCTGATTGGCTTTGATTGGACAGATAGTGGGTAGACCTCAATGCTAGATGGCTTAAAGTCTACCCACTATTTTTTATTTTTTTTTTTCAATCAGCCAATATAAGCTTGGTGTTCTGACATCATTGTAACCCCTGTACAAGAAGCAGACAAACTTGCGCTTGGCATACAACAACGCAAATCTCTGACGTCTTGCCACTGTGGTGGCGTTGCTGTCTGCACTGCGCATGTGCTGATCCTTTATCTCGTGCAAATCTGTTTTCTGCGTACATGCAGTTCCCACACCTGATAGAAGCAAACACGGGCATTTTTGTAAACAGCGTGTTTGTGCGTAACTTGTAGGCCAACGTGCTGTTTACAAACAAGCCCACAGGAGGTGTGGGCACTGCGAGTGTGCAGGAATTGGATTCGCATCAAGTGGAGCATCTGCGCATGCGCCCTGCCAATAGCAGTGCCAATGCAACAGCGTGACGTCAGAGCTGCATGTTTGTGTATAACTGCCTGTGATTGTAATACTTCCGTTGTGCATCTGTAGGGTGTGTGAAGTCATCAGGCTCGATCTAAAATGGACCGTATAAATTGACACCTGCACGAAATTTCACAGGTCCGTTTTTTCTTGTAAAATTGTGAAGCGTAGCTCCCTTTCTGTAAAAAAAATAGGGCCAAAAAACTTGCCAGGGTCAACGGCGGGCAGCGACGCATACGACTGAGTCGAGCGGAAGGGCGCCTTTGGCGCACGTATTGGTAGGTGGCACTACCTCGTTATCAAGACTGCTTGCGATGACCGTGATTTACTAAAATAAAGATGGTCTTTTTGTAGTGTATTTTTGGTTTAAAAGTAAATGCGGGCAATAAAAACAAAACAAAGTAAAAAAAATGTGTTTGCATAACGACGGCGTTCTTGCTGCCAACGGATTTTGTCTGCGTATCGTCTGTTTTCTTTCACTGGTCGGCTACACGCTGCTCCCAATGCCATCTATCAATATGTGCGCCAAAAGCGCTCCGCCGCTCGACTCTGTCGTGGGAATGACGAAACTAAAAGTGTGAGCAAATTTAAGGTGAAGTGCAGTGGCGTAGCCAAGAAATTTTTTCATGGAGAGGGGGGCTGGGATGGCTGGGACCTCCATGACCTGGAGAGCTGGGCACTATGCATATGCATAGTGCCAAGCCCCCCCCCCCCCCCCCCCCCCCCCCCCCCCGCCCCCCAACAGCGTTTCAGGAGTGGTGGGGGAAAGGGGTCTGAGTCCTCATACCCTTGCCCCTGGCTGTGCCCCTGGTGAAGTGCTACTTGAAAACAACAAGAGATCTAGCACCATAATCACTGACAGAATGAAAACGGCAGGGCATGTTTTTTGAACACCCGGTCTCCAGCATGTACTGCATGCCTTCCGCCATCCTTTAGGAGTGCGCACGCATGCTTGAGGCACATGAGATGCGGAAGCATCGTTGAAGGTAGGAAGCTCGCTAGAGGCGGGACAGCTCAAGCTTCTCCCTGCAGTTTTCATAATAATGGTGACCATAGACGTTTGCGAACCCTAACTTTTATTTTCTTTATGTATATTTCTAGTAGTTGCTTAGAACGGTATACATTGTTCCACATAGAAGGCTGTTTTTGTTTGCCTTGTGTCTCCCTCCGTGTGAAGTTACTTTTTGCAAAAAGTAGAATGTTCTATACCAATCTGCCCAATTATTTGCCTTTACAGTTCAATATGATCTTCAGGGGTCACTCCTAAAGAGAGTTCATTCCTCGGAATACTCACTTCCTTGCCTCATCAACCAACAGATGCCAGCTTTTAAATACATCATTCTTTCGTAGATGGTTTTTTGTTTTTTTTTAATTGGGAAAGCATTACCTGTAACGGAGCGAACCGGCATTATCAGCTTTTGAAGCCGTGCCAAATGGCACCTAAATTCTCCTGTTCCGCGTAGCGAAGCCTGTAGTCTCTAGCAGCCACCCCATTGGCTGGCGCACGGTGTAGTTCCAAGGAACGCCACCCTACAGAGAAGCCCTCTCCATGGCACAGCGACCCGGCCGCCGTTAAGAGGGAGAGGACGGCCGCAGAGCCAGCAGAGCCCGCCCGGGCAGACTTCGGAGAGGCCGCACGGTCGAGCTTAGCGCGGTGCGCAACTTGTAGGAATACACTATGTATACGACTGCTTTCGCATTCCGGCACTTTAGCAGTCTTAAGTGTGTTTGTATTTTTTTTCCGGCTGTCTTACGAGTTCTCTAGACCACAAGTATGTCATTCTTTACTGACATGCTTAGTACGAACCTGACTGTGGGTGACCACAAATTACCAGATTTTTGGTGTACACACACTGTAAATTGCCGAGCGTCCGCCCATTCCACGATAAGCGCACGCCCCTCAATTTTGTAATGTTCGGAAAATACATAAAGCACATATCTTTACATATTGTTTGTTGACCCAAGAAGTGCCCATCCCCCAGTTTTACATGATTTTCTCAAAATTTTGAGTGGGTGCCTGCTGAGCATTTTACTCAAGAGTTTTCTTGTGTGTGTGTTTTATATTTTACAAACTGAGGAGGTAAAAATCTGCTTTTGTTTGGCACACCGAAGTTTGGGGAGTGATCTGGCTTCTTTCCCATCAATTTTAGGATATGAGGGTTTTGAGGTTGTGTTTGTAGCTCAGAGCAGACAAAAAAAGCTGTACTTAATGGTCCTTTTTCAAGTGACGAGCGCCGTCTGTGGGGGTTCTCTGCGAACTACAAATGAAGGGCGGCCAAACATGCCTCCGCCTGTCGGAACAGATTGACATTGTGCCGTTATATCGGTTTTCATTGCTTCTTATGCCCCATATTACCGATGCTTGAGAAAGAATCGTCTAAATAAATAAAATGCACTCGAAGCTGGGTCCTGACCATTTTGGTCGTGCCCTCCAAAAATAACTATAGCGGGAAGCAGGGCCAGAAGAAAGGCTATACGCATGCGCAGAGGCTTACTGGAGGAAGGTCCAGCTTGCAAAGGTGATTTGTGCAACCAAAAATTGCCATTTCACACACAAGATGATTTCTGTTGGTGTTTATGACGAATTATGCAGCTTCCCAATGACCTATTAAAGTTTACAGTATAGAATCCGGCAGACGATAATTTCAGTCTGTGATTGTATGCACAAAACAAAATTTGAGTATTTTTATTTGAGCAAATAGAGTGTTGCTATTTCTAAAGGTTGGGTACATTTTCTATGTGGTCTTCTGTACCATGTAATTTCACTTAACTCTTTTCAAATTTACTTTCAGGTACAACAGTTACGTTTTGTTAAAGTGATAATATTGTTTTCATTTTCTTTCTTGTCTAAAATTGGGGCTCTTTTTTTTGTTTTTTTTTGTTTGCTACAGAATTTTTAAAATGGAATATGGTTATTGGTGTTCATTCACAATTATTTCAGATCAGGCAGGGGCAAAAGGAGCTGCGGCCTGGTTTCGGAAGTGACAGGTTTGGTGAAACTGACTACTATTTCCAGTATGGTGGGTACAGTTCAGAATTCTCCTTTACGCTCCCTTGTGAAGTTTGGTATTTATGCTAGCATTTTGCCATTTGTTTTAGGCCTTCGGAAGGTGTACCCTTACTACTTCACCTACACCACCTTTTGTAAGGGTCGCTGGATTGGGCACCTTCTGGTCGATGTGTTCACTCGGGAGTTCAGGGCCCATTCGAAGGAAATTTATGTAAGTGATACTAATTGTTACAAAACGTCACTTGTGTAGGTGCATTTTAATCGAGATAATTTCTTTTCTTTACAGGTGAATGCAATAAAGGCAGGCCTGGTGACAGTCAATAACAACCCTGTCAATGTTGACTACCGTCTCAAGGATAATGACCTCTTGGCAAATACTTTGCACAGGTAAGTGGATGGTATTTGATGAGTGTGCTGTGCACAACTGGCATTCCAATTTAGGAGTCAACTAATTTTGCCTGGGGCCAAGAAATGTGGGTTCCTCCTTTGACATATATTTTTCATACCTCTTTGCTTATGTGGTTGATCTATAGTCACGATTCGGAGCATTCTACAGTTTGCCACATCTGCTACATAGATGTCATAATCTACATTAATAAGATGCTTATTTTATTTATTAGGGGATGAAACTGAATATTTACTTACAGGGATGCTCAACCGAAATTTAAATTTTGCAAAATAAGGCCGCAGGAGCGGTGAATGGGACGCTACAAGCTTTGAAACATCATTCATACATCAATATCTCAAACGAATGGCCATATTTTTGTAAAAGAAAGGCGCGATCAAGCAAGGCAATGTAACGTCGCGATTCTCTTCGAACAGTTGAAAAGGAGGGGAAGCGGCCTCGCTTCTCTCCTCCTTGCTTCGGTTCACCTGCTCGAGGGGATGAAGCGGAGAGGAGAGGGATTGAGAATCGAGACGTCGCGTGTCTCATCGGCCTCGTCGGCCTTGTCCAATCGCGCATTTCTTTTCCAAAAAAATATGGCCGCCTGTTAGAGGTATCGCTGTATGAGTGATGTTTGGGGTTTTGCACGGTAATCCCCCCCCCCTTGTTTTTCTGAAGGCACCCCCGTAATTCGCAACGACTTCTCTATTCTCAATGCCCCCCCTAACAATTTCAATTCCTGGGGAAACCCGTGGTTTTGCAGCATCCTGCCTATCGCTCCAGCCATATTTTGTGAGCTCCAAATTTCGGTTCAGCATTCCTCTAAGGCAGTGGTCTCAAACTCATTTGGGTGTGGGGGCCAGAGAGGCCACAGTAGAAAGGCCGAAGGCCAACGTTAGACGGGGGGGGGGTGGGGGGGGGTGGAGGAGGGGGGAGGGGGGAGAGGGGGAGGGAGAGGGAGGGGGAAAGGGAGGTGGAGGGGAGAGGGAGGGAGGGGGAAAGGGAGGGGAGAGAGGGAGAAGAGGGAAGGAGGGGAGGGGATTGGTGAGGTTAAAAGATTTAAAAGGGAAGAGACCTCATGCTTTATGCTTTTTGTAAACTCGCTTCTGCCAGTGGCATCTTTGGATCTGATTTGTTTACATGAAAACTTTGTTGCTCTTACCTGATATGGTAAGAATTAAAATGACACCGTCCCGTCAACGTGCTGGCATTCTTAATAGAACAAGAGAGCAAGTACACTGTCGTTCCCCTTGCTCAATTAACTTGGGAATTAACCAAGCTTAACATGTCTTTAAAGAGCAATCAGTTAATTTGACAGTTCTTGCTTTTCTGACAATTTTTATTGCAACACTGAAAAAAAACTTCTCTTTTAATGGTGATATTTTTTGAAGGCGAGAATCTTGAGCTAGTAGTTTTATCTTTGGCACTTGCTCCTGCTGAGCGAGAGTTTTTGCAGCCGAGGTGCATCTTTCAACAAAGAGATTGCGCTTGCATCCTAGTAGTGGAATTGTTGTAGATTACAAAAACCTGGGAAGCAAAAAAGAAAGCTAAACAAAGGGCAAATGAACACACATAAGTAAAAACTATGTGAATATGTTAAAAGAGCTGAGCTACTTTTCGAGTGAAAATGAATCGGCGAGATTAGTTTACTATGGTGGCATACCATTTCTAGCACTCGAGGCATGGGAACCAGGGCTCGTAGCTGGTAGCCCGCGGGCCGCATCCCAGCGAGTCGCGGGCCGCATGTTTGAGACCCCTGCTCTAAGGGTTACCCATTTATTGGGTTAAAATATTTAATCGACACCTGGGCCTGTTTGCTCGAAGTGCTAACCGCGGCTAAAGTTAGTCGCAGTACCTAGGAGAGGGATTTTTAAATCACGTGACTGGCTCGGCAGGGATGCGGGGAAACATGGCGGTGCCTCGGTGAGTGAGCGCCGCTCGCTTTGGAACTAATATGTCGTTGTAGCTGCAATATCGGGCGGGTTAGTCAGCAACGAATGGTGCAGGACGCTTTCGCTTTGCCTTACCTCACTTAAATCGCAAAGCATGAGCAATGACCTCGCCACATTTTTTTTTTTTATAGTTTTTTGATTCTGGCCATTCCCAAGCCTAAATGAACGCAATGATTGTCGGCAGGGCAACGTCTTTGGAAATCGGATTGCCTTGACTCAATCGGTCGGGTACTGATAGCATGCAAAAGCAGACAGCGTCCCAATAGACTTTTTTCTAAATTACCCAAACATCGAGGAGAACGCTGGAAGTGTAATTCTACGGTCCGCGCGCACCTGCCTTCCTCTTATAAAAGATTCAAAGTAAATAATCATAATAAGGCTTTGATGAACGCGCGTGCAAGGCTAAATTTGTTTTGACTTTTTGCTTTAGAACAATTACTACTGCAGACGCCAGCACGTGCAGCGCATGTAACTACACTCGTGGCATGCACCTTGGTTCTTGTGAAATTTAGAAAAAGGTCTATTGGGACGCTGTCTGCTTTTGTATGCTATCAATACCCGGCCGATTGAGTCAAGGCAATCCGCTTTCCAAAGGCGTTGCCATGCCGACAATTATCGCGTTCATTTAGGCTTAGGAATGGCCAGAATCGAAAAACTATCTGAAAAATGCGGCGAGGTCATTGCTCATGCTTTGCTATTTAAGTGAGGTAAGGCAAAGCGAAGCATCCTGCACCATTCGTAGCTGACTAACGCGCCCGATATTGCAGCTACAACGACATATTAGTTCCAAAGCTAGCGGTGCTCACTCACCGGGGCACCGCCATGTTTCCCCGCATCTCTACCGAGCCAGCCACGTGATTTCAAAATCCCTCTCCTAGGTACTGTGGCAAACTTTAGTCGCGGTTAGCGCTTCGAGCAGACGGGCCCTGAATTACTAGATTTCTATGTGAAGCGCAAGTTTGTCTGCTTCTTTTGCAGGGACTGTGGTAACGTTAGAACACCGAGCTCTGATTGAAGGATAGTGGGTAGACCTCAAAGCAAGTTGCCTTGAGATCTACCCACCATCCTTCAATCAGAGTCAACCAGAGCTCAGGGTTCTGATGTAAACATAACCCCTAAAGAATCACACGAACTTGCGCTCCGCATAGCTTTGAACATATATGCTACAAGTGGTAATGGTAGCACAAAGTGTTGTAAAATGTGCTGCAGTAGCATACCGATATGAAACTTAATCCTGCTTTCTTTCTTTGAAAGACACGAAGTTCCAGTCCTTGGAGCTCCCATCAGGATATTGCACCAGTCTGAAGATTTGATTGTGATCGACAAACCACCATCTATACCAGTAAGGTTTCTGTTCTTGTTTCTTCCTTTACTTGGCAAGGTCCAGAATGGGGGCTGTAGTGGTTGTGTACCTACACTCAGACTTTTACCAATTCAATTGATCTTCTGTCTTTTGTTCCTTCAAGGTGCATCCATGTGGTAGGTACAGGCACAATTCCATATTGTTCATCTTGGCTAAGGAGCATGGTCTAAAGAACCTTCACAGTGAGTTCATTCATACTTTTCAGCTTTTGGAAGTGTAGTCCAATAGTTTCCTCTTAGAAGTGTAACTGTTGCTTTATCTTTTTTTTTTTTTTAATTTTATAGTTAGGGTTTAGCATTGTCGGCTTTTATTGTTTGAGGGTTTGGCATTGTCGGCTTTTATTGTTTGCAAATTCGCCATACTTCTTTTTCTTGTTCCAATCAAGAAAGGATATTTTTGTGTTTTATTTTTAGTTTTGTGATATGTGCAGTATCTCCGTTCAACCCAAAACCTTGTATGGTCTTATCATTTACCATTTTGTCATCACTGGGCAAATACTTACAGGTGGTTGTATTCATCATGGTGCTGTCATGGGGAGTGTGCAACTCCTACGTGAGAGATTTTACAAACGGGAAACTATGATTGGGCCTAAATTATTGCGAGACGAATTCATAAAGTAGCATTAAAATAATGACGAAACCTGCACAGTCAAGTTCAGACAAGGCAGATATGAACAGGCTCTACCTAGCGTTAATGTAACAGGAAACCTTGAACCTCACTGGTATTCTAGAGTGCATTTGCTTTTATGTGATTGTAATAAAGACACATATCTAGTTTCCCAGGATTTCTGTATTGATGCGCACCCATTATTTTCTGTTTATAACTGTCAGGTTTGGGAACGACTTCTCATCATTTACCACAGGCACTCGATTCTCCATACAAGTTGCCACGCATTTACACTTGAAATTGGCAAACTGCCAATGTTAAAGGGGCACTAAAGCAGTTTCTACAATAGCCTATTTATGGTCATAATTAATAGAAAAATCGGCCACTCATGAATGTAAGTTTTTTTTGTATTTTTAGGATGCTTAGAGCTTATGGATTAAATTTAGGATGCTTAGAGCTTATAGATTAAGTTATGAACATGAATAGGCCATCGCAGAAAGTGATTTAGTGCCCCTTAAGTACTACAATAGCTAAAGCTGGTCAATCAGTCAAATTCGAGCACCAAAAGACAACTGATACCACATTTCAAAGCACTGCATATGTCATATACTCAGGAAACACTGGTTGCAATGCGTAAATATTGTCATTGGCTCTCGTGGAAACTCTAGAAAATTTCTTCATACATTGGGAAGTTGTAGGACATTTTTGGATAATGAAAACAATCCAAACCCATATTCTAAGGACTGCAAACTTGACACACAAAACCCGACCACCAAGGAGAACTAAATTTTAACCTTCAAAAGGCTTTATTGTAGAACTCTCCTCGAGTAGAACGCAGGGCAATCCCAAAGATAGCTGACCAGTTGATGAGGAAATGCGTCACAGAGTCACATGACGACGAGCCAAATTAATTCCTGAAAAATTAATTTGGCATAGTATGTTTCAACCCTTAAATGCTCATTGGGCCTTTAAGGGTTGAATAAATTATTTGAACCAGAAACACCAAACCGTATTTATTCTGCTACCTTTTATTGAAATTGCTAGCTCTTATTGAAAGACTGTGGAAGGAGTGTGCGTTAAGTATAGTTTCTGTAAGGACAGCCAGAACACAAATACCCTTTAAAAAAATACTAAACTCCCCCCATTTTTTTTTTAGGTGCTTAAATAGAATGTGTAAAAAATAAACTTTTTTCCGAAAAAGAACAACAAATTTTAGCGCACTATTTAGATTGTGAGGCTCATTTTGAGTATTGCGATGTACTTATATTTCGTGCTGCTATTTCGGGACGATGTGCCAACATAGAAGTGCATTTTGGAATCGCTCCTTATTCAAGGCAAGTCTCACGGCATAAATGTTGTGTAAAATAACTTTTCTGGGAAATTTAAAATAAAGAGTTTGGGCAGAGTAATGACTTTAATGGTTGAAGGAGAATATATGTTCATGTACAGTTGCCTTCCTTTTAACCCCTTAAGTGCCAAACTTTTTTTTTTTCAAAAAGTAACCTAAAAGTGCCAGGTTTTTTTTTATTTTGAATTGTTACTCCTCTGGTATTACACATAAAATTTGAAAAGTTTATTACGCAAAAATCAGCGGAGGCGAAAAAAATATTTGCCATCTAATGCGAGTGCTGCCGTCTATGAGCAGCGCCGCAAAACTACTCGGACGAGCCGAGCTCGTCCGTGGAATTGAGGGCAACCGAAAAAACCACTGGACGAGCTGAGCTCGTCCACGGCATTTTTAGCCAGAAAGTGGCCGACGAGCTCCGCTCGTCCAAGGCACTTAAGGGGTTAAGTTTAGACTTTTTATGTCTCCCTAGCAGAAAACATTGTTCTGTAACCACCATGAGGCCATTATATTTTGTGTGTGATTACGTACTGATTGCAAAGGCTGTTGTTGCAGCGGTTCACAGGCTGGACCGACTCACATCGGGAGTGCTCCTGATGGGCCGCTCAGTGGAGAGGGCACGGCAGCTGGAGAATGAAATGAAGGGCCGCCAGGTGTCCAAGGAGTACCTTTGCAGAGTAGAAGGATGTTTTCCTGAGTGAGCCGTCACCCCTTTGTTGACTGTGCACCGTACCAGCCGAGTTCACTTTTACGGACTGGGGATACTGAAGTGTTCTTCAGCACTATTTCTGACCAGGACATATTAATGCTAAAGCATTAAGTCTCCCATGGAGCGAGCCGCGCCAAGCGGCAGATAAATTTCCGAAGCCGCGATCTGAGGCATCTCAGCTTTGAAACCATGCAGAAGGCCACGCAAAACGGCAGTGATAAGAAGCCGCCGCACGTCAATTTCAAGTAGCGCCACCCCATGGCGCTGCGTCTCCGCGAGGGAGCGGCTCCACACCCAAAATCAGTGTGGCGAGGAGCAGGCGCGCGCTTGATTGTCAATGCAAGTACGCCTCAGGCGAAATGAGGGAACGGAGGAACGGCATGCAAGCTTTCGCATTCACAACTCGTAAGAAGTGCTTAGGTGTAATAGCCAGTGGGCTATGCCCCTGCATAATACACTCCTTCGTGCCCCCCCCCCCCACCCCCCAACATAATGTTTGGTTATGCAGATGGTTGCCTGGCATATCTTTGTTTTGCGGTCCTTTCCTCTCCGCAGTCTCGTAGTTTTGGACAATGTTGCTAGTAAACCAGCTTGCTTGCTTTCCTTACTCGGGTATTTTGGGTGTAGCAAGAAGGAACCACCAATTCTGACTTTAGCCACCTACTCTAAGGATAACCTTTTTTTTTCTTCTCGTCTGCTTTTTTTACCCGTAGCCCGACGGTTGCTCTTTGGGTTTTCATAGTTTTGCACAAATTTTGAGAGTTGTTTCGTGCACTGCTTTCAATATGATTCTTTGCAACCTAAATCTCCGAAATCCTATGGTGCACGAAATGCAGTACTTAAGGAGTGATTGTTTAAATTTTTTTAGATTAAATTATACAGTTGTTTCAAGGAGTAAACAGCATAACTTGTCATGTGGCATTGGTCACGTGACTTGACGTCATGTAACATCAGGCGATTTGGCATTGTGGTGTCGTTTTTCACTGTAGCTATTGACCGTGATGTCGCATCGCTTGACGTGATTCACAGTGTCAGTTTGTTGTGTCACATGATGTAAATTTCCGTCTGAATTTAGCAGGGATATTGACATTACGTAACCTAACATAATGCAATATGGTCATGTCGCATGGCGTCGATTTCTCTGCTAAATTTATCGAGGAAGTATGCAGACGGACAGATGGACAAAATTTGGTGATTAGGAAGTTTCATTAAATAGCATTTTATGCTTTAATATGAGTAATAATATAGTACAGTATTGTATTTGTGTGTTTATAATTTGCTGGATTTGTTTTCTCCATATTGATGATCTCCTGCTGGCTCAGAGTTTTCTCAGAAAAATTGCTTCTTGTGAAATGGCTCTAAGGATGGATGGAGCATAGTATTATGAATATCAACACTTTGAGCTCATGAGTCTAACTTAATTGTAATTAATATTTCTCAAGTCAATGTTTACTTTGTTGACTTTTTGTTTTGTCATTGGGAACAAATTTTTGCTCTGCAGCGAACCTGTCACGTGCTCTGCACCCATTGAAGTGATCTCGCAGAAGATTGGTGTGTGCGGCGTGGGTGTGCACGGGAAAGAGTGCAAGACGGAGTTCAAGAAATTGAGCTTCAATGGGAAGTCAAGTGTGGTTCTCTGTACGTCAAAGTTTTGCCTTTCTGCCAGTGCTCATGTTGAGCTTGCATTTTATGAAATTTTAATTGCTTTTGGCTTTAGAAGTAGTCAAGACTGCAAGTTTGTAGTATGTAACAAGAAAATTACAAGCACTAGTTACAATAGTGCTTGTAATGTTGTTCTAATACAGTATTCATTAAACAGTTTATACTAGACCCTGTCAGACTGTTTTCTGACAGCATGGTCCATGCATCCATACATTCCACTTACTCTAGAAAGTTGTCTAGGGATGTAGCAGTTTTGGGAATTTTCTCTTATGTTTGGCTGAGTCATTGAAAAGGCGCTCTACCTTTGACTCTAGGCAAACCCCTCACGGGACGAATGCACCAGATCAGAGTTCATCTACAGTACCTAGGTGAGCCTGCTATTTTTCTTTTCAATGCTATTGGAGGAATCAACTTATTCAGATTGTCATTGGAGTGACCACTTCTGTTGCATTTTTCTTGAAAACTATTTTATATTTTTAGGTTTTCCTATTGTTAACGATCCACTCTACAATCACACTGTGTTTGGGTCCCAGAAGGCCAAAGGTGGCCTAACAGAGAAAACTAAAGAGCAGGTATAGTAATGTTCTTGATGGTCTTTCTAGTGTCGTCTGATGGCTTAGTCCACCAGACAAATATTTTATAGCCACTGCTCGTAGACATGCCCTGCACATGCCTTACAAGAAAAAATGATTTTGCCACTTTGGCAAGCAAGGTTGGTCGTTTGCTTGCCTATACTTGGGGACAACTTGGCAATGCAGTCAAAGGTACAAGCGTGCGTGCCCTCTCCTATTTGGAGTGTGGATTAAAGCTGTGCACGCACTCTCCTCCTTTTCTCAGAAAGGCCAAGAAAAGTCCCCGAGTATAGTAGTGGAATTACGCCGTAACAGATATCTATTATTTGCGGCAGCATTCTGAAATCGTCTTGCATACTGCATTTCAGTTGGTGGAAGATCTCCTACAAGTCCATACACTTGAGAATTGGCTTGGGCCTGAACTGGAGTTTGGACCTGGTGGGTACCTATAGAATGTCTCAGTGTGATATTGTGATATTATTGTTAGGAAGAAAACAAGGACCGGAAAAAGAAGACGAAAGAGTTCTGGAGGAGGAATTCGGACTAGACAACAACTGCAACACCCTCGGTATGATCATTCATCTGGCACTGTAAAAAGGACATTAAACCATCTCACAAGTGGTGTAGCAGCAGGGTGGAGGGGCAGGGTGAGGTGATTTAATGTCTTTTTTACAGTGCCAGACGAATAATCGTATTGAGGGTGTCGTAGTCGTTGTCGAGTCCAAATTCCTTCTCACGCACTCTTTTTATCATCTTGTTTTTTCGAGCCTCTTTTTTTTTTCCTTGCAATACTCTTCTATTTGTATGGCATCGCCAGCACACTGGGCATTGAACAGTGCAAAGAGGTACTGTTCAATGCCTCGTGGCAGTCCTCTCCCTTTTGATTTGGCGCTCAAGAGGGACAAGATTGGAAGAATGCAAAGCATTTTTTTCTTGAAATGCTAAATCAATGGAAAGATACTTTTTGTTTTCTTGTCTTTTCCTCGGTTCAACTTCTCTCGCAATTTCTGTCCTGTGCTACGATAGGCTAGGACACGGTTCTGCCAAATGCTTTGTTTCTATGAGCACACGCAGAAGCGAAGCACTTTTCCGAGCCACACATTCGTGCTCGTGCTTCCTACAACGCTTTGGAGAACTCTTAAAGGGATACTACAACGAAATTTCGGCGCTCATTTTTTGGTCTATATGTGTTCAAAGGAGCAGCATCACTACGAACATACCAATATCTTGTTAAAAAAGTCACGAAAAGGAATTTTAAAACAAATTAAACGATTAGCAAAGAGCACCTGATGGATGTCGCTAACGCCTCGCTTGTAATACCCGTCTAGGTACCTTGACAGCTGGTGACGGAGGTCGTCTTGCCTCCGGCCACGACGAGAGAAGAGGGGAAGGAGGAACTCCCCTTTTCCCGAGAATGCCTTTTGTGTATCGCAGAAGTCGCTTTTGTCCCCCTACAAGATTATAGAAGATTAACCCGTCACTCAAAATTCGTACAAAAGCAGCCGCTTCGGTGGCTGGAACTACTAGGCCATCCTCTCGACATCAGCCTCGCCGTAGCTTTGCTCGTCTTGAGACGACCTACGTTCGATTGCGTTGGATGTCACGTGGTCTCCGCTGGGCCTTCTCCGAGCGCTTGCCAGAGTGGGCCGTTTATAACGAAAAATACAGCCACCAGGCTCAAAATAGAAACGTGCGATTGTCATTTACGGATATTGTGGATCATATTCAACCTATTTTTGAACACGACAGGAATATTTCAAATATTGTTGAAGTATGTAACAGTAAGAAAGCACAAAACAAACAGAGGGACAAAAACAGACATGTACAAGCTTTCAGTTTACAACAACATATATTTGACGCCAGCGAAGTCTGCAGAACGGAGAAGTGTTTATTCAAAAATCAGGTGTATGCATTGGGTCTTGCCTGGCACCAGTGCTGAGTGAAATCTATCTTTCCTTCGTTGATAGGACAATCGACGAGGAACTACGGAGCATCGTGCCCGGGTGTCAGGTAGTGCGCTATGTGGATGACTATCTTGTAATTCACCCCACAGGAACCCCGGTCCATTCTATTTCGCCTTGTTTTCTCAGCGCGGCAGGCAGCCTCAGCTTTAAGAGAGAGGACCCCACGGAGGAAGGACTGCAGTACTTAGATATCAGGTTGAATACGTCTGCGACGGGTATCTGCTGGGCTTTTCGGCAACGTTCGGAGAAACCAGTTCTTCCCTTTTCCAGCTCCCATTCCAGGTCCGTTAAGACGGGGGTGGTCACTTCGTTGATCACCTCTGCACGCAGCAGGTCGTGCAGTCACCACTCAACCTCGAGTGTGAAAACACAATTTAACCGCCTTCTCAAGGCAGGTTACCCGATGGACCTACTCAGTTCTGTCACGCAGAGGCTCATCGTAAATCGGACTCCCCGCACCTCACGGGCTGCTCCGGGGGGGAGGATCGCCTGCATTCCCTACATGCATAACGTGGCGCACCGCGTCAAGTCTCTCGCGTCCCGCTTTGGCACCAAGGTAATTTTCAAATGCAGGTTCAAACTGGGTTCCATGTGCAAACTGGTTAACAACGCCAGTTCCCCCCCAGCATGTGCAAAAAAACACGGCTCTCAATTCGTTCGATGCGCAAAAGAAAAAGTCTACTCGATTCCTTTGACCTGCGGCGCGGAATATATCGGCCAAACAGGCCGATGCATAAATGATCGCCTCCGAGAACACCACATTGAATGCGCGTCACAGCCAGAGGGGTCATTGCATCCTATTATAGTTCACGGTAAGGAGTGCCAGGCATGCACGCCTTTGTTCAACGAGACCAAAGTAGTCGGGGGGCACCGGGAGCGCTATGGGAGCAGTGGCGTCGGAAGTATTTCTGAGGTGGGGGGGCAACGGAATTGGGGTGGGGTGGGGGGGATGAAGCATCTGGAACAACATGGATATATAAAATCGAAACGCTCACAAACGTTTATTTAGATCGAATATATGTCCTTCCTCTTTTGGAATGTGGTGATCTTGTTTTTCTCCCATGTTGACGTCTTCAAACAGCGTGAAATAAGAAAGAGCTCACTGGTGCCCGAAAACGGTTCGTCGTTCAGCCGTCCTCGACACGAACTCTCTGATGATAGAGTTCAGACCAAGTTTTGCTTCTCACTCACTATTTACGTGCAGCAGCATCACCTGAGTCAGTCGCTCTTGTGACATGGTAGCTCTGAGGTAATTGTTGACACCCCGAAGTGCGCTCATACTTCGTTCAGCTGATGCCGCTGACGCTGGCGTGTCATTGCTGTCATTATAAGTGCCGCAAGGCGCATCACCTCAGTAATCATCCTCTTGAGCTCTGGGACTTGTCTGCCCAGAGCACGGTACAACTCGAGTACGGAGCCGATCTGACCGCTTGAGAGCGAGTGAACCATGTTCAGCTTCCTTGAAATGCTTTCCAGGTGAAAATCAGTAGCGTGGAATCCTAACTTCCTTTCAAGTTCTTTTGCAGTTTGTGGCTTCTCTTGAATAGCGCACAAAATTATTTGCTCTAGTTGTGCGAGACTTTGCATGCCTGGTTGCTTGAATCCTCTTGCAAGCTCGGCGCGAACACAATCTAACGCTTCGTAGAACTGCTTCCGAAGGCCTGTCTCCGCGTCTAGAAACGCTGGTTGACAGGGCTCGCTGCTGTGTTCGAAACTTCTTGGAGGACCGCATCGCGTGGTCTTGTTTGAAGGGGCCTTTAGCTTATGCTTCTTTGCTGCCCCCTCTGTACGTTAGTACATGTCCAAGTCCTCGGCGGTACCCGCACGGCACAACGCCCAGGGGATTACTGCAGCCTCGAACTGCGAAATCAAATGCGCTTCGGGCAGCGTAGGCGCGTATGGACTGCTTTATTCGGCTTCAGAAATGGAGAAGCTCCTGCTTATTTCTGGTTTTAAAATAACCTCAAATAATTGAGCCCTCGAATAACTAATACCATGATGATGAATATCATCATGCCACTCGTAATGCGAGAAATTCATGCCACCGAAATATCTTAAAAATCGCACTCTGAGAAATTTGCAAAATATCGAGCTCGCGAGCCGCCATTTCTAAAACATTTCTGGGGGGGGCGGTCGCCCCCCCTGCCCCCCCTGTTCCGACGCCACTGTATGGGAGGGAGATAATTGAAGCTTATAGGATGACTACCACCAAGAATAACATTGCTTCCCCATCCCTCTCGTTGACAAAACCAGAACTGGTGTTTCTGAGGCCGGCGTTTTCTCGGACTCCAATTGCACAACCTTGAACAACAAGACCCCCCCTCGGCCTTCGGCCGTCAATCAGCTTCGTATGCGGAAACGCTATCTTCCCTTCCCTCCCCCCTTTTCTTCCCTCTCAACCTTCTCTCCCTTCTTTTCTCCCTCTTGCTCGTTCCCCCTTTCCCCACCGACGGTTGTTGGTGCAGACTTCGCTGGCGTCCAATATATGTTGTTGTAAACTGAAAGCTTGTACATGTCTGTTTTTGTCCCTCTGTTTGTTTTGTGCTTTCTTACTGTTACATCTGTCCCAACACGCTCGTCAAAGTCTTGTTGAAGTATCCCTTTAACAATACCTTGACTCATTATATTGAATAGTGTCTGTGCACGTGGTTATGCATTTGTGTTGTAAAGTTGTTTGTTGTTACACTCTCAGTTTTTATCATTATAAGTTTGTAGGCTTTCAACTCTGTTGAACCTATTTGTTTTTTTTTTTTAAATATTCTATAGCTAAACCCTCCGGGGGTGCTCACTAGATGCTAAAGAGCTAGTCTATTACGTGAACAGATATGTAATGTAAGCTCCACATTTTCCTTCAGATGGAGACTTGAAAGACGACAGCAAAAGCTTTGAAAACGCCATTGAGGAGTTGGACATTGTCGAGCCTTCAGACGACCCCAGTATCGACAACTTTCCGGCCAGCCTGAAGCACTACCTTGAGGGCGATGAAGCAGCAGCATTTCACGCTGCCATGAAAGATCGCAGCTTCAACAAAGAGAAGTTTGTGCGTCGTGCAGAGTGTTCAGAGTGCCGTCGAAAGTACAAAGATCCGGAGCCTCGAGACCTGCTTCTCTATTTGCACTGCTTACGGTATAAGGTACGCTTAGCTCTTCTTCTTGCTCTCCTGCATTCTGCACATGCACCCTTTTAAATATACTGCTAAAAAAAAATTTTTTTTTTGAGCTACATTGGTATTAGACAACTTAGTGACAGGTTAAAAGGGCACTGAAGTTGATTCTGAGATCGTCCTTTTGTGCTGACAACTGAATCTAGACGCTCTTTGCATCCCAGCAAACCCGAAATCGCAATCGTGCGTAGCTTATTTCCTCGTTAAAAGCGTGTTCAAAGATCGCGACACGCCCTTTTTGGGAAGAATTTTCTTCCGAGTGAAGGGGTCGACGAAGGGTGCTTGTCGGCGAGTTGCAAGCGATGGCTTTGCCCGTGCTGAAAAAGAGGAGTCTTATCCGAATGTGTACCTATCAGACTTTCTTCGAAGCTAGTAATAATAAAATCATTCGGAATCTGCACGTATTGTAGGGCTTTCATTGATCCACACAGCGTAGTCCGCGAGAAAAAAGAGTCCACATGTTTTTCTCTTGCCCTGAGATGAATAGGCGGTTTTGTAATATAGGACTTGGTACACGCGGGAACTAACACCTTTTTAACAATATAAGATCAAAAACGACCTTTTTCAAAAATGACTTCAGTGCCCCTTTAAGAGTCAGGGGAAGCTCCTCCCACCCCTTTCCACGTTTGCAGAGCAAACGCCGGATAGGAGGTTGCCTGCTCTCCAGCATTCGCTGTGCTAAAGTGGAAAGAGGTGGGAAGAGCTTCCCCTGAACCCATAACCTGTCACTGACTATAGCAAGTTGGTAAGCATTCATCTTGAAAATAAAATACCATAAATGATTATTCTCTCGGGCACAATGTTTTGCAAATTTTGCCAAGTTTGGGTTTCGGGAGTATTTCACGGGCACGAAATTTCACGATTGGGAGTGGTATGCTGTGTATTCGTTACCATGCACATAATCCCTTTATCGCTTTGCTATCTTTTTTTTTTTTTGCTTTTTTTGTTTTCTGGTTTGCTAAATTTTAGAAAATTGGGTCTGCGAAAATTTAGCCTTTGTTTTAACAAGCTTTTTTATACAATATATTAAATTGTGAAATGTTCTCAAGGTTGTTATATACAGGGTGTTTCACGAAAAGTGGACAAATTCAACATTGTGAAAACTACACATCGCAACCAAAAAAGGCTTGTGTCGTTTTGGTCCTGGGCCAGGGGCCCATTTAGGAAAATTATTACAGTCCGGGATAATGGACCTTTTCCGAGAAGCGTTCTGCGCACGCGCGAGCACCCGATTTTTTCCTAAATAGGCCCCTGGCTCAGGACCAAAACGACACAAGCCTTTTTTTTTTTTGTTGTTGTGACGCATACTTTTCGCAATATCGAATTTGTCCACCTTTCGTGAAACCCCATATATATATATATTTTTTTTTTTTTTTGTAACAAAGTTTTTGATTGGGTCATGGTCTACCATTTGTGATCGTGATTTACTTAAAATTGTTTCTCATTTGTGCAGGGAAATGATTGGGAATATGAAACTGCCTGGCCATCCTGGGCAAAAGAGAGCTGGACCGATGACTGATGAATAAATCAGTTTTTTTTAATTTTGCCCATGCAAATGAAAACCCAAGGCTGGATTCTTTTTTCGTGTATTATTATTTATTTATTTTTTAGCAATTTTTGCTTCAAGTTATGTAGCTGCCGCGGGGGTTGCGGGGCACGGTGGTGCGGGGGACAAATATGTCTGACGCAGGGTGTAAGATAGACAGGTGGGGAAACCTAATTAACCGGGAGTTAGACGTCAGTAGAGCAAACGAGTTTAATCAGCTGCCACCAGTCTAACACCAACAAGGGTGAACAAATAAGCCTGTTCCACGTTTTAGGAGCTCTAGCCGATTTTTTGCACTTGTAATCGCTACTACTACCATTTTTTTGTTTACAGAAAGTAGTAAAAAATTAAGAACAGTGCTACAAGTTATATCCAAGGAGAGGTCAGGCTCTTTAAATCAAGGAGGTTAGAAGTACTATAGTCGGTTACAAGTCAAGAAGGTAGGAGAAGCTCCACCCACAAGCGTGATGCGTCCGTTTCAAATCTCTCCGCAGTCGAAAGAAGAGTTCACTGGAAACACTCCTTGTTCCGCTTCAATGGATTCCAACTTGTCTCCGATCCCACTTTTTAAGAAAGCGACCTTTGTATTCATTGAAGGGGGAACCGAGCCCCTGAAAGCAGCCTTTGTATCTATCGGGGGGGAAGCTAATCCCCGAAAGTCGTATTTGTTTCCGTCGGTGGGGGAGAACTCTAATCTCCCTCTCGTGCCCTCCACAATGCTAAGTAAAAGTCGAAAGATAAAGCAAACATGTACAGAAAGGCAAGCCCTTCCTCGCGCGTTGGCCGCGACGTCACGGAAACGGTGGGACGGTATTGGATGCGGAGGTGGCGGAGGGATATCTGATTCCCTCTGAGGGGCATTTGCCGCTACCTTCTTAACACGTTCCAATATTGGTGAAGCCTAGTCATAAAAAGTTTAAACGATGTTGTGGCCAACGTGACCGTAGATCTCTCTGGAAATTGGTGCGCGTGACTTGTCACGTGTGAGATGGACGGTTGATTGTAGAAGGATTCCTTGCAGGCTTGCGCGCGCTCCGTCCGGTAGGTTTTATCAGATCGAAGGCTAGACTGGGGTGTATTGTAGCATGGCTTGTGGAGGCTACGCGGCTGGCGTCATGCCCTCTCCTACCCTTCTATCCTCCTTGCTTTAAATCGACCGCAACGACTTTGTGCAGCGTTGCCCACAGATAGTGCTTTTTTTTTTTTTTTTAATTTGCAAAGGGCGAACTTACCCGAGGAAAAAGTAAAGAAAAAAAAAAAGGCTTAGCTCCTATGGAAACGCAGCGACGCCACCGGTTTTCAAACAACACGGCGTCGTTTCGCACGGGAGACAAAAGATGGCGCAAGTGGTCGCGACGCCAACTGCCGCCAACGAACGAGCGTACGACGCCGAGAGCCGGCGTCTTTGGCAGACGATCTTTTCGACTCAAAAGCGGCGCGCGTTCCGCAGGCGGCGACAGTCGCAGAAACAAAAACAGGCGCGGTAACAACAAGGAACTACAGTTTCTTGTCTGCTAAAGTCGCCGGCTCTCGGCGTTTTAAAAGTAACGTCAGAAAATATCAGTCATGGTATCAATACTGTGATATAGCAATGAATATCAATAACGGATATATATATATATATATATTCGACTGAAGAAGGATCTGCCAGCACAGGCAGAAACGTTTCCACTATTTTGAAGAAACGTCAGCAGAAGTAAAAGTTTTCTCTTTACTATTCGAACACATATCAGAACACCGGGTTATTTCACGACATAAAAAAGGGGCGATCAATAGTATTAATAAATATACCTTTCTGGAAATATGTGGTGCCCCCAGCGCCTGTTTTACGAATTGAGACGTTCAGATAGTTCAGATCAGGGATGGGCAAAATACATGCAAATATGTATCGAAATACAAATACAAAATACTTCGTCAAAAATGTATTTAATTACAAATCTAATTACAATTCCAAAAAAGCATTTAAGTACAAAATACAAATACAACCAAATGTATTTGGTCTCCTCCAAATACTTTTCCAAATACATTCCTCAAAATTTGCGTCAGCGACTTCAGGGCACCTGCAACGGGTTTCTGGTGTTGCGACGGCCTTCACTGGGGGCTTTAAACTAAAAACAGAACGTCTTCCTGAAGCCACGAGACCATCTGGAATCGCGGGCCCTCGCAAGGAGAAACACCGGCGTACGTGTGCGTGCCTGTGTGTGTGTGGGTCTGTCGGTGTTGAGTTTCAGCAAGAACTTCGACTCCTTACATCAGCCACTGGAGCGCGGCAAGAACGTCGAGGGATTACATCATCTGCCCCTCGCTGAAAGAACACCGGGAAATTGCCTCAGCCGCCCCCGCACTTCGGACACGTCGTGAACACTCGAACACCGGGGAAGGCTCCTCTCTCTCAGAGGGCCTTCTCGCCCTCGGAGGGCTATATAACTTGGGATTGGGGAGCCAGAAATCGCCGACTGCAGACTGCCGATTGCCGATTAATTAGTCGACCATGCTCTTGTATATTCACTGTATATAAAAGTTCTCCTTCAGTACTCCCACTCCAGGCCTGTTTCCTCGGGGCCATGGTAGCAGCGAGCCGCAGCCCCAACTCTTGGTTCCGCGCCTGAGGTCGCCACCCTCCCGAACGCAACACTGGGTATCTCATTTTAATTTTAATTAAAATATGGCAACCAACCAATTCCTAAACATGTGGGGGCCCTACGTTTCGAACCGACTCGGTTCTTCGTCAGGGGCGACTGTGGCCGTTGAGGAGCAACGTTTTTCGATCTTCTTTTTCTTTTCTCAGGGATGTAGCGCATTTCTCGATCTTCTTCTTTCATGAATATGGCGAAGCCCGTTCACATACACTGTTGGTAAAGCACCAAGGCACCTATTTATGTTGCCTGGCGTCGTTTGAATATGCCAGGATTCGACGAAAAGCCTATGTCGGTTGTTAGTCTCTGCGTCGATAATGCTGGTGTTGTCGAAGTCAATCCGGTGGTCTTTGACTTCGCAGTGCTCGGCCAGCTCGGCGACTGCGCTGCGCTCGTGGTCGAGCTTGCGAACGTCGTTTTTGTGTTGGCGTATTCTTTCATTAAAATTCTTTGTCTCGCCGATGTAAGTGGCTGGACAATCTGCACAAGGGATCTTATAAACCACGCCCTGCGTTTTTTCTTTCGGAGGGCGATCTTTTGGACGGGGCATGAGTAATCCAAGCGTGGACATCGGCTTGTGGGCTACGCGGATTCCTTCTTTGGCTAGCACGCGTGCAAGCGCCTCGCTTGTTCCTCTGATGTAGGGTACGCAGATGCGCGAGGTTGGTGCTCAAAGACCACCGGATTGACTTCGACAACACCAGCATTATCGACGCAGAGACTAACAACCGACATAGGCTTTTCGTCGAGTCCTGGCATATTCAAACGACGCCAGGCAACATAAATAGGTGCCTTGGTGCTTTACCAACAGTGTATGTGAACGGGCTTCGCCATATTCATGAAAGAAGAAGATCGAGAAATGCGCCACATCCCTGAGAAAAGAAAAAGAAGATCGAAAAACGTCGCTCCTCAACGGCCACAGTCGCCCCCTGACGAAGAACCGAGTCGGTTCGAAACGTAGGGCCCCTACATGTTTAGGAATTGGTTGGTTGCCATATTTTAATTATTGTATTCCCCAACCAGAGAGATTTCTCTCAAATGTTTAGTTTCAAACATTTAATTTTGCATCGCACACTCGGGAGTAGGGGTGTCGCGAACCGGCCGCGGTTCGAGTTCGACCAGGTTCGACTTTTTCGAACTTTTAGTGGCAAGTTCGACGAACCTGGTATTGAGGTTCGACTCGTGTGCGCATGCGCGACAAGCTGGCCAGTTGGCTTCGGATTGGATGGTAATAGCTAAGAGATGAATTAAGTGCAGTGCTGATTGGCTATTTCAGGTAATACAGTACTAAAAATTAAGTTATTAACTTCTTCAGTGATTAGAATTAGTTTCTTTTAATTGCTGCTGTTCCCAGAATAAAATAACCCTTTGCATAAAAAAAAGTTCTCCAAACCTAGACATGCTTGCATCAAGGGCTGGCCACACTGTCCACAAAGTCGAACCGGTCGAATCTGGTGAAAAGTCGAAGGTTCGTCGAACCGGTTCGACCCAGTCGAACCCCGAAAGTTCGACCAAAAAATCTGGTTCGACAAAAGTTCGCGACACCCCTACTCGGGAGTTAGTGTGCGAGGCTCTAGTGACGTAATAGAAATATAATCACAAAAAAAAAAAAAAAAAAATGTAATCAGCTTGGACGTAATAGGTGAAAAAAAGTACAGAGATTCAGCAGCTTTTTTTTGTCGATTACATTTTGGTATAGACCAACAAAGAACCGAGACGACCAAGACGCGCAGCACTAGCTAGAGAATTTTTTATTGTTGCAGCTCGCACCAGTTACGAAAATATGGACGACCCGCGCATTTAGAATGTTCCAGGCAAAAATATGGATGGAAATCAGGCTGGAAGGCATCACAAGTTGCCACAGGCACTTATTTAGCCAGTCCTGTGAACGTCGATTTCGCCACTATTCTTGCACTGGACTAGCACCGTAATCACAAAGTCACTAAATGCTCGTGCTTGATTGAGAGACACTGCATTCGGTGCAGAACGCAGTTTTCTTCCTGCCCTGGACAGTGACAATAAATTTGAGGGATGTATTTCCGCCCACAAAATTGTATTTAATTACAATTGTATTTGAAATACCCGCGTTTTAGTATTTAAATGCACACGTCAAATACATTACCCAATTCGTAATTAAATACAAATGCAAAATACACAAAGTATTTGAAATACGTATTTCAAATACTTGTATTTGAAATACTGTCCATCCCTGGTTCAGACGTACAGAGCGCGACACTGTTAGCGCGAACAAGCGATCGCCGGTTTTTTCAGTTTTTCTCTTTGAAACCAAGGGATGTCATCCAAGTTATTATTGCTACGGAAAGAGCTCATTTAGTTCTATAATGTATGCAATAAAATTTCATGTTCGCTCATATTATCTAGAAGTAAAATGCGAAAATCCGCCGACGCCGTGTTCGCGCTAACAGTGTCGCGATGTGTACGCGGCACGTGAAATAATCCAAGAAACGAAGACGAAGTCGACGTTAGCTCGGGATTTCAGAATGCAGAGAAGGCGGAAGGAATGCAAAACAGAGTATGTGATGACCTTCTCTTCCGTGGCTCTATTTTTATCTGTGTTCTAAGCTCCTAATTATAAGAAAGAATGAAACGTGCCGCTACCAGGATACAAGAAGCGTTCGAGTCGGCACCCGAGCGTACATCCCAACAGCCCCACAACTCCCCTCGTTGCTAGGTCTCCTGGGATTTTCCGGAAAGGTCTATGGTAGTCGCACCCCGTCTTCGGACGGAACAACAACAACAAAAAAAAAGATTAATTAAAGAGTCAGCTCTTTTTTCCACTTTTTTCTTGCGCGCCTATTTAGTGGGAGGAGGAGCCAAGGAGCTAAGCACCGCGGAAGCGAGGCGATGGAGGCGATAAATGGCTCGCGCTCAGATGCTACCGTGACACAATTTTTGAGCCAGCGCGCTCAAGAACACAACGGTTTCGCGCAAAATCAATTGTTTTTTTTTTTTGTTTTTTTTTTTTGTATTGAGGGGAATAATTTTTAAGGGAGTGTCCTCAGACAAACTTGAATAGGGGGGTGGCACCTCTAAGACTTTGTTTTGATGCTTGGCTGTTTTTGGCGCAGCAAGAGACGGCTCTTATTTTGCCAATTTTGCCTGGAGCGGGCCGCGCAGAGGCAATGGCCACTGTATGCTAGAAATCGGCGGAAAACAGTTTAGGCTTTCAAGAGACACAAAAATAGTTAGAATATGGTTGTTTGGCTCATGTTTTAATTTGTTGATCACAGCGAATAATGTGTTTTCACTAAGTAAGTAAAAATATAACATTACTTTCGAGCAAGATGTATGGTGTGGTTTACGTCAAGAATACAAAGGTTAAAATGTACTCAACGGCACAATTAAATTTCCAGTGAAGTTTTCTTTCCACGCTGACTTGTAGCATTAAAAAATCGTCATCATGTTTAGATAAAATGACTGTGCCGATGTTCTCGGCACAAATTGGTAATAATAAAGTTCAAAGTTAATATCAAATTAGTCTTTTTTTGTTCTGTTTTTTTGCAATTTTTTTTTTTTTTTTATGAAAGCGTAGCGAGGGGGAAAAACAGTTCACGAACCCGACTTTTTACACAAAGCCATGGCGGCTTCCACGCAGGGCCGCAGCGTCGCAGCTTGCAGCGGGGTTGGCGGGATACGGAGAAATGCGTTCCTCTATCTGAACGCAAACAGGAACGATCGCTGGGATTGCGAGCTGTACGCAAACACAAGAGTGGAGTTGTCAAGCAGTTTATTTGGCATTTTCACCATCCTAAAATCCCGACGTCATGTGCACTGTGCGGACGTTTTATTGTAAGAACAAACGTGCGCATGCCATATTTGCCGTGTAAACTTCATGCCTTACGGACGCGCACACACGCAAAAAGAAAACAGATGAGAAACACTTCACGCTGTGCACTTTCGCTCGTTACCTCTTCCACGTCCTCTCCTTCTCCCTCGAAGTTTGGTGGAGGAGGAAACCAAAAGGATCTTTAGCATCGTAGAAAGCTGAGGTTGTAGGCATAGGCGGAAAGTTTTCGATCCCCCCCCCCCCCCCCCCCCCCCCCTTTTCCCGCCCCGGAAGGACGCCTTACCAGGTTACATTTTCGATCTCGTCTAGCAAAGTATTATCCGAAATAAATCATTTTGCGTCGCAACATGATGATAAGAAGTCAAGCTCTAGAAACAGGAGCAGCCGAATAAATATACGAATATGCTTAATTTAGCTTCGCCATCCGGTTAGTTTCGATCACGAACATTGCTCTATGCATATATTTCCGTCCTAGCACAAAAGTAGCAATTACTATCGTTTTGTTTGTGATATTGCTGGAACAGTATTAACGTGCAAGCTCCCACTTTACTCCTTCGTGTCTCGAATGTCGAAGTTGAAGGGAACGAAGACAGTGAGAGTGTTGAACAAAGAAAGAGCCAGAAAGATTGTTTAAACAAGACAAAAAGAATGAGAGGCTTGTTTGATGCTGGTTTGGCTCTCCCCTAACAAAAGCGAAAAGAAAAGAAATCCCTGCTTGCCCTCCTCATCACCCTTTCGTAATGTTGAGGCAACACCCAAGTAGAGAGCTACCGTGGAGCCAGGCTGGCGCTCGGTGGTAACCCGGCGGCCAGGCGACTCTTGAGTCCGCGGTCGTCGGTCGCTGAAACTTCGCTTTCTCGGTCGTGTCTGGTGGCGCCGTCGAATTTTGCCGCCTGTTGCCGCCGTCGAACAACAACTCATCGCCGACAACACCTAGCTGTTCTTTTGTCTGATATGTTTGGCTTTCATTTTTACGCGCGTTTTTTTTTTTTTTTTTCAAGTTGTTGGGGACATTTTGCTGCTGTCACTAGTGCGAGTAAGCGGACCACTTTTCTTTTTTCATCAGTCCCTTCGTCTTGCTTCTGCTTTCGTTTTGCTTCCAACACCTCAACTGTAAGGTACCCGAGCTCCCTTTTCGCCTTTCTCTGTTCATTTTGAAGGGCTAGAGCTAATTAGGCGCCTTAACAATTGCCGTCGCAATTGTTATGACCTGCACAGAGGCTTTTAGTATTTACTTTCTGCCGTCTGCAGTCTTGTTTCTGATTTAAGACAACACTGAGAGAGGGGAAACAAGGAGGACAAACACGACGAAGTCGTGTTTGTCCTTCTTGTTTTTCCTTCGTCATGTTTGTACTTCTAGTTTCCCCTGTCTCAGGGTTGTCTTAAATCATGAACTTAAACCAGCTCGTCTGCGCCTCATCACTCATTTTAGTAGGCTTGTTTCCTTTTTTATTGCTATTTTTTTTCGTCTGTAATTGATTTTTTTTTAAAGTACCATCGCCTCCGCTGGAGGCGATGGTACTTGCTTTTTCGAAGAGCTCGGGAGAGGAGGAGGTGGAGGAGGGGGGGGGGGGGGGGAGGGGGGGAGCCCGACATCGCCGCGCGGGAAGGGGGGGCGCAGTACCCCCCCCCCCCCCCTTCCCGTAGTCGGTGCCTATGGTTGTAGGTCGGTTTGAAGAGTACATAATGTAATTTAGTGTGTTTTCTTCCGAAATGGCCGAAATCAAGACAGAAAGGAGTTTGCTTTCCTACCAAAACTCCAAGAGAAGTCATATAGGGAAAGAAGGGAATGTGAGGGAAGAGTGATGGAGGATGAGGTCACACCAAATGCTTTGCTAATAGCGAGTTCGTTTCACACGCACTGGCACCGTTCGAGTTCTCTCCCAGAATGCATCGCACTCACAGAGTGTTGCACGGAAAACTGGACTCAAACGAACTCGCCAAATGCACCGAGTGCAGAAGACTGATGCTGCCGCCATCTATGTTGTAGAAAAGGCACCGACTTCAAACCGAAACTAGCGCCTTTCTGTTCAGAGTGATCCGTGGGAATGCGCGAATGCAGTCACTACCAACGTTTATCTACGAACGTTGGTCGCTGCAACCTGTAGTTTATAGTTGCGATGACTTCAAGCAGCTCGGCTGCCGTAGAGGTAGTTACAGACGGCGTAAATTTCCGCAACCAGCTGTCTACAAAGCAGCTGGTTATTCTTATAACCGTTTACACTGAAGAAAACTGATGATGCTAACCATTTCGTCGTTTACCCTGAGACTGGGGGCTTTTTTGAAGAGCAGAAGTGATGATGCTGTCCGAGCAGAAGCTTGATCCGTTTGAGCATGGTATTATGCGTGAACCACTGAAAGGGTACGGCTTAAAACTAGCCTGTTGGAATATCCAGCAAAACTGGGACTTTCGATTTGGATCGTCATTATAGGTGGATCAGATATTAGCCTTGGTGAGGGCGTCGAGAACGAGAGCTTTCTCGAACAAAATACGACGGGACAAGTTATCTGACGTAGGTAAATGTTAAACATGATGATGTTGCCCAATCCTCGGGTAAAGTTACCATCTTTAGCTTTCTCTGATGCTTATTGGGTAGTCAGAGGTTTCTGCTGGGGGAGTTGTGTCGACAAATGTTAAATTTTTCACCCGCACACGGATGGTGATAGACATCTCGGGGGCCGCTGTTACGTTTGTTTTCAGCATTTCTTTACACGCTGGTATATTTCAGCGTTTGTACGGCAACAGAGCGATTTAAAACCTGCAAATAAATCACGGGTTGTCAATTGCCTTCTTCGGGAAATAGCAGACGCTCACAATTCAAGCTCGCGTTTGATTTCGTGGCCCGCGGGACCCGATTTTTATCAGAAAATCTACTTTTTTTCCCGTTCGGTTCCGCGACACATCGTAGCAGACGAACCCTCGTCGTCTGCTCCCGCTCCTCGCCGGCCCCGCCGGAGCGAGGCATGACGGGATTGCATTTTGGCGCACTCCCGATTTTCTCGGTGCAGCGAGTGCATGCACGCGTGGGGTGTCAGCGCTGAAACGAACTCGGAGAGTGCAACCACTCGTGGAGTGCCGGCCGAAACGAACCCGTTCCGCGCTGCGAGTGGGCACGCGTGGGCACGAGTGCCGTGAAACGAACTCGCTATAAGATAATACTTTCTACTCCGCTCACTTGCACGAGACAGCGCACCTACAGCGCCAAATCCTTCCTTAGCGGTGTGGAAACCCCGCATCCGAGAGAACGCATGCGCATCACGCTGTTCACGCTGCGCCGAGGGAGAAGGATGCCGCCTACGCACCGAGATACCGGGTTTGTCAAGACAGCAAAGACGGCTGTCTCCGCTGTCTTGACAGGTTTCCATGACGATAGATGGCGGCCAGCCACCGCTCTCACTTCAAATGGAAAACCCCTGAGGCTACGCGTGTCCAGTCGTCCCTACCACTCAAAAGCTGCCCGACTGTCGGTGGCAAGACAATTGGAGTTTCGCGGAATAAGATGTATACCCTAGTAAAGTATTTAATCAAACATTTGGGGCCGAAGGGGGGAGAGGATGCCCGAGAGAAGAAAACGAGCAAAAGTGGGAAACGCAACGTGCACGCCGGCATTTGATGCGGACGTAAAATATAAACGAATTGTCCACGTTTCTGATTCAGAACAAACCTTCGAAATAAAATAAATCTGAACAATTTCGGTCCAGATTTGTTCAACTAAAATTCAACATTTCGCCGCTTCAGTCGCCTCGAAAGAAAAAGATGCCTCGGGAGATCTCAGAGAAAACCTCCCAAGATACATTTGCAAAGCTTTTCACTCGGCGCCGGGAAGGGCTATTCCGTTAGTCAGAGCTGGCTCGCTCTTGACGTTGACTTCGAGAAATCCGTCGACGTCGCTCAGTTCACGCGATGAGAACCTGGCAGCAATGGACTTGACTCCTGGGAACATCGGGGTCAGCTGGAAAGTCACCCTGATCTCCGAGTTCGGCGGCACCTTCCTGCATAAGAAACCGCCGTGATTCACTCGGGCTTCGCGCTCTCCAGCAGCTTGAACGTCCTCCGAGCAAGTTCCACTTTCCCAGTGATAGGCGCGGTAAGTTGAAGTTCTCGGTCCTATACAATGGATCCTTGCTCTGTAAAACAAGGCGGAAGAATTGACCCCCTCCACGTAGAATGATCGAACTTCACCGAATTTGCATTTAGGTGATGCATTTCACCACCAACAACCGACAAACTTCCCAGGGTCAATGACGGACATGTTTGCAGACTATACAGAGTTAGCGATGGTATCAGTGGCGTAGCCAGAATATTTTTCGGGGAGGGGGGTTGAGGTGGCTGGGATGCGCATGGCATGGTCTAAGGAGAATATAATTTCTCGGGGTTTTTAAGAATGCAAAATTGTACTATTTTTGGAAACAAAAACAAAGATATGAAAACTGTTTTGGTGAGTCCCTGCGTGACAGAACAAATGCAACTGGGATGTTTGTTTCATATTATGTTGATCTTTTTACTGCACCATACACTCAGCCGTGTCAATCTACAAAGGTCTTAACCGTTAAAAATATTTGACCACACAGGATATCCGAACTGCATGGATATTCCCCGCCCACAACATACAATTCAATGAGTCTCATCAATCGAAAAACATATATTGTACATACCCCACGGTGCCGCGTTATCTGAACAGGATTTGAGAAAGGTCTCAAATGACACAGCATATCCAATATACAGTGTCGACGTTTTTCACTTCACGACGGTAGGACGGAATCCAACGTGTTTTGGGGCACGTTTTAAAGAGAGCTGCTTTTTTGCACAGCTTCAAAGCAAATGAACGAACGTGTCTATTCTGTTTCCACACCCTAAACCCAACCCTATCAACTATTTTTCGCGAAACCCGGAACATAGCCGGCATAGGCCGGGAAGGCTTTTTGGAGATTATCTCATCGGAAATAATCCTCCAAGAACGTTGAACTGCCTGCGTCGTGTGCGGCTTGACGTTCGCTCTCTTCGTTCGTTTCCTGCGAAGGACGCGTTCAGGCAACGAGCCCTGGTATTCCCTGGTTCTCACAGTGGAAGATCACACACAAAGGGTAAGCATCCTCAACAGGCAAATAACAGTAAAAACTTCCAAGAAAAGCCGGCGAACTCCGAATGCACAATGCAGGTGGGGAGCCACGCTGACCGGGTTTCCACAGCTCAGGCGGGTGGCAGAAATTTCTGGCTGATAGGGGTCGCTCGATTCGCAAAATGCGGCGGCTGGATTTCAGGGGGAAAGGGGGGGGGGGGGGGGTATGAAGCTCCACAAACCTCCCCTCTGGCTACGCCACTGGGTGTTATCTGTGATTGACTCCATCTTCTGATAAGCACAGCGAGCAGACGACAAAGTGCATTATCTGCTCTCTGCCGCTATCGGGAGATGGCGCCACACATAGCAAACATCGCTAACTCAGTCGACTGCGAACACGTCAGCCGTTGACACTGGCAAGTTTCTCGGTCTCATTTTTCTCAGGACGGGAGCTATGCCTTGAAATTCACCACCTAAACGCGAATTCGTGAAAGTTTGAGCTTTTCGTGTGCAGGCGCACACTTCTCCGGCTCATTTTACAGCGCTAAGACATTGACAGGGTATTTATGCTCGCCGAGCTTTTTCTTTGTGCATGACATATGAGAGCCCAACTACCCAGTACACAATTTGCGGCTCACAATTCGTTTTCGTTTCGCCCGAAAGCCGCCGATCGAGAACTGGCCGATTGAGTCGCCCTACTCTTTTCTCCTGGTCACGTGCTGTTTTCTATGGTTTAAGACAATCACCAAAGATAATCAAAGTCGAGGGTCCCATCGAAGGCACACGCTCAATACATGAAATGGACAAAAAATATGATGTCCATTTTGTGGCTTCTAAAAAGATGCAAATACGTTGACTGAGAGAGAAAAAAAAGTTGAACAGCCAAGTGATTTCAGGTATCTTTCTCTTCCTGTATATTTCTTCTTCTTCCCCAGTTCAGTTTCGGTTTCGGCTTCGAGCAGTTGCATTTTTTTTTTACTTTATTTAAAATGCACGTGACACTGTAGCAAAATATTGATTGGGTAGTCTTCTGACACCATAATGCCTGGCAAAAAAAAAAAAAAAATGGGGGGGGGGGTGTTAGTGTCTCTTTACAGGGCCCATGAAACGAATTTTGGGCTGGGATAAATCAATTTAGATTGGGATCTTACCAATAGCATATCGTTCAGTGGGCCAAAAGAAAAGAAGGTAGAAAGTCAAAAGCCTGACTTTCGGTACAAAAATTTGAAAACACAGCGCACTATTTCGTACCTCCTTTCCTTCGTAAGCTTTCTTCCTTTTCACTGTGATACATCTGTGCCGGGTCACCGGGTCCAAAACGCACGTCACACGACTCCGGACGTCACTTACTCCCTTCACCCCCTAGGCTGACATTGCGGTGGAAGCTACGCGCTTGCCGGACCAATCAGCCGCCTCCCATTCATCACCTGACCTCATTCTCTACGCGTGGGTATGCGCGAGAGATTGTGATCACGTGGCAAAAGTGTGGCTGGCCCAACGAGCACGTAGCTTCCACAGCACTGTCAGCTTCGGAATGAACAGGGTGGGGAAAGCAACTTTTGTCCGAACTTTGAGCGACGGGCTAATCTTCTAGGGGGAGAATGGCTGTCTCCCCCGGTACACAAACAGGAGTCCGAGCAAGAGGGGATTGCCCCCCTTTCCGTCTTCTTGAACTGTTTGGTACAATGCACGATTTATGAGTTGAGGAGGAAAGCTAAACAGGACAAAAGTTGGAAAATTGTTTCATGACCCCTTTAAAACGTACCGGCCCAGAGGAACTCTCCTTGGCTGCACAAGCCCAGGACCTTCGATCATGAAGAAGCCCCCGTTGAGGTCTTTCGGCAAGGGATTGATGAATCCTGCTGTCACGTTGATCATCTTCCTTGCTACTGGTTCGCCTTCAATCTTCACAAGAAAGAAGGTGGGAGCGACGTGTAACGTGTAAGTCATTGGGATGATGTCTGAGGTTCACGACCCGAGGACATTCTTTCCCCATGACAAGAGACATGTAGCTTCTATCCAGAAAATATATATATATATATATATATATATATATATATATATATATATATATATATATATATATATATATATATATATATATATTTTTTTTTTGTAAATTAACTTTTTGCGTCACAAGACACTCCCGAAACGGTTAGTCTGACGCTGGACAAAATGGCGCCGCTGTAACAAGCGACCATAACTTAAGTCGCGAGCCGATATACGACAATGAATCGTGTAAGTGTCGTCTAATGTGAGCATTGCCCGAACACAAAAACATGTATTTCGTGGCGTCGCCTGATGATAAACATCTACCCGGTACGCCGGGATTTTCCCCCTTGTTCCATGAGGCTCCCATATTCAACCACAGCGTTTTGCTCTTTTATATTCACAATAAAAAGTATTAAAGTCACTCACAACTAAGCTTAGAACTAAGCTTAGAACGAAGCCCAACCATGAACCAGGGGCGGATCCAGAGGATCCCCCGAAGGGGGGGGGGGGGGGGGGGGGGGGGGGGGGGGGCAGGATTGAAAAAAAGAGGGGGGGGGGGGGGGCAAAGAGGGAACACTCGCTGCACACCTCATTGCGTGTTGTACCTTTGTTTAAACACACGAATAAATAGCAGAGACAGGCATTTCCTCCCAGCGACACCAAGTGTCGCAATTCAAGACACGATTGCGATATCTCCCGCTT